CGGTTTTACCGAACATGATGGGTTAAAGCTTCCTCTGGGTTTTATTTGTCCTCGTCGCATAACAAATCAATCGTCTAACTGGAAGGGAGAGAAAGATCTTACGGTTTTACAGCTTTGGAGTCTACCCGAGAAGTAATTCGTTAAATATATATATTAATATCTTCTATAAGATTGGGAGTAATATTCCTTCGGCAGATTCTCATTCGTCTATGATATTTCACGCCATGTGCATGGGCACTGCAACTGGCCATGGAATTAATTTCTGACTGAATTTTCTAAAACTTAACCACTGAATTATTTAAAGCTCTAAAATTCTGAATTCTCCTCCATTTGTAGGTCATTATTTGCTGTGTTAGATTCGACCTGCCAAACTATTTAAGTTTGTAAACAATTGCCGCAGAATGTGAACTTTAAGGTTTGAAATTTTTGACAGCTTTAGTTTTGTACAGCCAATCAGATTATTTGAACCATTTTAATGATGATTATGATTGGCTTATTATAGCGTGCTTTAGGAGAGTATAGAGCACCTGACGACACTGTGGTTCGCTTTAGAATTAAATTGATTTTGAAAAGTGAAATTAGAATGCGCGGGGAATTGAATGGATTCTTTATTATAAAACAAATAGAGAAAATAAAAATAGAGAAGCCTTGACTGTGCTTTGTTCTATTGTAAAGCACTTAGAAGCAGTTAGAGCACTCAAGAAGTGGGGAGAAACACTCGACTACGTCTCGTGTTTCTCCCTACACTTCTTTCGTGCTCTAACCGCTTCCTGCGTGCTTTACAACAGAACAGAGCGCAATCAAGGCTTCCCTATTTTTTAAATATATAGCCTTGAAGGAGAAACAGGTTCGAATTTTTATCGCAATAAAAGGCTCTGTAACTGCTAACTGTAGTTGTGTGAGATTACATGCCCTCAATACATCAATACAGAGTGAAGTTCAGTAGTTTTTCGGAAATACGTGCATCAATAAATTTCCATTTATCGTCACAGTTTATTATTTTGGTATGTAAACATTTTTCGTTCCGAGACCGAATCAAGTGTCTCTCCCACCCCCGAAAGGAGCTGTCTCAACCAAGGAAAGGAATTTTATCGACCAAGAAAATAGGTGACTTCCTGGAACCCTACACATAATTGCAAACCTGAATCCAAATAAAACTTAAAATTTCTTCTGGAATACCATACAACGAATGCTAGGAGATATGTCCCGCCATTTCTTCTATCTCGACAGTGCTAATGGTTGCTATGAGTGAAGTATCTTTAATCAATCCAAAGATTGCTATTTTTCCCATCCCAGCTGAAAATGATGAAGTCAGCATTTAAGCGAGTATGGTGACCTTCCCTTTGGTGAAAATATTTTGATAAACTTTTTCTTTTGCAGAGCAGTTTTAAACAGTTCAATATCATCCGATGAAAATTTCCACACAACAGCTATGTTTATTCCTGCCACAATTTAGAACATAGCAGTTTAATCTAAAAGTAGTCTCATAACAGACATAACATAACATTCAGAGGTTATCTAATGGTACTGCATTTTTTAATTGCAGGTTGTTTAATCCTATTGTTCAATGGACATAAGATACTTCGTTGCTTTCCTTTCGTTTCGAGTGTAAACCAAAACGTTTTTTCCCCATAAAGCTTCGTAATAAAAGAAAAAAAAAACAATCGAGCGTTATTTAGTGCTTCTGACTGTCCCCTCTTCTCAAAGTCAAATAAATTTTGCCGAGGTCACCGATAGCCTGTGAGTAAATATCTTTCAATCAAGCTGTCTTCTTATCAAAGCGGTTGTTTTGTAACAGTTAGAGGAGAAACTCCCTTACCAAAAAAGAAAAAAACAAAACTAAAAAAAAAACCCGAGAAATTAAAACTTAGTTAATTAATCATTGAAGCCCGAGCTCGGAGGTACTAAGGCTATTGAAATCGTAAATATTCGGTGATTTCTAATAAATAACTCGGTGAACGTCCAATTTTTTCGGGGACTGATGTATAGGGAATCTGAATTAGCTCTTGCAAAGTTTTGCTATTAAGCGACAGCAGGTGGCGAAAACAAGCAGATTCCTTGATTTGACAGTGTGGTAAAGATCTGAAAATTGAAAGTCAAGAGAGGACACCCTTTCTTGCCGCAAAGTCCTTACTGATTTTAATGACAACAACTACAAAAACAACAACACATCCTAAAGCAATCAAAACATCTGCGCCACCAAGGTGTGGGGATAAAAACGTAGCTAACCCCACCGTTCCCTTTACTCTTAAACTGCACTGAAAAACTTCCTTCTGACTTGTCTGATTTTACATTCGAAACTTGTGAGTTAGAAGGCTCCCATGCACCCTGTCGTTTTCTAATGTGCCACTTTTTGTATGAAATCTCGCCATGAACCAAACGTGTCTCCAGGAGTACAATGCCCTCTGGGTAATGAGGATCGCTTCTCACGGCTGCAGCTTTGATAAACAAAGACAGGTCAATAACAACTGAGAATTAAATCAGAAAATATTCCACATTCGAATTAAGGGTTGAATTTCTAAAGAAACTGTGGTGCTGCTTCGATGGGAGAGTGTAATAGGCTAATTTAGTGTTAAATATATCAAGTTGATAACGTTCATCTGCCACCGTAGAGAGTATCTGATCTGACGTTTCGAGCGTTAGCTATTCGTCCGAGAGCGAATGGCTAATGCTCAAAACGTCAGCTTTGAAACTCATCGGTGGCCAATTTACGTTATCAACTCAGTTGATAATATTAAACTACCCTGTAGTATTCCACACTCGATATGTTAGAATGGGGTTCAGGAAAACTCAGGAAAATAAAATTAGTTCCATTCTCAACGGAAAGTTAGCAAACTAACGCTATTACCTCCATAATAAGGTTGATTTTGGGAACGTCTTAACTCACTAGTTTCGTTCATTCCTGTCCTTTCACTTGCTTCATTTCCTTCATAATGTTGTTTCTCGCCTACAAATTTCGGCTGCAAGATAAAAGCCCAGTTTTCATTCCACTCATTCAACCATTCATACCATTTCCCTTGTATTTATAAAGCTCAGTCTTACTTTCTAAACTAAGTTTTGTGGTTCAAGGACTCCATTCTCGTTTGGCCATACCAGATTGTTTGATGTAAACCATATCAAATTACGGCCCCTATTTATTCCTCTCACGTAAACTTCTGATATCCCTGCTTCCCACTCGGGCGAATTGTACTTTAAATTGTAGTTATCTTTTCCTAAGATTTGGTGTGTGTCTGATTCAATCTCCAGACATTTCCTTTCGACCCGAACATGCATATGAAGACAAACATACACTTTTTCTTTAAACTTACACCAAATGGAGAAATCTTTTTGTTTGGTTTTTAAGTCGTTTGGTGCTAATTCTGTAAGTGGGTTAACCTTGGTGGGCTAGCCTTGGTAATCTCATACCTCAACGGAGGGTTTTTCCTGCCTTGCATTTCCTCTCGGAAAAGGTGTTTCCTTGCTATCTCCAAGCGGTGCCTGCAATATGAATGACCAGATGCCGTGTATATAACATCTCTCTTAGCCTTCTTACAACTTGCACTCCACATAATTTAATACATGCATTTTGAAATTTCTGGTGATGCTTGTAAACTAATTGGCTCTCAGTAATGCAGTATATTCTCAATTCGCACTGTTTTCCTCTAAAAACATCTCCCCAACCAATGAAAAAGTAACATTAAAACCAAAATAACCAATCAGATGTCATGGCTTTTTTTTTTCGTATAATCGATCAAATTGCAGGAAAACGGAAGACAAAGAGGCCATTGGGTGGAGAATTCCTCTTTTTGCCAAAAATGGATGAATTCTCTTTCTAACAGCATTTAAATAACGACGATGTAGTCAATCGAATAAAAGAGATGGTTAGTTTTGAGCTCGTTAAAGAAAAAGGGAAAGGTGTTTTCATCCTGTCACGAGCTTGGGACAAAGAAAGAAAAAATGAATGATAATGAAGAATTTGTACTGACTTAAGTCCTGTACCAGTTTTGGCGCTTAAAAATTGTAATTTCAAAATAGAATGTAATAAAGTGATGATTGGACTTATGTCGTGTAACTTTGGCCTGAAATCATACTTGTGATTTCAAATCAAACTCGTGCTGCGCTAGTTCCGTTTTGCAATCATGCCGATCACGCATATGATTTCAGTTCAACTTGCACTCCACTAAGTTCAATCGCCATTATATACCTCTGAGCCTTACTAGCACAAAGCACAATACTATAGCTTTGATAATAGAGAACAAAATTGCATGACCAAGAAATTTGTGTTATAATTGTTACTATACCTATCATCCTCGTTACCGTTATCATAATTATTTGTATTTTTTTTTCACTATTCAGTTTTCTTTCAGGACATTCAAGGACGCTTTTTTGTTTTGACGGCGTTATCAGTGACTTTTTGGTCCAGCGTAAACATTTGCAAACGTAGTTGAAATTTTATATCTCAACTATTCTAGTATAGGAACATCGCACTAATTCATTTCTCACCAACCAAATATCGAGATTATAATATCTGAACAAACCTGGCTTATTTCATTGGTTTCAGAGAGTGTCTAAAACATTTTTCCATAACTCACCATGTCGCTTAATTAAGTCATACCTCGTCGTAGTGAGTTGTTGGTTCTTGTTTTTGTTTCAGTTTTGGTTGGTATTGGAACTTTTCCCCATTTTTGCTTGGATCAAAGTAATGCAATAGCGCCTCTTCGTGGATTTTTCTATGAGTCTTATTCCAAGAAAAAATGAAGCTCTTTCTTCCATCGAGATACTCTTCATCAAACTGTGACTCCACTTTCCTTCGTGCCCAGCGTGAGATAACAACCTGTCCTTCCTCGTCTTCATCTTGTTTGTATTCATCGTCGCCACCGATGACGATCAACACCTTGTTGTCTGATAAAAAATGATTCAAAAAAGGATTAGACAACATGAAGCGTGCAATAATTACTTAAGAGGCTGTCTCTCTTATTTCCACCCGGTCAATTTTGCGTCAAAAATAATTTTGCCTGAAACTCTGTTAACAGAAAGACTTTACCTAGGAAAGAACTAAATTAGATTTGGTTTGATTCGAAATAATTTTCTGACTGCATTACGGGCCATAATTATTTCCCAGTCCGTAGGGACCGTCGCGACGTCTCGAAAATTGAAAAATAGGTATATTTTGTAACGTTGTAAAATATTTGATTCGCATAGTTAAGCCACAGAATTTATATCAGATTGCTTAAAAACCTTTCTAGTTTGCCAAGAAAGTTAGAATTTTCCCTCTCAACATATTTGAAAAGGCGAATTTTAGCATATTCTGACCACTAGAAATCGCCATCGGCCGATGGCCGAAAATAACCTTGATTTAGACGCTAAGTTTTGGGATTTGGGACCTAGTTGACGATTCTATCCTACACAGCCGTTAAGTTTAGACCTTTATAGGCAAAAATATGCAAAAACCCCTGTACGTTTTCGATTTTTCAAAAGTTATGACCGTTTGAATCAGCACATGTACGAGCATTCGCGATTTTTTCGCCTACACCAAAATCGAACCACTGGAGCAGATTTCGCCATAAATACAGCTTACCCGCTTTGCAGCCCGGCTTCATGGCTCACTTCAGAGTTTTTCTAATAACCAAATTGGTGAAATCCATGATAACTTCAACAAATAGCTAGGTATTGCCTTCGAAAAGTAGGCGGCATCAATCGTGATTCGTGGTATCAAAACAAATGCCGGAATTGGCCACATTTCGCGGTGAATCACCCATTTAACATCGCTGCAGAGCTGAATTTTTTCCAAAATCAGAATATAAACTCTCCATGTCTGGAAGCTGAGGGAGAAATGAAGGTTTTAGGCTTCTGAAGTGAAGAAATAATCGCTTAAATTTAGATCCAGTTCGATGTTATACTGTTCTCACAAAGGTCCGCACAAAAGAGAAGACCGCTGATAGCTTGTGCCGTACGTTGTGCCATATGGTTTTGTTTTGTATCCCAAAGTAATATTTGGGCAGAAAAATTTTGGATGAAAAGAATAAATGCTTTTACCTGGAGTTTGATATCATATAATTAATAAATCAATTTCAAATATCCTGAGCTTGCTTCTCTCGGTTCCGCGTCGATTGTGTCCACAGAACAGCAACCTGTCGATAGCCGGAGAAATCGGCAGCCAACGTGTTAAAAACTTGACACGTGCTTCGTATGAAGAGATGTTATAAGTGTTGCTTTTGGTAAATTTTCAATCGATTTCATCAAAACATTTCACTGACTACTAGATATTATAATATATTACACTATAACAACGCCGTCAGAACTTGATATCGGAAGTAAAGATAGTTTGTATCTGTAGAGCATATTCTACACTTTCAGCCACCGTATAAGACATTGTTTACATAAGTCTACTGAGAAACACACTGACAATCACTAATCACGTCCGACAGTTTGTCTATGAGGATCTGTTTTTTGTCTCTCAATTTTACAGGGATCTCAAAATGACTACAGATGGCTCTCAACAAAACCACATTGAATTTCTGAAGTGTGTTATTGTGGTAACGTTCACAGAGGTCCTACGTATCGTAGCAGATTGGATGTGAGACTTTGATCTCTTTGTTAACTTTGTCTACCAGATCTTATCTCTCGGAATTTTCCTGGACGCATTGGATATCTTCCTCCTCATCCAGTGATATCCCGATCACACCCTGATCTTTTCGCCGCATTGCTGCTAGCCGGGAGAAAAAGCTCTGAACTTGGTTCTTTGTCAGCCACTGTTCTCTAGTGAACAAACGTGCATTTGATTCATTTTTCGCATTTCGCATGTCCACTGCAACTTGGGCGGGGTCGGCCTTTCGCCCAGTTCTTTCTCCAAGTGTAAACCGTGCCGTTAGGTATTCTTTTACCTTCTCTGAAAATCTAACGCTGCCCCTTGGTTTGCTTACGGCCCATCCTGTTCGTAAAGACGAGTGGGGCGAAGTATCCACGGGAGAAGTGAGTGGTGTACTAGAATCTAACGAACAGCTCGAACACTCGATACCAGCGGTATCTATCGACGAGAACTTAAGGGCCCAGTCCCTTTTGATTGCATCATACTGGCTTTAACCTGCTGACTGTATGCTTTCCAACGTCCAGGTGCAGCTCCAGCTGCGAAAAGGTTTCGAACACTTCAACACATCCAAACACAGAGCATTCAAACAATGGCGTTGTACTCTCTGTTTCCTTGCTGCCCTTTGAACGACGCTTGACCACACGCTTTTCAGGAGGATCATAAAACCCTTGAGATTCTATGGTTTGAAGGGACGTTTGACCTTGGTGCTTGATATAAATTACGTCATATGGAATGTACTTCCCTTTACCGATGCCATAACATTTCCAAACTCTCAGACCGATATCTCCATATTCGAATCGAAGTTGTGGAAGCTACTAAAATGCTCAATCTTATTTATACAGAGAGTGTTCTTTGATTCGTCTACTATTCTTACTGCAGCTGTTGTTCCCTTCACTGGGTGTTTCGTCAATGCGTATCCTCTGTCCAATGAAAGCTTTAACAACCTCGCTGAAGACTCGCTACAGACTGAAGCCTCTCTGGTTTCGAAAAAGCACTTGCATGCCATACTACACTTGCAGGCCTTCCAAAAAAAATAAAGGGTTAGCGGGTTCACCCGCAATGATTAATGCGGACCTCTGTTATGCGCGATAGTGCAATCGTTCAGCTTTAAATTCCAAAACGCCAAACTTCGACACATAGACTTACAAGTGGAGTTCTATGACTGATTCTTGAAGAGAATGCAGCTGCAATCCAAAGTTTCAACGGGACATTAAGCGCGAAACATGGCTTTAGTTTTCGAGTTTAGTTCGCAACAACGAGTCAAAGAAGAGTATCGACAGATGCCGACCGCTGAATTTTGGAGGTATTTGCTGGAGTTATCATAAAGTCCAGTTCACCAGTTTGGGAAGCGAGGAATATCTGAAATTTCACATAAACCCATGATTTCTCCGGCTATTGACAGGTTGCTGTTCTGTGGACACAATCGACGCGGAACCGAGAGAAGCAAGCTCAGGATATTTGAAATTGATTTATTAATTATATGATATCAAACTCCAGGTAAAAGCATTTATTCTTTTCATCCAAAATTTTTCTGCCCAAATATTACTTTGGGATACAAAACAAAACCATATGGCACAACGTACGGCACAAGCTATCAGCGGTCTTCTCTTTTGTGCGGACCTTTGTGAGAACAGTATAACATCGAACTGGATCTAAATTTAAGCGATTATTTCTTCACTTCAGAAGCCTAAAACCTTCATTTCTCCCTCAGCTTCCAGACATGGAGAGTTTATATTCTGATTTTGGAAAAAATTCAGCTCTGCAGCGATGTTAAATGGGTGATTCACCGCGAAATGTGGCCAATTCCGGCATTTGTTTTGATACCACGAATCACGATTGATGCCGCCTACTTTTCGAAGGCAATACCTAGCTATTTGTTGAAGTTATCATGGATTTCACAAATTTGGTTATTAGAAAAACTCTGAAGTGAGCCATGAAGCCGGGCTGCAAAGCGGGTAAGCTGTATTTATGACGAAATCTGCTCCAGTGGTTCGATTTTGGTGTAGGCGAAAAAAATCGCGAATGCTCGTACATGTGCTGATTCAAACGGTCATAACTTTTGAAAAATCGAAAACGTACAGGGGTTTTTGCATATTTTTGCCTATAAAGGTCTAAACTTAATGGCTGTGTAGGATAGAATCGTCAACCAGATCCCAAATCCCAAAACTTAGCGTCTAAATCAAGGTTATTTTCGGCCATCGGCCGATGGCGATTTCTAGTGGTCAGAATATGCTAAAATTCGCCTTTTCAAATATGTTGAGAGGGCAAATTCTAACTTTCTTGGCAAACTAGAAAGGGTTTTAAGCAATCTGATATAAATTCTGTGGCTTAACTATGCGAATCAAATATTTTACAACGTTACAAAATATGCCTATTTTTCAATTTTCGAGACGTCGCGACGGTCCCTACGGACTGGGAAATAATTATGGCCCGTAATGCAGTCAGAAAATTATTTCGAATCAAACCAAATCTAATTTAGTTCTTTCCTAGGTAAAGTCTTTCTGTTAACAGAGTTTCAGGCAAAATTATTTTTGACGCAAAATTGACCGGGTGGAAATAAGAGAGACAGCCTCTTAAGTGCACGATATTTGCAGTTCTTCTCTGTTTTGCAACTATTTTCTTTGCGACACTTGTAAACTAACCTTTTCCTAAAATAAACTAAAAGTTCAAAAGATATATATTCTATCAAATAATCAAATATAGATCTTATATGAAAAAGTACATCTATATTTTTTTCCCTCTTTTTTTCGAAGTTCTGACCGTAAATGAAATTTAGATCCGTCTTTTTTCCGAGAAAAATACCCCTTATATTTTTCTACGTTACTCATTAACTGAATTTTTGTTCGGCCATTCGTGCTTCTTCTAACAATGAGTAATCAAGCTAAATTAATTCCCCCATGACTTCAGTCATTGCTTCCTCTGAACTTAAATTTATCGTTGTTGTATCGAATTGGCAGCATTTAGTAACCAATAGTTAATAGTAATAGATAGTTAAGAAAAAGGAAGCGTCGTTCGCCGACTTGCTATTTGCAATTCATCCGAGTTGTTTACCACAAGCGTGAATATTGCAGTATGTACCAAGCTTTTTCATGCGTGTCTTACATGTATATTTGTTTCCATTTCGCTCCGCCAGTGTGTTGCGCGGTTTTAATAATGTCACAGATTTAACCAATACCCTCTTTTCCCCTGATGACAAATGCGATTCTTTAGCTTCTGTTAGAAATAAACTGAGTCCCGTGCGAATTCCAACTAGAAGATTTATCCATCAGCATTCGCACACACCTAGACTACAGTTAATTCAAATGTTTTGAATATTATCACATTTCCCATCCTTTGTAAAAGTAAATTTCTCCCTATTTTCAAAAATATGACCTCGAATGTTGTATCACGAACATGTCATTTCGTTTTCACAGGATAAATTGATCAAATGCCAAAAAAAGAATCTAAATTCTTTAGCTTCTGTTACAAATAAACTGAGTCCCGTACGAATTGCAAGTAGAATCTTTATTCATAAGCATTCGCACACCTAGACTACCTACTAGGCGAGTTGAATCAAATGTTTTGAATATTATCACATTTCCCATCCTTCGTAAAAATAAATTTCTCCTTATTTTAAAAAATATGACCTCGAATGTTGTATCACGAACATGTCATTTCGTTTTCACAGGATAAATGGATCAAATGCTGAAAAAAAGCCCCTAAACCGCTTCCGCCTTATGGTGTGTGACAACAACGGCTCGAAAGAGAAAGTAAAGTATTTGCGCATATTCTCTTTTACCGAATCTCCTGTTCAACACTTAATAACGCGATAAACTGTCTGTTGTTTAGTTCTATGCCATCCATGCCCGTTAAATGAAACAGTTTTTCTCCCTTAACTTACCTGTGGCATCTAATAAAGCTCTGTAGATCTTCGCGTAGCCAATCCCCGCATTATCTTCGTTGATCGAGAGACGCGACTCGTGTGCCTGTACGACAAAAATTGCACAATCCATCTGAATTTGAGGAATTTTGGTCTTACAATAATCAGCCAATTGTTGCAATTCAAAGTTGTGCTTCCCAATCGCGAAGTTGAAGCCATGTTTCTTATTCATTTCCATCAGGAACGCCTCAACCACATCTAGCTTATAGGTGTTATCGCAATTGAAAAGACAAATGGTTTTCTTCGACTTATCCGCCATAATATGACTACTATTTCTTCGCCAAAAGCTCAACTTTATGTTATCAGTGAGTGTCGTTTATCTCAGGGTGATGATTCTATGAATAGCAGATTTCCCAGAAACGGTAATCTTGTGACGTTGTTTTTCATCTGTTTTGTCACGCAATGCAGTCTCAAAAAAAGAAAAGAGTGTTTCACTCCGAGATGTGATACTTTCTTACTTCAGCGCACAAAGTGCTCAACCAAACCTTCAACAAGAGAAAAACTCTGCTTCTTGTCTTTCCTTAGTTGATAAAACGAAAAACGGATTGAGCAAAATTAAACAGTTCCTTTCAGTCTCAAAAGGATAAAGATATACATTGAACCTCGCGATGGACGATAAACAATGATTGTTATGCTTTAAGACATTCTGTTACCCCAACTGGAATTAGCAGCCAACATAACTCCCTCTTTGGCCTTTTCTTCGGTCAATTGAACAATGCATAAATATGTCCTGAACAAAACCTTAGCCTAGGATATGTTCTCAACATGAAACCTCATCTCATTTCATCATCACTATTCCCATATCAATATTACACCGCCATTTTAAAACATTATGTTGGTAAACAGTTGCTTGGAGTTTATAAGCAAGGATGGGATCGGTAGAAGAAGAGAAATTGCGATGTGAAATCATGTCCATTGTATGTGTAACGTCCATTTTATTTACCCTTTAGACTTCCTACATGTTTTTATGTTTTCTGAACAACTTGGATAACATAGTTGGTGAACATAATGTTGACAGCTAATCATAACTTATCACAGAAAAGAAATAACCAATAAAATTTTCAACGTCGAAAACACTCGGTTAGAAATAGTAATAATAAAGAAAAAAAAACTATAACAAGAGCAAATGATATTTTTTACCCAAAGGTAAAAAATAAAGTTATATTAGTTAATATATAGCTATAGTAGAACTTTCTCGTAAAGAAATCAACTGATTGCTTACTTCGACTTCACAAAGCAAAAACTGTTTTTTGTAATTCCTAAAAGGATTGTTTGTGTATCATAAAAACTTAGCAATAACAATATTCTCTTAAAAAAAAACCAGTTACTCTCTAAATTACAAGTTAAATTTATCAGTGAAGTGAAAAAGGTATACTACAGTACTGAAGTCATGAAACTAAAATATCAAAGGACAGGCAGCTCATCACTGTTTCCATGGCATAATGTGATGAGGGGTAATAATACTCTTTGGATGGGTTGCTAGACCATCCAGGGCTGTCACCTGTAGGCTGGCCAGTAAACTTGAATGAATAACTACATGAATTCCTAAAGCCAGTTCACTGTGTTGGTAAATCTTGTTTGAGCTTGCAGGAATACCATGTTGAACTATTCTCACCCCATATAACATAATAATCTCGAATGAAAGTAAGTAAAAAAAGTAGTAATAGTCGACAAACCAGATTGTTTGTATATCTGACCTTATCTTGTCTATGGTCGCTCTAAGTTAAGATCTCTTTTGTAGGTTAAGCTATCTGGGAAAAGGTAAGATTCATTTTTCTGTGCAATGTTTCTAACGTAGACTTAACTCTGACAGGGGTTCTGGCAGTTCAAACGAAAAACTGTCTTGATATTTCAACACCTTCACAACATAATCTTAAAACTATTTTAAAAGTACTCTAATGCTGTCCTTACTGATCAGGTATTCTCGGTCGGTTATAAACCAGGGCTAATCTCCAAATACCATAAATGGCCAGCCCCACCACACCAAGAAAGGTTAAAAGAGCGACCCGTCGTGACCAGCCCCCCCCACCACTCGGATGAACCTTAGTGACAGTGTAAGTGACACCACCGGTACCAAGAGATCTAAACTGCACATAAGCTTCAAGGACTGTTCCACAATCTCGTGCTATGTCCTGTATGGCCCTCTCAGACGGTTTCCATGTTTTCTCCCAAATCTTAACGTCATCAACCTCGAAAGAGATCCTACCATTGCGAATCCGAGTGTCTAGCAGGACAATGCCCTCTGGCCATTGGTACGGGCCTGAAGTTCAAAATAAGGAAACATTAGTTGAATCAAGAAGCAACGGTTAATTTCGAGAGGAATGATGTACGAAAGGTTAGAATAAGATTGAGGTTATCAGAATTTTAAAACACGGGTCGTTTGTCTTGGTTCAGAAACTCGTCGTCAAAATTTTAAAAAGCGGGTGTAAGACCTGATTTTCTCATGTTGGTCTCGATTATCTTAAGAAAGAGAAGCATGTGAAAGCACTGTGAGCCGTTGTTTCACATGCTTCTCGAATTCTTTTCCATATGCCAATTATATGTAAATTTTGCATGTGTAAAACTGAAAAAATCGTATGGATAGTGCGCTTCGATGTTACCATTACGAACGGCTAACTACATGGAAATTTACGCATAGTTTTTTAGAAATTTCGTCTTCAGCTGTTTCCACAAAGCAGTCACTTGAATTTTAAGACTGTCATAATTCAATTACATTTACTTATTATACCTGGATACGGACCTGGATCATCCACGTCAACCGCCGTGTCGTTTCTAATCGGCTGCACTGGAGGCTGATAGGAAAAAATGATTAGATAGTCACTCGATAGCATTAGACGATAATTTTTTGCTGACTGTTGAACTAAGATGTTCTCCTGGTGGACACCTACACCCCTCTCTTATGACAACAAATAATTATTTTATTTGTGCAAAAAAATTCATTCAATTTTCTCATACTACCTGAGGAGTCGGTTGTGGTTGTGGTTTTGGCTGTGGCTTTGGCTGTGGCTCTGGCTGTGGCTTTGGTTGTGGCTTTGGTTTGGGCTGGTATTCAAACTTCTTTCCTGTTTTGCTTGGATCAAAGTAATGCAGCAATGCTTGCTCATGGATTTCCCTATATTTCTTGTCCCAGGAAAATATGAAGCTCTGTCTTCCGTCGAGATATTCCTCCTCGAACTGCGAAGCCACTTTTCTCCGTGCCCAACGCGAGATCACAGATCTGTCTTCCTCGTCTGTATCTTTGTAGCTATTGTCTCCACCGATGACAATCAACACCTTGTCACCTTGGAAAAAAAATTAAATAAATCGATTTGAAAACTGTTATGAATGACTTACGGTCGATGCTAAGGGGAGAGACTTCCCTCCCTGTTGGACACACACACACGCACAAAAAAATAATTTATTGTATCAATGAATTCAAATTCCACGTGGTTTTACTGAAAAACAAACCACATCTATCGCATATCTGTATCTGAATATAGTAATACCCTATAAAACCGAGTTTTCAGTGGAAATAAATGATTTTCTCCACCTAAGCATACCTTAACAAATACCGATACAATTTTTTTTATATTGTTATCAGACATCCAAGTTCTTACCGAGAAACCGTGAGTTATAGAATGGTTTTGTGAAAGTGAAACTGGCAGCGAGGTCGGAAGTAACTTCCGCTTTTGGTCAGACCCAACATGGACACAACTAAGTGTTTTCCACGAAAGCGAGAGTGTAAATACTGAGCAATTAGCTTTGAAAGCTAATCGTACCAAAGGCTCGCGTCTTTTCTTCAAAAAAGTAAAATTGAAAACTCGACTACCTTGAGAGATACACACCAATTAATGTTTCTCACGAACAAAAATATGAATAATAAATAGAGGCATTTTAAATGCCACACAGCCACAATTTTCAGACTCGATGTATCGTTTGTTTTATTTGGGACTTAAAAGACAGTTAGCCTTTTTAGAGTATATGTCGCCATAGAAAGGAAAACGTGGATCGTTATCGTTCTGAAAAGATCTGATGCAAAACGCTGTCTACTCAATCGTTTTGACTCACCAGACGCTCTCTGTAAAGCTCTGTAGAGACTTGCGTAACCAATTCCAGCGTTGTCTTCGTTGATTGAGAGCCGTGATTCGTGGGCATTGACAGCGAACACGGCAAAATCCATTTGTAGTCCGGGAATGACTGTCTCGTTCATCTCTGACATTTCACGCAGCCGAAAATTGCGCTTGTGTACAGTAAACCGCATCTTCACGTCGTTTTGCACGGTTAGTAACAGGGATTCTATTGGATCCAAACTACAAGTATTGTCGCAGTTAAAAAGATAGATGTTGGCCGGCTTTCCTTTGACATCCATGGCACTTTTCTTTTGAATGATTTCACCAACGAACAGGAAAGCAAACACTTCTCGAACACAGCCGAACAAAGTCTAATTGCTTGTTGTTCCCGGTATTCTGGGAATACGAATTCCCAGAATATTGCGTTACCCCCATTTGTAACCGAACCTTTTGATGACGTGTACGTCAACTGCATGTGGACACTATTTTTTTTAACATTCTTAAATCCTTGGCTGAAACCAGTAACTATAAAAACTATGAAAATTAAATTTTTAGTGTATTTTAATACTTGTAGCTGGAAAAGTAAGAAGGGCTGAATACCCGAGGCGAAGACTTTAAATTTTTGTCATTTTTCCTCAAAGGTCTTCATTAGCTTTCTCGCGAACAAAACAATGGGTTCACTCAAGAATACAGATTTCAGTCACACGTATCACAATACATCTGTCACCAAATTACCGACAACTTCCGAAAGAGAGGAAGCTTATTGCAATTAAAAGCTACAATTTCTTCGAAAAATAAGACAATTAATCAGGCGAATAACCTTTGTTTGAAAATGTCTGAAAATGTGTCTGGTCGCTATCTTGTCAGTATTTCATGCCTGGACGAGCACGATAAACAACACGAAATAGAGCATAACAAATCAGGTCCTTCTCGTGACATCTGGGGTTGACAGTGTCCATCCCGCTCTCTTACTTGGAGACGTTCAGTTAAAGTGGCGGTGAATAGGGTATGGGGAAGGGTGGGATGGTATAAAATGCTAGATTTCCGGACCTTAACTTCACTATTAGACAGACTTGAGACATTTCGATCGCTTAGAAAGTGTCACATCACTTTCCATTCCCTCCTGGTATGATTATTTCTTTACTGAGAAAATAGGATTTTGGAACCTTGCACTGAGGTCTGCATACAAATGTAGGAATAAAGAAGTGAAATCCTACCTAATTTTAACTGTAATAACACGCAACAGATATTTCAACAAAATATTAAAAACCTGTATTTCTAAGGCATCCAATCGTTAGGAAATCAGTTCATAAAAATAAGAAAGTAATAATTTAATAGGCTTTTTTTTTTTTAAATGTTTCTATCCTACACGATTCCTCATCTCCTAACTAACTAAACCAGCTAACTACGATTATAAACATAAATTACGGATAAAATAACAATACTTATTACAAATGAGATTACGAATGAAAGTAAAACTGTGAAAGCGTGAAACAGAACTGTTCAAGCAAAATACATTTTTCACATATTCAGAAACCGTTTGCTTACACTTCTCTTAACAGTCAACAATTATATCATCTTTTCCTAAGCTATCCATTACAGAGACCATGTTCTTATTTTTAAATTTTGACGTGATTTAATATCCTGTCAAACTTAAAAAAAAGATAGAAAAGAGATCGCCTATCGGTAATTGTTTTTCCTTATCTATCTTGAGGTACTGGTAAACCTCTCGAATAATCAAAACTAATTAAAGCTGATATGGCCACGTTATTTGAAAAATTATGAAAAATATCTGTTTTAGAAGGGTGTCCGCTTTGTAAGGATCATTATGATGACGTCACTTCGACAAAGTGTCCTGTATCTACAAACAGGTGCACAAATGCATTTACTTTATCATTGACAAACAGTACTTATTTCCTGCCAAGTGATTGAATAGTTTTATCTTTAATTTTTTTAAATTTTTGTTTTCGTTTAGAATCTGTGGTTCTGAATCGCTTATTCATTGCCACAGTGTTAACTTTTTTAAGGCTCAGCTTTGGTAAATAAATCGTTGGTATTCAGCATGGCATGTAACTGAAAACAGGAGGTTGTTTTACATATGGAAACTCTGAGCTGAGTTTTGATGTCCCCTTTTTACGTATTAGAAAGAGTGCATATTATACAGGTTTGTTTCAGAAGAAAGTATACTAGAACTGACGATCGGGATATATCAAGCTGTTCACAAAGAAGAGGTGTCCTTAAGGAGGAAGTTCGACTGTAGTTTGAATTTGATTAAATGAGTTGCGATAAAACTTGAAAGACACGGCTTAAAAATGTTAAAGCTGAAAACGAACTGGAACAGTAGTTAGTCGTCTGTTTTAAAGTCAGGTTTAATTAGGCCTAAATGTTTATATTTTTATGGTTAGCTGTTTTCATCCGTCGATTTTTTTTCCAAGCCATTCACACACTGCTATTAAAATCCACAGTATGCAACTATAAATCCAAGCAAGGCAATCCCAGACTAACTTTAAACAACACAGTACGCTGGCCCAACTACAAATACTCTGAGGTTGCACACTGTAAGAGATCCCACCGTTAGCCATAGCGACAAATCTAACATTTGCAAGAGGTATAAACATCCAATCTCTCGACAGGTGGCGGACAGTTGTTCCAGACGGCTTCCATCTGCGGTCCCAGACCCTCACGTCCTCTTTTTTAAACGAGATTTTCCCAAAACGCACGAGTGTGTCCAGCAGTTCGGTACCTTCGAGAAATTCCGGTCGGGAATCGATAGGCTCTGGCCTGGGCCCTAAGGCTAGATAAAAATAGATTTCTAAATAGGTAAATAAATAAATAAATAAAAATAACCCTTACTGAGGGTTTCAGCCCTCGCCCAATACTGAGGAGGTGGGGTTGAGGTAACGCAATTTGGTACTTGGGAACTGGAACGGAGGAAAAATCTTCCCACTGGTCTTGCCTGGCGTAATCGTTAATGTAGTAATAATTTATTACGCCTATGCTTCCTCCTGTCATGGCGAGGAAAAGGTCGAACATACGCTCCCAAATAAATATTTAATCTGAACCCAATCATTCGTTTAATAAAGTACACTGCCTCTAAAATGAGTGTTCAGCCTTTGAGAAATAATTTTATTACAAGAAATGGATTCTTGACGTAAAATCGTGGACTCACATTTTTCTCCTTCTTGGCCTGTAAGCCTTCTTTGGGTTCCTCCTCCTAGAGGAGGTACATCATCACCAGAAATACCGTCCTGCAGGATACATGAAAGAAAGCTTTCAACAAACTTGAATGAGAAGCACAACTGATTTAGGAGGAATGAGATTGGAGGGAACGAAAGAAGTGAATGAGTAGATGAATGAATGAATGAATGAATGAAACAAAATATCAAATCAATCAGGAAAGCCACATATGGGAATCCAGATTGGCTTGATGAGCAAATACATGAATCTTGACTTAACATGTTTTAGAAGTTCTAAACGCTTTAACTCAGTATTGCAACATGCCTGTCTACAACTTACATTGAGAACAATGGAAGAGTGGACACGAATCAATAGACTTGATGACTCTAAAATGCAATTCCACAACCCGAATAGTAATCTAAGGAGTAGTAAGCTAATAATTGCTCTCTTCCACTTCTTTAAGTTTTTGATTTGTAAGTAATTCAGAGTGGATTTGTTATAAAAAAATGTCCAGATAGGGTTGTGGGTCACTATCAGAGGGTACAACCATAAACGAACTTCGATTTCATCGTTGTGTGATACCAGATGCTACCTCTCCTCTTGATGTCAAACTATGTGTGTCTTGAGCCGGGCGCATGCTTGATCATCGATTTAACGCTCTAACTCCCACGATCTCACTAGTAATCCTCCTAACTGTCTGCCATATGGTTCTAGTGATTTTAGTTTGGAGTTTTTGGTATTGGATCAACTAATAATCCCCAATTAATACCAATTTTTCCCTATTCTCACCATTTGTCTACTCGATATTGTATTGATATTGTAAGGAGAAATTCTGTCTTGGTCACTCATGGGAGTTAAAGGGTTCAACAAATAAACACAAAAAACGGTCAAACCTTGTCCAGAGAATCATTGACTGTTAGAGGAAAGGTCGTTGGCTCTTGTTTTGGCACATACTGAAACTTTCTTTCTTTCTTACTTGGGTCGAGGTAGTGCTCTAATGCTTTCTCGTGGATTTCTCTGTGACCTTTATTCCAGGAGAAAATGAAGCTTTTTCTTCCATCGAGATACTCCTCATCAAACTGTGACGCCACTTTCCTTCGAGCCCAGCGTGAGATAACAACATGTTCTTCCTCGTCTTCATCTCTGTAATTATCATCCCCACCAATAACGATCAATACTTTGTTTCCTTTAAGTACAAGACACTGTATTACACATAACAATTTTAAACGAGTTGTACTGATACTGAAGTGGTAGTGGTTTTCACTGTTGAAGGGAAGTTCACACATTGGTCAAGGTTTGATAATCGTCAGTCTCTCACTTTGTACGTGATTGCCCTCTTCGACTGGATCGTACTAACAGAACGTTTGGAAGAAAGGCAGGGTTATTTGGGTAAATACGGAAGATGGAACATTTGAAAATGACAGTTTTTTAGACCACGTTACTGATTCAGAAAAATTGTCTCTAATTATTTGACGCGAGTGTCCGTAAGCTGACCAGAATAACTAATACTATGGAAAAAATAATTCATTCGTTTAAAAAAAAAAACAAAACAAATCAAAGTAAATGAGGGTAAATGAGGGTAAAAGACCAAGGGGAAACTCTTTTGGCAAATAACTTGTCTCAACTGGTAGTAAGTGAAGTTAAAACATTTCTTTATTTTTTATGAAGATGAAGACGTTTTTCTTCGGTGAGGCTGAGAGGCTCGCGTTAAAGTCAGTTACTGTTCGTATCAAGGTGAACTCTGATCTGAACTTTGTCATCTCGAGCTTCCACACACTTTCAGAGGAAGTATATGGGACATTTTGCATCTTTCCTTAAGCTAAATGTAGTAACATCAGTTTGACTCAATTGACATAATTTCCCCCAAAAGCCAGAGAACAGGACAAATCGGCAATACAATCGAGAACCTCAGATGAAATGTGCCGCATAATTTTGATTATTTCTCGCTGCACAAACATCACTGTACTTATTTCAATGATTACAGTCGACCTACCAGTCGCTTGCTGCAAAGTAAGAATGATAACAATGAGGAACTAGCTTTGAAAAGCAAACTTTCTTCATCCAAGTAAAAGTGGAAAAACTCGACCACCTTGAGAGATACAGGCCATTGTATGTTTCGATTGTTTGTTTTTTGTTCCTCTTGAAGTAAGATACGAATAACAAATTAAAGCATAAGTTCTTAGAATCAGTGTGGGTTGGTTTAATCAGGGACATAAAAATTAGGAAATATGACACGGTATTATAGAAAACCCTGTGAACTCGATCGTTTCGACTCACCAGTCGCTTTCAGTAACGCTCTGTAGATCCTTGCGAAACCAATCCCAGCATTGTCTTCGTTGATTGAGAGACGCGATTCTTGGGCATGGACAGCAAAAATGGCATAATCCATCTGTAGTTCAGGAATAATTGTCTCGCACATGTCTGACATTTCTCGCAGCCGAAAAATGCGCTTGCCTACCGCAAACCGCATCTTCACGTCGTTTTGCACAGTTAGTAACAAGGATTCTATTGGATCCAAACTGCAAGTGTTATCGCAGTTAAATAGATAGATGTTGGTGGAATTTCCGTTCATTTCCATGTTATTTTCCTTTGTAACATTTAGAAAGCGAACAGGAAGGACAACCTGTCTTGACTGCAGCCGAACAAAGTCCATTCGTTTGTCGTTCCACGAAAATGATTTCCCAGAATATTGCGTTACCTTGGATTTAACATTAACTTTTTGGTGACGCGTAAGCCAAAGGCATGTAAAGACAAGTTTTGATATAATCTTTTGATGAAACCAGAGATAAGACACGAATAAATCGTATATATCTAACTATTTGAAATCCTTTCAATTCTGGAAACAGAAGTGGCTAAAACCTTTTTTTTGTCACACGCGACAAAACAAAGCTGCAGGTACTCGGTGGCTTTGAAAGCACAATCAAATGTATCATGAAACGTCTTGTGCTATATCATTGTGCATTTCCGAAATGGAGAAAGCTCACTGCATTAAAAGGTACAATGTCTTAAAAGGTAAAACAACTAAAACATATTTCAGAAAGCATGCAAGCCGCCGGCATCACCATATTTGAAATATCTACAAGGCTGTTTGTATTTTGTCCAAATATTCAATTACCCTGGGGAAGAAAAATTACCCAGGTGCTTCAGTTTCCGGCATCAGTGATACATTACCAATTGGAACTTATAAATTCCCCAGCAATGGTAGAAAATATTCTTAGCACGAAGGCAGAGAAAAGGAAATTGCTTGATAAGCGCGATATCAACTCTTCGCCATAATCCTTTCAAAGAGGTTGTCGTTCTTTTTGTGCCAGCCTTTGTTCTTTACATGTCACCGTTCAAAAGATCGGGGATTGGAGGGGGCGGGGGTGTTAGAACGTGGAAGTTGAGTAAATTTTTTTGTTTTGCAGTTTGGAGGCATAGGTATAAGGAATAGAGGAGACAGTTTCATTCGTATGCACGTAAATGTTTGGCTTAGTGCATAGCCTTACCTTTTCACGTTTCATATCCGACCAAAACGCTACCCCTTTCACATTCATAGAGGGAACCCACTGTCCTTTTTAACACCAAGCAAATATTCCCTTAACATCCGCCTAATGACATTTTTCAAAGGTAGCCATATTTTTTTAGTCTTTATCTGCACTAATAAAAGCCATCCACTCTAACGCGCATAACCATGTAGCTAAGCATTGAAAGTTAAACCCTACCCTCTCCCCCCTTCAAAAGAACATCGAGCGAATGTTTCAATGGGGATCTAGCCATTCAGCCGCTGCGTCCACAAGATTAATGGAACCAAGTCACAATTTTGAGTCCATTCAGGACCTTTACGTTTAAAATACTAAAAATTCAGTTTACACGTTTGTAAGTTATTAAATTGCTTAAATACCTGACAATGCACACTTAGTGCAGATTAATATTCTAACATTAATTACGAAGATTCAGTGCGGCGTAAACTAAATTATTTCATACACACTGAGATTTACGCTGTGAAGTACTATCGTTCGTGTCTCTGGTTGGACGAACGCGGGTGATGTATTTTCACAGGCGTTCGCTACCTCACAATCATGACACACTTCCTTTAAATATGCCAGTTATGACAAAGAAGTACGCTTCGTGTTTTTAAATTTGAGGTAGGCTGTGAAACTCGAAAAAAAAATTCACGATTACATAATATCAAACTCGTACTTAATAAAAAGCTGGTCATTTTTAAAGTTACGTCCAACGGGACATAAATCTAACAGTGATTCAGCATCGATTGGTTCGTTCTCTGAGCCATCCAAAACACCTAAATATTTTCTCATACAGGTAATGAAACATCCAAGCAAGGCAATCCCTTGTTCGACATGTACATCGCTTAATTAGGTCCCTGAACCATTCAAAACACCTTGATAATTTCCCATACAAGTATTGAAACATTCGAAAAAGGCAATCCCTGCTCAACTTTAAACAACTTATTATGCACGCCCAAAGGATAAGAAACAGCCCATAACAAAAACCGCGAGGTCTCACAATGTAACATACCCCACCGTTAGCTTTAGCGACAAATCTAACATTCGCAAGCGGTTTAAACATCCAAACTTGCAACAGGTGGCGAACAACTTTTTCCGATGGCTCCCAGCTTTGATCCCAGACCTTCACATCCTCTTCTTTGTAGGAGATTTTGCCAAAACGCATGACCGTGTCCAACAGAATGTTGTCTTCAAGAAATTCCGGTTGGGCATTGAAAGGATCTGCCCTGGGCCCTAATTAAGGTTGGATTAAGATAGATTCATAAATAACTTTTACAACAACCCTTACTGAGGATTTCGGCCCTTGCTCAATACTAGGTGGGGGGGGGGGAAGGGGGGGGAGGGGGAAGGATCTTGCCTTGTCATCAAGGCTAGATTAAAATATCTTTCCAAATAGAAAAAAAAGATAATAATTTGCATAAAATCGTCAATTGCAGTAAGTCCTCTAAGATATAAGTTTGTTAGCCAAATAAACGCAACATTTGATTGATTCCAGCGCTTCCTTTTCCTCTCTTCAGTAAGGAAAGGGTCAGAGGACCTCTCAAACTGATACTCAAATCCTTAAAAATTCGTAAGTGTAATAAGCAAGGCAGCTTCGTGAACGAGGGATTTTTGCTCTCAGAAATAATTTATCTCCAGAATGAGATTTTTGTAGGAAAATTCTGGGCTCACTTTTTCTTCTCTCTTTTCTCTTAGGTCTCTCTCGGGTTGAGTCGTCTCCGCTTCGAGATAGAAGAGGTTTCTTAGCATCATCACTTACGTCCTGTGTGAATAAATGAATGAATAAACAAAAACTCTGACAAATAAGAAAGAAAGAAACGAGATAGAATGAATCTAGGTGGGAACGACAGAAGGGAAACAAAGGAAGATAGTTGAAAGATCAATTGATCAACAAACAAACAACAACTAGTCATTTGATTAGAGTATCCTGGAATCGAGAAGTTAAAGATTCAAAAGATCTAGGGAATAAAAAATTGAGGAAGTCAAAGGAATCACAATTTCGTAACTGAACAAATCCTAGAGCTATCACAGAAATAAAGCATGCATCCGGCTAACGATCTGTGTCCCGTTATGTCTGCCTGCCTGTCTGTTTGTCCGTCCGTCTATGCGCCGTCATACATTTGGTCTGTCTTTCTTTCTGTCTGTGTTCCTGTCTGTCTCTCTGTCTGCTCGTCTTCCCGTCTTTCACAACATATAAATGAAACTCCAGCTGTCATGAAAGAGAAAATTACGATAAATTTTCCGTACAGTGTATTGTCAGTGAACATAACAGCACGGAGACAGCTCTTGTAGGTTTCAGGTACGGTTTGCGTGATTCAAAGCTACAAATCAGTCCACCAATTAACTCATGATCATTGCTTGTTGACACAAAATTTAGTAGATAGCAAAAACGTGCAATCCATGACCACAAAACAATCTGAATCAAATCGCATACCTCTTCTGAAACATCTATGGTAGCGGGAGGTTGTGGTTCTGGCACATACCTAAGCTTTTGCTCTTTCTTACCAAAGTCTAAGAAGTGCAGTTCTGCTTTCTCGTCTGAACCATCAACAGTTCTAGAAGCAGCGTTTACTGGTATGGATTCGGGCACAGGCTGAAACTTCGATCTTTTCAAACGGGGATCAAAGTAGTGCTCTGGTGCATTCTCGTGAATTTCTCTGTGCGCTACCAGAGAATCATTGACTGGTGGACGAGAGGTTGTCGGCTTTTGTTTTGGTACATACTGAAACTTTTTTCCTTTCTTACTCGGGTCAAGGTAGTGCTCTAATGCTTTCTCGTGGATTTCTCTGTGACCTTTATTCCAAGAAAAAATGAAGCTTTTTCTTCCATCGAGATACTGCGCATCAAACTGTGACTCCACTTTCCTTCGTGCCCAGCGTGACAAAACAACCTGTGCTTCTTCGTCTCTATCTCTGTATTCATCATCCCCACCAATGACGATCAACACTTTGTCTCCTTAAAGTACAAGACACACCGTTACACATGCGTCATAGATTTACATGGATGACAATTTTATATTTAAATGTTTTGCACTGCTTTAAGCTCTGTTAAAAAAATACTCGAGGATTTTATATTTCTCAGCCTTACACCTTACGCCTTTGCTACTTTTGACAGGACCACATCACCAGAACCCATTGAGGAGAGGTAGCATGAGAGTAATTTTGTGAATATACGGAAGTTGAATGATTTATCAAGCCTCTGTTTAGATTATTTTTTTGTGACCATTCGACATGAGTGCTAACCAGGTCATCAAAAAGCATTTCTGTCATACACTGTAACTATAGAAATACAGATCTGAGTAAATATTCACTATTATTCAATGGAGTACAATTCATCAGTTCCACTTAAACCTTGTTCCCTTTTCCTCACTTTATTTGGAGAAAGTTTTGCAAGGTTAACTTAATTTGCAACAAAACAAAACCTCACACTCGGGAACCTATGTGGAGCCCATCAGGTCAGAGATTAATTCTACCTCCTCAGTTTGGATGGAAGAGGAAGAGCAGTGAACACATGTCGCTCTACTTTAATCAACATTTCCCAAAGAGTTTACACCACAGTGGTCCTTTGTTTCCCTCTTATGCTTATCGGTCCGAAAGATCACTAGATTCTACCAAAATACAATTCCTAAATGGAGAGGTGATTATTTTTGGCTTCAGTTAAATTGAATCTGTGAAAAGAATAAGTGGAAGAAAATTGAAGATGCAGATGACGATTTTCTTCTTGAAAATAAATGTCACAAGGAAGGAAGCTCGCAAAGTATCAACCCGTTCGCCCCGAAAGCGAAAATTTTGGTGTATAACGATGGACTCCGATCTGAAAGTCCTGTATCAATCAAACCAAAAAATATTTAAATAACGTTAACCCGGCGTTGAAAATCCTCGTCCAAAGTCATCTAATTCTAAATGCTGTAGTTATGACCTTTCAAAATGATTTATTCTGATGCCAGGCCATGTATTTCTAGCTTATTTAAAAATCAAACTTAATCGGATCTTACGTTTGCGTCGTTTTGTATTTTACTGAAACATTGTATATTTTACATAAAACAGCAATACGCGCCCTCTTGGCGTCTTCGCTTTTCGTTATTTGAAGCCTGAGAAATTGGGTATATGGCCGACAATTTAAGTCTGATATGCCCCTCAAATTTCGATAGTTCAGATCAACATTCCTTTCCAAAACCCCCCTTCCCCCCCCCCCCTTCAACATTTACAACATTTCGATGCACGCAGTTTATCCGAAGAAAATGATGATAAGCAATAATACCATTGCACTTACTGAAATAAAACTGGCAAGAGTTCAAATGAGACCTTAAACTACTATTAAAAATACTTTAAAATCTAAGCTTTCGCCGATCCATGGCATCATTATCGTAAAGCATAGACGACCGACCGTACCTGTCGCTTTCAGTAACGATCTGTAAATCTTCGCGTAACCAATACCAGCGCTGTCTTCGTTGATGGAGAGACGAGATTCATGTGCGTTGACAACAAAGACGGCATAATCCAGCTGTAGCATTTGAATAGTCTTTTCACACAAATCCGCCTTTTCCTGAAGGCGAAAATTTCGCTTATCCACCAATACTTTGAGGTTAAGATCGTCTGCCATTTTGAGCAACAAGGTTTCTACTGAGTCCAAGCTATACGTGTTATCACAGTTAAAAAGATGAAACTTCACTACCCTCACCGGACTCGCCATTTTTGTCGGTTTTACCAGAGAACTTTCAAAGAATACGAATCGATTACTACAGTATGGCGACCATTTGGCTTTGTGTAAAGTCCATTCGTCTTTCTCGGAAATTCAATTCGTCACGCATTACTTTTATTCTACTGAAAAATTACTTCCGGTTTTTTTTATGAACCTAACTCGCATTTCAGTGTTGCTCCTTATTTCTCGTCTCTGGTAAAGCGAGCTAATTTCAGAACTGAATGACTGATTTGCTGGTGGCAGGAACCCGAGGGTCCAGTCCACAATATGTCTGCGTAATTTTCAGTTCCAAAATATTTTTCAAAGTAAACATGTCTTCTGAAACTAGCTAATTCCCGGAAATGTTATTCAAGGAAGTCAATATTTCGTAGATTGGTCTATATTAAAAGATTAGACGTCATGAGAAATCATAATTATGGCTAGTACGGCTCATGTTTTCTTACGTAAAAAGCTTTATTTTGAAAAAAAGTATTACATGATTTCCACAGAGAATTAATAACCTTGAAAACAATAAACTCTGATAAGAACATATCTCAAATTCTTATCCTAGTTCCTAATTCTTCTAGTTCTCCTTGGTTGGTTGGTTCATTTTATCGTGTGGTTCGCCAACGGATGGAAACTAAATGGAGGTTACTTGCGGAATAAAAGGAGCTCAAAACGGCAGGAACATGTTCATGGTCGTTTGTTCATTAAAGCAATAAGGAAAAGAAAAAGACGCAAGGAAAGGATAAGTGAAAAGTTCCTGTTTAAATCTCCAAGTTATGCATAACCCTTTATCAAGGTCACAGTTTACATTATTCTACAAGAAGCGTCAACAAATAAAAAAACCTCACGGCTAACATCATAATTACACTAAGATATCACACTTGCACTACACAATTTTACACCCTTCAGCCCAATCATGTCTTAGCAGATAGTCATATTAACCTTATTTTAAGCTTGGAGAATTAAAACAATTGTAAATGAACTAATATAACCGGTGCAATTATAGGCATAGGCATCGGAAAAAAGCCAACTCGAGAGTTCCAATCGGGAAAAGAGCAGTTTTCCGCGATAATAAAATGGGGTGGGGGGGGGGGTCATAAAATGAATAAACACCTTTCTGGTTCGCTGGTTTGTCGTCGCTGAGAAATTGTCCTCAAAACTTCACACTTGCCCTAGAAGCTTCACTTTTCGGCTGAATATTCGGGGTCTTTTTTATAATCTCTCTGACACAAACATTATAGGCCGACATACCAGCCGCCTGAGGAGCTGGGAAAGTCCGGGTAGCAATGAGTTTGTTCCTCTTGATTCTCAATGTTCCCATCGGCTTAGTATCGAAGAATAAAGGGTGTCAGGGAGACAAAATTATTATATGAGGAGCGAAATCATGCACGCATTTTGATTTGTTCTTTCTTAGCTGTTGAAGGACAGACGTCACGATCAAAAACTGTTTTTCCGCGTTGCCGTGCCTCTGTTCAAAATGTGGTAAAAACAAAAGATGGCATACAAGCCTACAGCTCAGCCGAGTATTTCCCTTTTTGTCTTCACGTCGTCTATAACCTATTACTAAACAGGCTCACAGACACACACAAACATAGAATCTATTTGCTACATTCATTGCAGCAACAATCACAACAACAATCACAACAACAATCACAACAACATGCCCTTTTGCAATAGAAAATGGCCAGGCAGCAAAACCATAGCCGACTTGGGGGCATCAATCTTTGCCAAAAACTTTTTTCTCTGGTGACTTTACAATTGACCGCACCATCATTATTAACAATGAATCGCACGTTTGCATCACGGACTAATTTCCAATCGCGTTCCAAGACTTCTACGGCTTCTGCAGATGGCTGCCACACTTTTCCAAAACGCATGCGCGTTTCAAGTAGCAAGGTTCCCTCTGGGTAGTCTACCGGAGTAGGTATTGCGTCTGTGCCTAAAGTGGTTTCCAAAGGATAAAATTATTATTTCATGAAATTATTGGGTACGGCTGACCCTCGATATCAGCCACCTCTGTGACAGAGGGAAGTGGTCGTTGTGGAGTGGAGGCTGTGAAAGGCAGGGAAAGGTTCAAAAGGGGAAAACATTTGTGTTATTTAAAATGTTCATTATTCAATAAAAATACCGAACATGATCAAAATATATCAATCAGAAGGAAATTTCAGAATAAAACCCTAAAATAACCAAAACGAGTAACGCACCAAAAAAATTGCTATAGAGCTTTTGTTTTTGTTAATTGCAAAGATGTTATCCTCTCATAATGGAGTTTTTTTGCCAAGTCTGAGTGTTTACTCGCGTTTTCTTGAATTTAAGTACTCGGTTTGAATGGCTATGTAAACTGTTAGTATAATTGCGCTGGCCTTGGTTGTTCATAGGGTTGGATAACGCTATCCACTGGATAAATTGCCATCCGGTGGGTGGCGCAATGATTTTGTCTATCCGTTGGATGTTGATTTATCCGTTGGATAGCGTTATCTGCACTTTAAACAACCGGGCCTAGTGATTATAGAGATACGCGCGCTCTGATTGGCCGAGGATTGCGTCACATCTTGCCATGATCACGTCGAGCGAGGTGTTTATATCTGTGGTGCAGAAGAAAAACAATTCTGCAGAAAAAAATTTTAAAAAAGCTGCAACTAAGATTGGCGTAGCACTTTTGAGGGGGAAAGAAGGACCACGTACTTGTAGATCCACGTGGAAATATCATGTCATTTGCAGAACACCAATAAAACGCCTTTATGGATGGGAGAACATTTACGGTGTTGTACACGGTTTTCATGGGGCCATGCTTACGCTTGTTCCAGTAAAATTCGATAATAGGAGTGCATAAAACAAATAATCATTGGTTACCTCCATAACGTTTGTACCTCTCCTTATTACCTGAATTAAACTCAAGATCCAGTTCGTCATTCTCCACACATAGATCAAGGGAGCATGCTCTTATAATCTGTCAGGGAAAATGAGATAACATAGAATATTTTTAAAATTAGCTTCTTTCTTTATTTTTTTTTAACTTTGCCTTATGTAAGTAGACTTGAAATAATAACATCAAAATCAGCCACAAATTCTAATTGGTAAACTATGCTTGTACAGTCCTTGTTTAATGTACCAAACGACAACGCCACTTTTTATGAATTGTTATAACGGCCCCCTCGGTGGATTGTAGTTTACGTCTGGATTTGTCGGTCAGCGGTTCCAGTATTGTCGTCAGGTACTTGGACAGTTGGTATGTCGGAGAACCACAGAGGGAACCAATAAAAAGCATCATGAAACCAGCTTTGTGTAGTTTCGGCAGACCGCAAAGTTTCGGTGGTTGTGGTACTGAGCATCTCAATCGGTAGCGTCGGGTGTCGATGACGTTTGTCTTCTTGATTGTCAGTAATGTGCTATTAAGTTTGCGTTGAAGTGCAGGAGTCGGGTCACGTTTAAATTGAGTTCTTCGTGGGTTTGTTTGTCGTAAACTAGTGCGTCCATTTTGTCGTGGTAGGCAGGCTTGTCCTTGACAACAGTAACTGAGGACTCCATTTTGTCGTGGTAGCCAGTCTTGTCCATGACAACAGTAACCGAGGACTTCATTAACGCCACTAAAACTGTACATATACCTGACGACTACAAGCTAGTGTCATTTGATATGCAGTCGCTTTTTACAATTATTCCACTTCAATTGGCACTACAATGTACCTAGACTGTAATCCTACAACCTAACGACCCTCTACCGTTACCGACAGAGGACATTATAGACTCCCAGTACAACGGTAAACACTACAAACAGTTACACAGTACAGCTATGGGGTCTCCAATTCTGTTTTTGTAGTAGAAATTGTGATTCAGAACATCGAGGAAAGCACCCTTTTGACTTGCCGACAAAAGATACCGCTTTGGTTATGCTACGTTGACGTTACATTTACCGCCGTACGACACGACGAAATCGACCCATTTCACTACCACCGTAACGAGCGAAACATTGACATACAGTTCACCAGAGAGGTCTAAGAAAATGGTAAACTACCTTTTCTAGACTGCCTGGTCTATCAGAACTCTTACGCGACGAGCATCGAACTAGTATGCAACGCGACAGACAGCTTATCCGACTAGAACAAGTACCTCGACCGTGTTTTTTGCAAGGACTACTACAACAAAGACTTCATCCGACGAAACACTCACCGACCTACTACTACTACCGAAGCTAACGACAACGCAACTCCTACTACTACAGCGACCATACCGTACGTAAAGGGCATATCTGAGAACATCTCGCGCATCCTTCAACCCTTCAATATCCGTGTCGCTCACACACACATTACCACACAACGTCAATTACTGACTAACGTCAAAGACAAAGACGAAACGAGGAACAGACAAGAAGCGGTTTATAAGATCAATCGCCCGACTGCCACGCCTCCTACATCGGTGAAACTGGCAGAAACCTCACAACTAGACTGACTGAACTCAAACGAGCGACGACGAAAGGCGATGTCAACAATTACGTTGCTGAACATCACCGACTTACGAACCACACTATTGACTTACGACTGACTTCGGAAAGTTGGTTTACCAACTTAAAACAGACTCTTCTCAACAGGTGTCATCCAGTACTGGCACCTTACAAACGACTCATTCACGACATTAACACCACAAACGAACCGAACAGAACGAACTTCACTTAAGGATCAAGACCAACCAATCACGACCGACCTACGCCACTTGCGTCTTACAGCGAATAAATTCACGGCAAAACTGACCAATCAGTTCATGCAAACCGGACTTAGAACATTCGACTGACAACAACTATTTATTTGACTCTGATGATGACTTCCGCTCAGGTTGTCGAAACGTCAGTCACAACTACCGACAACAGTCCTTCTCAGGACTACACTCGCCCAGACGATCAAACTACACTATTACAATAAAGAAAATGATAGAAATGATAATGATAACAATAGTAAAACCTTGGTTATGTTAATACATTATTATGAAAATAAAAAGTAAAATAAAATACATCTGGTATTTCTAGGATGTGGGTCACTCACTACCACAGTACTAATGCATGCACCACTAGAGTCTTTCACTTCCAGTAACCAAATATGGCGGTGGAAAAGTCGTTGAAAGGAGCTGTCTGCTCGATGCTACAACTAGAAAATAAATTTCATAGCCAAATCTCTAGATACTAGCATATGGCTTTGTTCCTCGGTAAAAAGTCAGAATACTTGTTCGCGTATTTTACCAGTGACTTTCATCCCCCTTGACAAAAACATAGCAGATTTCAAATGTGGAAAATAAACATAAGCCATACCTCGTTTGGTGTTGGTGTCGGTTTTGGTTTTGGCACATGCTGGAACTTCTGTTCTTTCTTACAAGGGTCGAGGTAGTGCTTAAGTGCCTCCTCGTGGATTTCTCTGTGCGCTTTATTCCAAGAAAAAATGAAGCTTTTTCTTCCATCGAGATACTCTTCATCAAACTGTGACGCCACTTTCCTTCGTGCCCAGCGTGAGATAACAACCTGTTCTTCCTCGTCTTCATCTCTGTATTCATTATCGCCACCAATGATGATCAAGACTTTGTCTCCTTAAAGTACAAGACACACTGTTACACCTAACACCTCTAAACAAATAATACTGATTCTGCCCCGAAAGAGCTTTTCACAAATAAAAATGTGACGTTCCTTTTTCTCTCGAGCCCAGCGTGAAATAAAAACTTTTTCTTTTTCGTTTTCATTATCGAAGTTATCCTTTCCTTCAAAGACGATCAATACTCTGTCTCCTTGAATTAAAAGACACGGCACTACACATTACATCTTTGCACAACTTCATTTGATTATCGTTTTGATTGCTTTGTTGACAAGTTGTTTGTTTCTCATCTTTGTTATTATTCTCATCTTTGTTATGTGTTCCTTCATTGTAGTTAGATGGCTTAGCATAATCATGTTATTTTAAGTAATTAAGTGTTACTGAGTTTAAATTGTCAATTGTTGACAATTTAAAATGAGGTTTGGAGGCTGCACGGTTACCTCCACAACGAATTGAAACATTTCAAACAAGTGAAATATTATTTAAAAACTAGCTTGACGGGTGGTTTAGAGGGAGAGTGACCGCACTAAATTAGGCTTCACCTTTACGGAAACGAATGTTTAAGCACGACATATTATTTTCTTGGTCACAAAGAACACTTTAATGGTTTTTTTCCGGTTGTTTTCTTGTTAAACCATCGAATTAGATATTTATATCATGCTCGAAAAATAAAGAGTGAAATATAGACATGAGTATTACAAATCATAATAGAAAGTTCGTTATGTTTGGCTTCAACTGAACTCATTTCAGTCAATGAAAATATTTCTGATTGGGAAAACGAACATGACTGACGTTCCTCGCAAGAATAATACGACATGACAGGTCAAAGGCTCGCAGTAAAATTAAAATTGTTGTAATTTGGAGCACTTTTAACATGGTTAATTCAGCTTAATAGGCCACGCATTTTGAATGTCTCTGTAGGTTTTTAATAAACATGGATTTCGAGAATATTTTTAACGACGAACTGGATAATGAGCCGTTATCAGATCTCCTACATATAGGTATTAAGCATTTTACTCTCATTACTAACATCCAGTAACAACAGATCCACTTTTACTCTTCTCTCCTTTCCCCCGTAGCCAGCAGGATAAGACGAGAGTATGGAACTACAGAGCATGCACAAACGCCTTTGATATCTAAACTTCCACTTGAACCCGATGTCTCACGTTCATTATCCACTTTTACAAGAAATCCCTAAAAACAATTCACCCCAAGCAAACATCGACAAGTTGGCAAAACATCAATGTTTACAGTCGACCTACCAGTCGCTTGCAGCAAAGCTCTGTAGATCTTCGTGTACCCAATACCAGCGTTGTCCTCGTTGATAGAGAGACGGGATTCATGTGCATGGACAACAAGGACGGCATAATCCATTTGTAGCTGAGGAACGGTTTTTTTATACACATCCGACATTTCAGAAAGGCGAAAATTTAGCTTATCCACCAATATTCTAAGGTTAAGATCGTCTGCCATTTTGAGCAACAAGGTTTCTACTGAGTCCAAACGATATGTGTTATCACAGTTAAAAAGATGAAACTTCATTGCCCTCACTGGACTCGCCATTTTTGTCGGTTCTACCAAAGAACTTTCAATGGATACGAATCGATTACTGCAGTATGGCGACCATTTGGCTTTGTGTAAAGTCCACTCGTCTTTCTCGGAAATTCAATTCGTCACGCAATACTATCACTGCACTTAAAAATTACTTCCGGTTTTTTTAAGAACTTAACCTGCATTTCAATGTTGCTCCCTTTTTTTCGTCTCTGGTACAGCGAGCTGATTTCAGAAATGGCTGATTTGCTGGTGGCCGAACCCTGAGGCTCCAGTCCAGAATATGTCTGCGTAGTTTTCATCTCCAAAAAATGTTTTAAAGTAAACATTTCTTCTGAAACTAACTCCCAGAAAATAATATTCCAAGAAGACTCTATATATTTTATAGATTGGTCCACATTAAAAGATTAGAGACATCATAATTATGGCTAGTATGGCTTTCTTTTAAAGAAGCACGACATGGAGGTTAACTAAGTCCAAGGCCCAAACACCCCTACCCCCTACCCCCTACTCCACCAAAAAAAAAAAAAAGAAAAGAAAAGTGCGTCACATCAAATGGAGAAAATAGTCAGACCCTAAACAAGATCAGTCTAAAATCGAGTTATATCATTCCAAATGACACTTTATTATCACAGAAAAACATCACAAAGGCAATACTTACACTGACACGACCTAGATAGTCAACATTAATGGCGGCTGGCATTGATCATGAATGTTCATTACCACTATGTGACTTGTCCACTCTAACTAAACGAACGCAAAACCTATTTTTGAGAATTAAGCATACATGTTTCATATTCAGGCAGGAAAAAAGTTGATAATTCAACAAAATTGCATCGACTACTCCGGCAATCACATATAAAAGGTGCGTAGAAACACTGCGAAAGGTTTCTTACAAGATTAACCTTATCTTATAAACCGAAAAGTTAGAGGTATCGCCAACTTGGATGGCGAGTAGCCTATCCTGGCAGAGCTTATTTCGGTTGGTTTCCTTGCCTTGGAAATAGCAAGGAGTACTATTGCATCCCCATGAGCAGAAGGTCAGGGCATTACAGATTACCTTCCAGCGTTACGAACAGTTTCGGTCCCTGACAGTTTCACAGAAAATCAATTTCTCCACTGTGCGCTTTGATGCACTGGGAGAGTAGTGTCTTACTTAGGAACACAACACAATAAACAGACTGAGGCTCGAGCTCATGTCTCCAAGATAATCACTTTTTGGGTAAATCAGGGTTGTCTGAAAACTATTGGAGTAAAATAAAGTGATCATTGAACCTGAGAGAAGAATCATGTTTTTTTTTTCATGCAAAATTCTATAACTGTATACAAACCCTACCCATGTATGATCATTTATTAAGATATAGATCTCACAAGATCACACAAGAATTAATGCACATGAAATGTGTCCATAATTTTCTTATACTTTCCAAAAGTCAGATTATTGATTGGGTATTATGTTTTAAATTGCTCGACTCTTTCTCTGCTTTGACCGCTCCCATAAGCCAGGTTATGATTGCGTAATTGCGTTTTTTAATCGCTCGCTTATCGCTTTCACCTCTTCCATTAGCCAGGTTATGTATTGGGCAATTGTGTTTTTTAATTGCTCGACTATCGCTTTCACCTCTTCAATAAGCCACTTAAAAAACTCACAAATATTCAAAAAGGGAAACAACACAAACAAAGACTGGTAAAGTTGGATACAAATCTGCTTGCAAGGCAAATGTAACCCGGAAAACAACCACCTCAAAATACCCAGAATGCACGCCCGTAATACAGCACTCAACCAGATCGCAATACTCTGTGGTCGCACAATATGAGTGACCCCCCCGTTAGCTGTAGCAACAAATCTGATATTTGCAAGAGGTTTAAACATCCAATCGTTCGACAGCTCACGAACAGTCATTCCAGAAGGCTCCCATCTCTGATCCCATACATTGACGTCCTCCTCTTCATACGATATTCTTCCAAAGCGTATGACAGTCTCTAGCAGAACGGTACCTTCAAGATAGCATGGTGTGGGATCGACAGGTTCTCCCTTTGAGGGCCCTAAAGTTTGGTTGAATAAATTCTTCAATAACAATTAAGAAGAGACATCAGCTAGCATGAGGATTTTGGGTTTTGGAAAGCTCAGGAAGGGCTAAAAGAGTCTGAGGCTTTCAAATTCAGTAAAGCCATGTAGGGATTCAGGACTTGGGCCTTGCAGATTCGGGACTCGAGGAATAGTTATGAGATCTATGATTTATGTATTAGGCGTCTTGTGGTGTCTGGTGGAGCTTGGTGATAGTTTTGGATTTTGGGTGTTAATGGTTTGATATCAATAATTGTATTATGAAGTAAGATTTGAAAGTCTTGACTTGGATCCAAACAATTAGTCTTTAGAGGCTCAAGGCCTTCTTCTGTAATTGTCAAGCTTGACGACAAAAGGTTCTGCAAAGATATTTTTATGAGAAACTAACAACTCCGTGCCAGTTACACAGAATATTGTCATCCATTAAATGAGCTTTAATGGCAGGATTACCTCTGAACCAGGGACCAATCCACACGAACAAAATCTCGTATTTAGAATTGGATTCTATTGGGAATACTTTGAACTCACCACTTCCTCCTCTTCGTCGAATTCCCTTGTCATCTTCAAATTCCTACGGTATAAAAAAACAATAGTCAGGACGGTAAACAGATAAGAAAGAAAACGACTAAAGATTAACAAAACGAAAAGAAATAATGTGAGAGGTATTCTAAAAATTGGACATTTAAATAGTCAGGAAATCAGGGAATATGAAGTTCGGTGAACCCTCATTCCTCGTCTAAATTTCATTCGTTTGTTACTGATTAGTGGAGAAAAGCACACTAAGACTGCCTATTCATTGGTCCACACGAATTCACTGTTCATATGAATATGATAAAAGAGAAGTACACGTGTCTGGTAGTTCTAGGATGTGGGTCACTCATTGCCACAGTACTACTGCATGCACCTGTCGAAAGGAAGAACTAATGAGCTGAGGAGTCTTTCAGCTCCAGTTACCTAATTAAGCGGTGGAAGAGTAGTTGAAAGGAGTTGTCTGCTCGAGTTCACAAATATAAAATAACATTCACTGCCAAATTTCTAGATACAGGCATATGGCTTTGTTCCTTTACAAAAAGTCCAAATATTTGTTCGCGTAATTCATTAATGACTTCATCCCCATTGACAAAAACAGCAGATTTCAAATAAGAGGAAATAAAAATAAGCCATACCTCGTCTGGTGTTGGTGTTGGTTTTGCTTTTGTTTTTGCTTTTGGTTCTAGTTTTGGTTTTGGTTTTGGCACATACTGGAACTTCTGTTCTTTCATACTAGGGTCGAGGTAGTGCTTTAGTGCCTCCTCGTGGATTTCTCTATGCGCTTTATTCCAAGAAAAAATGAAGCTTTTTCTTCCATCGAGATACTCTTCATCAAACTGTGACGCCACTTTCCTTCGTGCCCAGCGTGAGATAACAACCTGTTCTTCTTCGCTTTGATCCCTGTATTCATTATCGCCACCAATGATGATCAATACTTTGTTTCCTTAAAGTACAAGACAAAATGTATTATATTACACCATTACACAGCTGACATTTTAACTGAGATTGGCTTTACTTCTTAGTTAAAAAGTTCCTCGTTTTAAATTCCTCAGTGTCTCTCATATTTCTTACTTGCCCCTTTCTATCCCACAGAATGAAGAGGAAGGGCCTTCGTTGTGTGGGGGGGATGAAGGCGCTCAAAAATGTTCGTTTTGATTTATGGTTATTATTTTCGACCAATTGGAAGAGGGTTTGGAAGCTGCCTGGAGTCCAAGGTTACTTCCATTACAAGTAAACTATTATATAGAATAAGTAAACGATTCTTTAAAAGGGAGTTTGACGGGGAGAATTTTTCATGCTTTTTCCAGGAGGGCTTCTGTCTACTGTAAGTCAATCATGCTCATTAACAGACCAAAACCCCGCAGAAGGGATATAATAATATCATTACGTCACTCATACATGTTGGAAAATGTCTGACATCTCAGCTTTAATCTTTCTTCGTGCCAAACATCTCAGTGAATCAAAGCTTGGAAAACTACGTATTCTGTTTAAGTGATGTCTATTTCGGTAGGGATAATTCACGAACGAAAGCAATCGCCCTACTTTACCACCGATTTTCTGAAAAGATATCTTTTTCCAAAAAGTACAAAGTCCGGTGTATGTGAATAAGTCGTAAATAATATCATCCTCGTGACAATAAAGAGTGAAATCTGGACAAAATACGAATGACAATGGAAAGTTTATCATTACTGGCTTCAGTTGAACTGATTTTGGTCAAAGAAAAGTATTATAATCAAAATATTTTTTTACAACTAACAGGAGTAACGTAACAGTTCCCCTAGCGAATCATACGACAAGACAGGTCAGAGGCTTGCACGGTATTAATGGCACGTAGCGTTCTAGAAGACAAAAGTTCTCACGCCACCATGATGGACTCTGATCTGAAAGTAAGGCATCTCGACCTACGCTGAATAAAATTCTCTCCAAAAATGTTTTTGCCTCGTTGTACAAAATTAAAATTGTTGTTATTCAGAGCACTGTAAGATGTTTAACTCGGCTTAACGAGTCCCTTAACGTTTGAGTGTAGATATATATCAGGACATTGATGAGACATTGTCAGATCTTGTGCTTGGATCATTTGGTATTATTACCACTAATAACGGCATTAACAAACGGATCCAGTTATGTTCTTTCCTCCTTTTCCTCCGAAGCCAAATTAGATGAGAGCGTGTAAATATGCATTAAGCATCTATGCCATTGATATCTGAATTTCTTCGCGAAGTACGACGATTTATCATCCTTGAAAGAAAACTTCTTACACCGCGCAAATACGTCATCTCAAGAAAGCAGCGATAGGTAACAAGAGCACAAATATTAAAATGATCATTTCAATGTTTACAGTCAACCTACCAGTCGCTCGCAGCAAAGCTCTGTAGATCTTCGCGTAGCCAATACCAGCGTTTTCTTCGTTGATAGAGAGACGAGATTCATGTGCATGGACAACAAGGACGGCATAATCCATTTGTAGCTGAGGAATGATGTTTTCACACACATCCGAAATTTCACGAACGTGAAAATTTCGCTTATCCACCAATATTCTAAGGTTAAGATCGTCTGCCATTTTGAGTACCAAGGTTTCTACTGAGTCCAGCTTATACGTGTTATCACAGTTAAAAAGGTGGAACTTTATCGACCTTACTGGGCTCGCCATTTCTCGACAATTCTTATTATCAGGGAGCTTTCAATGCATGTGTCTTCGTTCGCTGGCCTCAAAACTTCGTTTACAGACGGATAGCTTTCATTTTATTAGTACAAAGTTCATTTGCCTTTCTCGGAATTGTCACGCAATAATTTCTTCATTTCTTCGCTACTTCCGGTTTTTTTCTTTATCTAATATCTCGCCATTTGGTACCCCTCATTAGGAAAACCAAGTAAGGTTGAGAAAAGATTTGACACTAACTGGGACTTCTGTCCCTGAATGGAATATAACAATGCTGATATCTTGGAGTGTCTCAGAGCAAATCTGTTTGCGGTATCTATTGTTACTCTTTATGCTTTATTTCCGCGAGGATACGCTTCTGAGAAGACAGTCGTTTATTTTTATTTGGTTTCCCTCGAAAGCTTTGGGTTCGTGCCGAAATCTTCAAGCAACATCTAGGAATGTTAAGAGCTATTTCTTCCCGCGCAAATTATAATGAAATACGACTGTAAAAGACCAGAAATTATGTAAAGTCGTTGTTTTCACTTCCGAAGTGACTTATGTTAATTACTACATTGAGAGACAGACGATTGTACTTCACATTTGTTTCGTATTGATCACCACGATGAATCAATACAAATTTTTTTTCCGATATTGTAATAATAGTGCGACTTGGATGATTTTGAACTTTACTTAGCTTTGCTAGATATCATCAGCTCTTCTTATTAGTACATGTTATCAAAGTTCATTTTCAAGGGCAAGTGAATTTTTTTAGCTACGTGACGACGTCAACAACACTAGCTATTGCTCATGATTGGCGAAGATTGATCTCGTTTCTAAGAAACGATCTGCAACAATCGATTCCACAGTTCACGGAACGGCGGTTAACAATAATCTCTGAAACACTGTACTCCTTCCTAAAGCGCTTCTGAGTTCTAAAAGCCTCTGGAAAAAATGGAAAGAGAATCGATGAGAGGTTACCTGTTCAACTGCGACAACACATGTGAGCTAAAAGAAGTCGAAGCACTTCTGTTTGAAATGGAAGAGAAGCACAACTTGAAGATCGATGTTGAAAAGCTATATTTTAGATTGAAAAGCATGTCTGAAATTTGCGACACCAAGATTCCTCAGTTAAAAATTGATTTTGCCGTTTTCGCTGTCCATGCAAATGAATCTCGGCTTTCGATCAACGAAGAAAACGCTGGAATTGGTTACGCCAAGTTGTATAGAGCATTGTCAACAGCCACGGGTGAGTATTTCAAGGGCGGAAGCGTTTGAAAAGTCGTATTTTCGTAAATAAACCTGTTTCGGTGTCACAAAACAAGCCTAGAAGAGTAAGTTGAGTCTGAATTAGCACTTTGTTATGAAGCATCGATGGAAGCTTTTACCAGTCGGATTTACCGCATTGTTTTATCATTACTCAGCTACTTTCACTTTCGATAAGGGGCTCCAACAGAGTCCCGCAGCTTAGACTAACAAGTCGGGCGATGCTTGGTTTGCCGCAAAGTGTGAGTTTGAATCTTGTATTTAAGGGTTATTCTGGTGAACTGAGTTAATGAGGCATTTAGAGTCTCGAGAAAATTAGGAATAACATAACCGATGACAACGTTTTGAATTTCAAGCGAAAATCAATGGAGGGTGTCCTTAGCAATTTTAATAGAGGTATTTTCAAGCCCAAACCTGCAAAAGTCAAGACACTCACATAATTATATTTTTCCTTTTCATCATTAAGATCACTGTCACCGTCACTATTATGTTTACTGTCACTTCCATTGTCACCGTTAATGTCACCATAATTTACCGTTTCTCTCGCTGTTACTGCTACAGGTATTGTCACTTCTACTCACTCTGTCACCATAGTTTTCACTGTCACTGTTACTGTTTTTGTCTTTGTACTCCCCCTTTCACTGTCTGCCGCTGTCACTCGCACCATCACTGTTATCATCACGGCCAAAGACTCTGTCACTGTTATTGTCATTGTCAATATCACTGTCTTGATTAATGTCACTGTCTCAGTCACCTTCCATGCCATTTTCACTGTCATTGTCTCTTTCACAATCTCTGTCAATGTCTTTCTCTCTGTCACAGTTTCTATCACTTTTATTGTCTCTATCACAGTCTGTCGCTGTTACTGTACCTGTCTCCGTCCCTGTCGCTTTCGACTGCCCTTCCCTATGCCGTTACCATTGTCATTGTCATCATTATGGTCGTCGTCAAAATCATTCACTATCACAGTATTTTTATAACACCATTGTTATTATTATTATTATTAGTAGTAGTAGTAGTAGTAGTAGTAGTATTTAGCAATAATCGTTTTTTGATTATAAAGGTGACAAAGTGTTGATAGTCATCGCTGGGGACACGTATTACAACGATGAAACTGAACAGGAACAGTGTGTGATCTCACGCTGGGCACGAAGAAAAGTGGCCTCGCAGTTTGATGACGAGTACCTTGATGGAAGAAAAAGTTTTATTTTGTCTTGGAACTCAACGCACCGAGCGATCCACGAGGAGGCACTTCTGCACTTCTTTGATCCAAAAAAGGAAGGACAGAAGTTTCGATATCAACCAAAACCAATGCCAATCCCTGAGCCCCCGGTCATCCCGTCATCAGCCCTCCCAAGAGAGGATCAAGAGGTATGGTGGTGCAAAACGCCTTTCTTTTTCACGTTTTTTGGATGGCTGATTGAAGTATGCTCCCATCCTTCCCTTTCCCTTTGTTCACAATTATCATCATTTGTAAGAAATAGGGAGAATATCTCTTTACGAGTCAATGCTACATAATTTCTCTGGACAGGTTCTGCAGGAAGACTCCTCTGCTCCGCTTGTGGAAAATGATGTACTGAGTCATGAAGGTGAAGAATCAAACCGGGAAGAGAGCTCAAAAGAATGTGGAGGTAACTAATCATTTTATACTCTACAAACTTAAATTATAACTTGATTCTTTTTGAACAAGCCAAATTGTAGCAATGTGTAAGACCTGCCGTTAATGGTTCTTGTTTTTTTTGTTTTGTTTTTTTTTTATTAACCAATTATATTGCCTAAGAAATGTAATTATAAACGTCTTTCTGCGAGAAGAAGGGCAAATCGGGTCAGCATGCATCACAAATTTCAACAAAATAAAACACACTAATTTCCTTCTCTTTTTGTATTCGAGTAATCCCTTTACCTCTCTCTTTCTCGAGATACTGTTTAACGTTTGCTGAGAACCAATGTATAAATAAATTGGACAGCTCAAACACTTTTACATGGATAACAAAACATTGTATGTTTTGACTCGGATGAGGTACTGACGAATCTTAAAAGTACAATCGCTCTGACGAAAGGCTAACGCTCGAAACGTCAGCTTTTTTAATCTTTACGGTGGTCAATTTACGTTTTCAACTTTGTCGTTAACACTAAACTACCTCTTAAAAGTACAGTTTGATTACGACTGAACCACTATTAACGGGCGGCGTTGACTGCACTGGTTTTTATAATTAGCTGGTATATTAATATCTTGCACTCTCTTTAGACGCTGACACAACACCTGCTTTAGTAAACCACCCAAAAGGAACATTGTTGCTTAAGACGCGCCTGAGATACGGAAAAATCTCTTCCGAAGAGAACGACGTTGTGGAATGGGAACAAGGATGGCAGCCATCTGAAATGGTCGTGCTGGACCTAGAAGAAAAATGGAAGCTGGTCCCTGATGCTGAAGTGCAGTTCACTGCCGATGGTGATGGTCTAGTCAACTGTGTCATTAAAATGAATTGTTGGCAAAAATTTAAGTATTATATGTGGAGTATCTGTAATTGCATGAAAACATGCATATGCGCAGTGGGTATGTTTATGTACAATCACCTTAGTTCTTGCTACCGCTGGATTAGAGCTAAATTTTAGAGAGAAGTACTCTCATATACACATTGAATGTGTTGAACAACACTAGCTTAGTGTTTGAAAAAGTTAGTAATCAGCTCCGTAAAAATGAAAACATTTTGAAAATGAGCGCGCAGTCCAACATACAAGCAGGCATTTATGATGCTGTAGTGATAAGTTTAAGCCTCGATGTTTTGTTCTGAGTTGACGAATTTACCTATTCTACATAAGCTGCAGCATTAATAGCAGTGAAATATTCTCAGGTGTAATAATAAAAAAAGGAAATTAAAGCATCGTAAAGTGGAAGTCTAGTTACAAAGTGGCACTTTCAGCTTTTAAAAATTAGTTGTCAGACCTTTCTGTGCAACATTCGCGAAACGTCCATATGAATCTCGTTCCTGCATGAACATGGAAAAGGTGTTGGGGGAAACACGAAACGTAGTCGAGTATTTTGCCTTCTTCTTGAGTGCTCTAAGCACTTCCTGAATGCTTTACAAGAGAACAGAGCAAATTCGAAGCTTGTTTCATTTGTTAGTTAAATATCCAATGTTTACTGCGATGTCTATTGGTTACCTTTACTCAGCCTACTTGTCACGATTACAGTTTTATAAAATGGGATACGCATGTCTCGTTTGGATAATCAAAAAGATTTGGATCAATATCAGTATCTGGGAAACTGCCCACCTACCCCTCCCCTAACCCAACAACAATTAATTGATAACAAGTTTGGGTTAATGTTGGGTTAGGGGAGGGGTAGGTGGATACTGATATTGATCCAAAGATTTCATGCAATGACATACTGAGAAAGATAAAATGAATCCGATGGCTATGAAAACAAAAATATACAATGTATACACATACAACAAAATATACAATGTATACACTTTTTTCACTGTATCGGCGAACTCTTAATGATCGTAGCTATGCTTATTCGTCAAAGCCGTGAGTGGAGGTTCGTCGTCATTCTCCACTGGAACTGGAAACCTGAGGCCATCAACTGCCGACATTGGATTCCGTGCCTGCTTCTTAGGGCTCTCTCTTTTAGTTTGCCGCATCCTGATTGACCGCTCACCGCATTTTAATGCCCGTTCCAACATTTTCATGACACGTTTCTTGTAAAAGGGATCTAGGTCTTGTCCTCGTGCTGGGTTGGCGATGAAAAACACGTTTCTCTTGTCACCTTCGGTGACTTCAATAGCTTCACTGGTCAATCTCTCTCTCTCCTCGTCAGCGTTGGGCCTCTTTTGGATCTCGTCGTCAAATGTTATGACAGTAAACACTGTTATTGCTGCAAAGGAGAGCGAATTGGTCGTATTACGAACATCGCTGAGCATTCCACTCAATCAGTGTGGGTCTTACCTTTCTTATAACAATCTGAACAGACCTCTGTCATAAAGACGGACACGATTATCACTTTTTATGCGAATGCAAGTTAGCCTTCTTTTTCTCGCTTTTGAGCGAAAATTTTGTTGTTTTTAAACACGTTGTCGAGGCCAGATAGGTAAGAAGACTTGAAATAAAACTGAGTTGAGTAAATGACATCACCATGCCTTAATCAGTCGTCCAATTTGCATATTGACTGATTTTAGTCTCCAGAATTAGTGTACATACAACTCTATGTACGATGTTCCTAAAAATCTCAATTTGATCAACAACGGCTAGCTTGGATATTTTAATGTGGAATAAGATCCACACCTTAAGGTGGTAAAAAAAAAATATATATATATATGTATATCCAAGAGTACCTATTGTGTAATGCACATTTATTAAATGAAGTGGGCATTGCCAAAAGCCTTTGACATAACAATCACCTACCATTCTGATAAGAGGAAGGAAGGAATGGGAAGCTACTTTTCGAGGAATATCCTCCAAAGGAAAACCAAGTAAAGGCATTAGGCGATAAGAATATCTGCTTATGCTTTACCTTTCATAATGATACTGAAAAATTATGCAATAATTATAACCATCATCTACTCACTTGCACTTCGTAGCTGTTCTTGAACAAATTTTATGATCTCTCTGTACTTTCCTTCCTCGAATCTGATGTCGACACCTTTTATGACCCAGAAGACAACATGCATCTGGTCGACCAGGGGGCGTTTTTCTAATTTATAGGCTGCAGGACCAGCGGCTACCGCCAGTTGTGCGCTCATGTGATCTCGACTCAAGTCTTCTCCAGGTCGATGAATGCCAAACAGAATACGAAACAGCTCTCCTGAGTAGACAATGGAACAAACTTTCCTTCACCTACCAGTTTGCACCTGCTACTTAGTCAGACTGAATATGGGGTGCTGCCTTTTTAATTAACAGGTTGCAACAATAAAGTTAGGCTTCCCTAAAAGATAGTTTCTAATATAAAGCATGAAATTTCATTAAAATTGCGAGCACATATTTGAGAGCTAATCAAGCAACGGCGACTAGGTAATGTAAACAAATTTCGTCAGTCCACCCACTTCCGGTTTGACAACTTTTCGTTTGCGAACGATTTTCCAATTTCGACAAGAGTTTTTCATGAGCCCACGAGGTTGCGCACTTTACCATTCGAAGTATTTCAACAGGTAGTTTAAAGTTAAACAGAACCTACCCTCTTCTGTAATATCCATCGCGAAAAATCCACGCGTGTCATAAAGCTTTACTGGAATTCCCGGAAGAACAAAACTTTCCAAAGTCTTCGTTCCATCCTTACCGGTAGTTTGAATTATGGCTGGCTCTTCATCGAGATCTAAAGCTTTGTGAATAGAATTAATCAAAGCGGATTTTCCGGAGCCAAACATTCCAAAGAACACAATGTTTATAAAGCATCCTTCCATTTCGCCCTCCAGGGCATCATGGAAAGTCTCGTTCTTTCCGATGTTGTAATCAAGTACTCGGCTACGCAGCGTGGAAATCTCATCTTCTAACGACTCCATGACTTGTTTTCAAGGAATAAGCAGATCCTAACCTAACCAGCTATCGTTACAATTCTGTTTCGGAAAGCGATATCGTTGCTACGACACTTTACACCTTTACTCAATCATAACACGGCTTTGACCGACGTATCATGTGACCTCACCTAAAGATTTCCGAGAAAACCCAATTTACATTCAATCCTTTGGACAGCTGTCCCTTGAAATGCAACGAAGATGCTACATGAAACTGGTGTAGCATTTTTAAATTTTTACTTTACAGTCATAATTGTTGAAAGTAATTACCCTATAGAGGAATCGATGCTCTTCGAATTGAAATAGTAGTGACTTGCGTGACTAAAGTATACTCGCTCACATTATGCAAATTGTTATCGGAAATTTTTGCCGTCACCAAGCCTGCGCATTTCTAGGAAACAGACTGAGCAGGAAAACATTGTCTCAAAAGTAGCAGTGAAAAGATCTAATTGCAAAGAAAGATGAACAGTCCAAAATGCTTTCATCTCTTCAACTGCGACAACACGTACGATTTAGATGTTGTTGTGAAATTGTTGGACGTCATTAAAACGAAAACGACGGGGATCGATATACAATCGAAGAAGGAATATTTTCGCCTCCACCATATGTCTGAGTTGACTAAGACTGTTGAAGACAAGACCAGTGATGAACGAAGGATGGATTATGCGATTTTTGCTGTCAATGCAAACGAATCAAGGCTGTCGATTAACGAGGAGAACGCTGGAATTGGTTACGCAAAGCTGTACAGAGCATTACTAAGGGCAACAGGTAAGTGTTGAAATTTTGATCGTGCTTCATTAGAATTAAATTCAAATCTTCAGGCGATTTTCAAGTTTCATCTTACTCAGATGAAACGGAAAAAAAACGTTGCAGTATTAGTACAGATTTTGGGACAAATAAGCAAGGATGAGATTTGTGCCGACTTCACTACTGTTAACAAAGCAATTCGTGAACAAACCGTGCGTGACAGCTCGAGCTCAATCTGGTGTAACGGAATGAATACCAAGATGAAACTTCTCTAAGCTGAAGTCGGTGAATTAGCTGGCTTGTTATTGTTTTCGTTGCGTTATTACTTGTTTCGTTTTTGTCTTTCGTGTCTTTTGGAAGGTTGAAGAGGCAGGTGGAATAAAGCACAAACTGACTTTTTCTCCTTCACTTTTTTCAAAGTAATAAAAGACAATTTAGAAGGAAAATTTATCAGTTTGTCACAAGTCACTAAGTCATTCTTTCCAGGCACCTCATCATTCTTTCACACCTCATAATTCTTTTACACCTTTATCCAAAGGTGTGAAATTTTATATAAAATGAGGAAAATATTCAGACAAAGTGAAGCCTTGATTCAATGTCTTATTGGGGCATTTGGAAGTATGTGTCAACCAAACTCTCTGTTTGTTTTGTTTTGCTTTTCTAACTCACCCATTTTGTTTGATTTCTTGGTATAGACTTCTTTCATGATGGAGGGCGTGATTATTTTTTCTTTTATGTGCATGCAGATTACCTTTTTTGGATTCGCTTTGCGTGAAGACTCTGTTCTTTTGACATGGATAGGAAAGGACAGCAGTTAGGCCTGCCATTTAGAAACAGGTTTAAGCCACTCAAAATTATGGGTGGTTTGTTCCTTGCTGAGACTCATGAAGGATAATGAAAATCCTCACCACTAGACTAATCCTATTGTTTATTCACACTTGTTATGACCGCAGATGAAAGAGTAATTGTTGTTATTGGTGGAGATGACAACTACAGAAATGCCTCTGAGGAAGATGGATCTCTCCTGTCTTGCTGGGCCCGAAGGAAGGTTTCTTCTCAGTTCAAAGAAGAATTCATGGATGGAATCAAGGGGTTTATTTTTTCTTGGGACAAGAAACACAGGGGGATTCATGAGGAGGCACTGTTACATTTTCTTGATTCCAAGAGGAAGGGTCAAAAATTTTCTTATGAAATAAAACCTCAGGTAGAGCCCGTGCAGAGTGAAACTTTAGGTGATCAAAAGCAGGTGTGTCTTCCTAATAAAAAAATACTGCAATAAACATTCACTGATTGCATCAACCCTTAATAGACTCTAAACACCTTTCTAACAATTATGCCATTCAGCTTCTCTGCATTTCCTGGAAGATGTATTGAGGGAGTTGAGTATTGTATCAATGCAACTCCCTTCAGGTATTGTGTTCCCTGACTCATATTATGCTTTTGTTATAAATCAATAATATCTAAGATGAAGTTGCTTGCTAACCATTTCTAGGTTGACTTGTAGTGTTCCCACTTCAAGTCTCCACTTTAGGCAATCAGATATTGAACTATCACCCTTCAAAGGGTAAATTGTCTTGGTTATCAAAGGGCAGAAGAAAACACTTTTAGTCAAACTACAGTTAAATTAGTTACCTTGGGATATAGACAACAGCATTTTTCCCTACATGAGTAATAACTAATCTTATGTCAAAATTTTCTCTGCTCTTATGTCCTAGCAAACTGCAAACGAAACAAAAATCCAAATGGCAGAGCGAGGAGCACTTGAAAAGCATGCACCTGAAATCTGTCAGGGACAAAAGGATGACCATACCTCTGGTCTTCATGGAGAAATGACTGAGCATGATGATGCTGGGGCAAAATCCAAGGAGGTGATGGGTAAGTTAATCCCTTTGAATTATTTCTGTATTGGTGTCTCTTTTCTCTAAGTACCTGTACATTCCCAGAGAGGACTCTTCAATCCACATGGATCTGGTTATTTTTGCAGTACACAATGATTAATTTATTATAGCTTTTTATTTCTTGCTGAACCTTTAGACATATTCAGAGAGAATTTGTTCCTCATTTTGAAAATAATCATAAATTTGAAGCTTATCAGCTTCATCAAGAATATAATTTTCAAAGACAGAAAAATGTTAGCCTTAAATTACAGTATTATTTGAGCGCATCATTTTGGTTTTAAGGGTGTTTGAAGACCACTGCCAGTCTCTGCAGAACACACGCATGTGCTAATAATCCCAGTATCATAGCTTTGAAAAGTACTGGATCAGGTGTACAGGTCGACTTTACCCAAAGTCTGGATACTTTGCCTAACCTTATAACGCAAGCTTGAAGAAAAGTCTTTCAGGCTCTTTCTGACCCCTTATTTTCAGTTAACTTGACAGAACTGTGTTCATTTATAAAATCAGAAACTGTCTACAGCCACTCTCAGGAAGCAATGGACGCAAACATGACACAATCGAAATCTGAGGCGAACCGGAACTTCCTACAGCCTCAGATCAAAAAACAAATATCTGCTTTCAAATCCAAACTTCAGGACTTTTCCTACTCTTGGTGACCGGGCCTTTGTAGCCACTGCACCAAAACTGTGGAACAATCTTCTGTTAGATCTTAGTAGCACCTTCGATTTTAAAGTTATCAAACGTAATTTGAAGACTCACCTTTTTAGAAAAGCCTTTTCTAATATAGTATTGTAATTTATAGACTAGATAATTATTCTATCGTGTAATTTTGTTGTTATATTTTGTATTTTACTTTTTTGATCTTTAATTGTAAGTGCATTTGAAAACTGCATAGTTGAGTTTGCGTGGTATAAATAAATGTTATTATTATTATTATTATTATTACTATTATTATTATTTATTATTGCAGTACTTGGCCGAAATCAGTCTGATGTAGATCATTTTAAGAACGTTTTCGGTGATGAATTCTTTGGGAAGGTTCAATATATCTTCGACAGTCCTGCAGGATTAAAAGATGTCCTAAAATCACATTCAATAAACTCCATAAGATCTTGTTACATCTTTTTGGATGGAGCAGCCATTTTGGGAGAGTTAACATCTCATTACAAAGACCTGCTTCGATACGCCAGAGATAACGTTGGTAAGAGTATATCTTTGAAGTAAAGGGGAACAATGAAGCAGCGCTCTGCAGTTATGTTGATAGCTTATTTTTTGTGGCGTGCTTGTATAGTTGTCATGGTCTTCTGTGCGTCTTAGTCTTTGTGGGTAATCCCCCTTATCATAGACGCTAGTCGATATGAATTTAAGAGGACAATACAGAAAAGACCTCAGTTTGATACTACCTCATTTGTTATCATTTTTAAAATGCAACAAGACTTTTCGCCCACACTTGGCTGTAGAGTTTTCATGCAATTTAGTAAAACTCCGTATTTTATGTATGCATAGATTGTTGTTTTGATTTTCGTTAGGGTTTTCCTTAAAAAAATGGGCGAGGTAAACTAAAGATGAAAATTGTCACCATGCTGATAACTAACGCCGCCTTTTTCTCTGCTTTGCAGCTGTTGCTTAAGGTTTCGATCATTCTTAACATAAATACTTTTTACATTCAGACAAAAAAGTCGTTGCTATCATCTGCTCTGATAATCGTCTGATTCAAGAAGACACCATTGCAGATGAGATTACTAAAACTCTTGGAAAAAAGGCACGTATTATTTGGTGGAGAGAAACCTTTTCCCCTCAAGAGCCATCTTCCAGACGTAGAGCGCCACTCCATCGATCACAATCTCTTCCTGAGGGTTCGCCAAAGGGATTTGCAGATCGCTGCACACCACCAAAGCATATCGAAGAGTCACTGGTTTTGAAGACCCGACTCCTCTATGGTAGGATTTCATATGAAAAGGTAGAAAAGTGGTCCGGGGAATGGACCCCTCCTAAAGAGATAGTGGATGGCTTATTCAACACATGGCAATCTGTTCCTAACGCAGAATTACTGATATATGAACAGAGAGAAACTGGAAAAACGATTTACCAGGTTGTTGTGAATGACAATTTTCAGAAAAAAACTATTGAGTTTTTTAGCAGCATTGCTGCATTTGGGCGTAGTTGTCTTCCACTTAGCAAAGACAGGGCACCTTCCCCTTCGCCTCTTGACTGACTCGATTTGAGGACAGACACTTCAATTTTTTCCTTCAGACTAGCAGTAGAATTTTTTACTGACGTATAATCTGCATGTTGTATCCAACTTTTATAAAGAATACAACAATTTCAAAAGTGTTTGATAATATAACTTGGCTAAGACTATGACGTGAGGGGAAATCTCTTTAATTTTTATCCAAATCATTGAATAAAAGTGCCCTTCGTTTTTTTATACCTTAAGGCTTCAGTGTGTACACAAGAATATCGTAGATTTTGGGGGCTACTTCGAGCATGCTCGGATATCAAAACTCCTGCTACTTTCGTATTTTAGTTTCATTTGGAAGGAGTCTGCTCCGCATAATGATAAATTAAGATCCAAACGTTTGTCTCAGGATTTTGGGCCACTGATCTATATGAACGATAGATTCAAGCTATCATTAATTATCGTGAGCCGTGGTATAACGATCTTCAATTAATAGCCGAACTCTACAATTGACATTAAGTCCTTAGGCAAACGTTTGGACATCAATTCACCATAATCTCGAAACACATCTTCCTAGGTCCGCTCCTTTCTTGATGATACTGTCACATAATAAAGTTATAACAAACAAATAAAGAATTTGTGCTAAAAATTCTTGGAAAAATGTCGATGTCACTTAAGCTAGTGATAATTCAAAATGAACAAAAAAACACATCTAGGATTTGGAACATGCTAGGCAGTGTTCATTGTCATTTAGCTCCATCTCGAAGGTCTCTGTTGAACGTTTAGACTGGCTCAAGTCGGGTGATTTAAAATCTGACCTATTAGGTAACAAAAAAATAAGTTAATATGCTGAACGTGGCGTCGTTGTTTATACTTGCTCTATTATTTGTCCGTCGGAAATGATATGGAAAGGGATTAAAAACGCGGGGAATGTATTTGCGAGGTAGTTTTTTCAAGCCACAACCAAATACGTTAGATGAGAACAGATGCGAATGCAGAGTTAATTCTTATCAAAATAACGAAGTATACATTTATGATGGGGCCAAATCTGAGCTCGGGCATAACAGCGAATTTCGTTTACTTAGCACTCAACTGTAACGCATGGTAGTTGTAAGTTTTCTCAAAAACTGAGAGGATCATTTGGTTATCCGATAATAACATTCACGATCATGTCCCCTTTATTTTATTATTCGAAAGAAAGCGTTTAAACAATTCGAGTTAATTTCCTTTAAAAAGCGCGACTTCCCTTCAGGCTTAAATTAATAGGTACTAAAGAAGAAGAAGAAATGAATAACCTGATAGGCCTTGAGCCTAGTTCGTGATTAGAATTCTCTAGCAACCAATTCCCGTCTAGTTGCCCTAAACTACTTAGTTGATAAGGCGCTACTAGTAATAATGAGTAACTTACGACAAGCTTTTGCATTTACGATCATCAGTCAGAGGTTCATATTCGTGCTCCACTGGCGTTGGATATTTGAGCTCACTGGCTGCAGACTCTGAATGCCGGTTTTCCTTTTTTGGACTTTCCCTTTTAGTTTGCCGCATCCTAATGGAACGCTCTCCGCACGTTAATGCTTTCTTCATCAGTTCCAAGACACGTTTCTTGTAAACTGGATCAAGATCTTTTTCTGATAATGAGTTGGCGATCATAAACACGTTCTTCTTGTCACTACCAGTGACTTCAATGGCCGCCTCTTTCAATCTTTTCCTTTTTTCATCGGCGTTTGGCCCTCTCTGGACCTCATCGTCGAATGTTATGACAGTTAACATGGTGATTACTTCAACAGGATGAAGAGAGATTTCAAATGAAGTACATCTTCAATATCAATAATGATAAAAGTGAATCATTAAAATTAGCCGGCCAGAAAGTCAGACAGGCGAGCTGTGATGTATCAAGCAGTCTAGTAGTCAGACAGTCAAGAATTCAGTCCACCAGTTAGTTATTTAAATCGGTCAACCAGTGGTGGGTCTGTCAGACGGTCAGAAATGAAATGGTCCAAAATGTTTGACAATTTTTCAATCGTTCTGTTATTTTTGACAGACTCTTTTGAGCGTCACACCTAAATTTAAATGGTGTAGCACGCGTCACAAGAAGTAAGTTGTAAAATGCCTCACTGGAAAAGTCCTACTTACTTGCCTCCCGTAGTTGGTCTTGAACATACTTGATGATTTCTCTGTACTGACCCATTTCAAATCTAATATCATTAGCTTTTATGACCCAAATTACGACGTGCATTTGGTCGGCTAGCGGAGGTTTCTCGAGTTTGTGGGCTCCCTGGCCAGCGGCTTTTGCTTTTAGAGCGCTTTTATCGTCCCGTGTCAAATCATCTCCCGGCCGATCAATTCCAAACAGGATCCGAAACAGTTCGCCTGTATTAGAATTAAATGTTCCAATTAATATTTAAAGGGGTATAAAGTCCATGATTTTTAAGATTTGCAATTTGTTTGCAGTTTTATAAGGTGTTGGAATCGATGTTGGGTCAATTCGCCCAAGCAGTTCTGAAAAATACAGCAATGTCTCCTTATTCAACAAGAAAGATAGCTGAGAGCAGCAGATTTTTAAAATCTCGAGATTCTTATTGCTATACAAGTGGTATAGAATACTTAGGAAGATAAGAAAGTGATTTAAAAGTTAACCAAAACATCTTAGCTAAAAACCATGCCGCAGTTGTTCGAGAGGAGGTCACTTTTTCGCCGGACACGTTTGTCACGCTCTCCCAGTGTTTTTTTTTTAATGCTAATGTTAACGTATAAATAAATGCGCTTAAGACCTGAACGCTCCAACACAGGGATGGGTAAATCCTCCAATCCTTTTCGGTATCGACTACATTGAAATTCATGAGTAAAAAAGGACCTACCCTCTTCTTTGGTATCCATCGAGAAATATCCTCGCGTGTCGATAAGCGCGATTGGGTTTCCGGGAAGAAAGAATCTATCCAAAACCTTTGTTCCTTCCTTCCCGGTGGTTTGAGTTACAGCTGGAGTCATATCTTTATATCCTAAAGACTGGAATATGGTGTTAATCAAAGCTGATTTCCCAGACCCAGCCATGCCAAAGAAAACAATATTCACACAGCAACTTTCCATTTCGCCTTCCATGGCATCATGGAAGTTCTCAAACGTTCCGATCTTGAACTCGTGTATTTCGTTGCAAAGCGAGGAAATTTCGTCTTCTAGCTCAGCCATAACTTATTCAAAGAAAGTAACCACATCAACTATGGCTTTCTTTGACTTTGGGAACGACTAATTGAAGAGTACTGCACGTTCGGTTTTCCTTCGTTTGACACGAAGTAATCTAAGATGCAAAAAAAACATAATCATTTGACGTCACGAACGTTTTCCGAGAAAGCTGAAAATTATACCCGCATTCTTCTAGCACTTACTCATCGAAAGACACTGGAGTGTCTTCAAAGAGTAGGAATTGATTTCATTTTTTTGAAATTTAATCCAGCGCTGTTGAAATTCTTTGCTAGCTGGTTCTTGCACCAATAGTAGCAAAATTTGTGATTTACGTGACATAAGACTTTCACTTTATGACAATATGCAAATTATTCTCCGAAATTTGGAAACTAAACGGTCCTGCGCAGATAATTCTGAGAAAATTAGAGGCTGTGAAACGCCACCTCAAGTATGTCTGTGGAGCGATCGGAATCAAATAATTCCATATGTTTTCATCTTTTTAATTGTGACAAAACGTATAATCTGGATGTCGTTAGTAACTTACTGAGCGCTGTCAATGAGAAATCCATTGGCCTTGATATAGCTTGGAAACAGAAGTACTTTCGTCTCCCCGAAATGTCCAACTTGTGCGATACTATAAGGTCCGGGCCCGCCATGGATTTTGCCATCTTTGCCGTCAACGCGAACGAATCACGGCTGTCCATTAATGAACAGAATGCTGGAATAGGTTACGGAAAGTTTTTCAAGGCTCTATTAAAGGCAACAGGTCAGTGATGAAGAGCATTTTTTTACAAGGCTTTAAATTCTTTTTTTAGGATGTACAATAATGAAAATGAAATTTGGCATGAAGTTTATTGGAAGGGAAAGCGAGGTAAAATTATAAAGGTAATTTAGTGTTAACAACTGAGTTGAAAACGTATATTGGCCACCGCAGAGAGTGAAAAAACTTTTACGGTGGCCAATTTACGTTTTTAACTCAGTTTTTAACGCTAAATTACCTGCTATACTCTCCTACCGACGCAGCACCACAGTTTCTTTTGAAACTCACCCCCCCCCCCCCCTTATAAAATTATAAAGGGTGCGTTGAGAGAAATACGACATAGGAAAGAGCCGCGATTGCTTGTAACTGAATATAATGATCAACTGATTAGAAAAGAGCCTATTCGATACATTATTTCGTGACGGCGCAATCATGTGCATTAATGCAATGGGAAGATCTTTTGAAACTTTGCTTTTCATTTTCTAAGAAAACTGAAGGATATCATTTTCCAATTTTGAATATCTTTTTAGTAACCTCAAGAATTGTAAAATTTGTTTTTAACATTTATAACTACAAATAGGGAGTCTTAATGGGGAGATAGATTTTATGGACAAAGGTTAAAATTTCGGCCATTTTACGGCTAACGGTTAACATCATTCCACTGCTGTCACCAGAAATATTTTTTTTACGGTTAACCTTTTTTACGACTACTGGTTAAAATTGGTCTATTATTACATCTAACGTCTAAATAATTAGCCGTTTTGTGGCTATCGGTTAACCCCATTGAGACCCTCTGGATTGTTGTCGCTATAAACATATTAGGTCTGCGGTCCTATCTCGCGCATGCGCGAAGGAACCAGTTAGCACATGGAAGTCTCAATTTGTCGATTTCGAAGTCATTGCGTGATCGTGTTACTTAATAAAACATAAGTTTCGATTACACAAAGAGGCTTGGAATATCTTTACAGTCGCTGTCATCGAATTCGAACCTTTTCCTCTGATATCATATCTTAAAGGCAAAATTGAATAATACTCGGAAAATGCAACACGGAAATCTTAATGTACCCACCACGAGGCACAGATATTAATTGGTAGGAGACATGATAAACTGAAAGTTAGTTCACTGACTCCAATTACAGAGATCTGGGCTCGAGACCTGGCCAGTGCATGGAATTGTGTTCTAAGTCGCGTCGGATTCTTCACTCACATAGACAATAGAGCCTCTTTCTTCACTCAGAGGTAAAACTGGGTACTAGCGTGGCGAAATACTGTGATAAATTAGCATTCCATTCACAGGGAGTAACTATACACACCCTTTTTATTGGCAAATGAAATTTACTTTTCCGCAATGGATCGTTTCAGTTTTTATGTCCTTTCAGTCCTCCACATTCAACCCTAGGTTGTGTCTTTAATAACACAAATTTTACATTAAGTCATAGTGTAATTCTTATCATAACCAATAGGTGAACGAGTGATTGTGGTTATTGGTGCAGACGATAATTACAGAGATTCTGTTGCAGAGGAAAGATCTCTCCTTTCACGCTGGGCTCGAAGAAAGGTTTCATCCCAGTTCAACGAGGAATTCATGGACGGAAGCAAGGGCTTCATTTTTTCTTGGAACAAAGCTCACAGAGTAATTCACGAAGAGGCTCTGAAACATTTCCTCGATCCTAGCAAGAGGGATCACAAATTTGTCTCACAGAAAAAAGATGAATCAGTAGCGTATTTCAAGTCCTCTGATCCGAAAGAGAGGGTAACGGCTGGAACTGCAACAGTTGTTACTGAGGTAGAACCTTATTTATGACTGCTGTCAGAGCTAAGGGGTAATTTTTGATAAATGGGAAGGTGTTTTTCGAACCCAAGCCCTTTCACATTTTTTTTGGAAAGTGGGTATTCTCAGTGGTCTATTTACAACTGTTACTCACGGCGCGAGAAATACTGAAAAGCATTGTAAACTAAGTTGTCTCTGCTTTCATGAATGAAAAAAATTGGATTGACGTGGGAACCCTTGCCAAGTTTTGACATACAAAGCATCATGTTTTGCTTACTAAAGTTCAAATGGAGACTGCAAGTTGACAAGATCAATCAACCACAAGAAATTTTAAACTATTACGTTTATATTTTAGATAAAGATATTTTCAAGTATCGTTTGCTTGAGTACGTGTGTACCGTTTCTTCTGTCATAGAGAGCTGGATCTTATGATCAAATGAGCAGGAACAACATTGTATCAAACAGTACAGAAGGGAATTACTTGGGAATAGAAAATAACACACCCCCCGAGGGATGTCCATTCGACGCTAGGCCCAGACTTAGGGAGGACTCGAACTCTTTACTTCAGTCTTGTACATCTATTGACGCTGATGCGCGTGACTTTGACGAGAAAACTGCGGATGTCAGCGGTACGTTGATCCAGTTTCAGTTGTTTTTCTCTTTGACATGGAGAGATCTGTACAGAAAAATGATCCCTCACCCACCCCCCCCCCCGTCTTTTTTCTTTTCGACCTCATCGTCATCATGATGATCCTCGTTATCATCATTATTATAACCTCAATCATCAACATCGTACAGATTAACATGGTTTTCCTTTACCATTATAACTATTACTATTGGTCTGCACGCTAATTTAAATTGAGCTCTGTCTATGGAAGGAATCTAATATTTCCTTTTTGTTGGTCAGATATAGAGTCAGGAAAAAGGATGGGAGCAGCTTGTCGGGAATCCTTTGATTCCATGAACACAAAACCATTATCAACGATGAAAAAGGTACTGATCCTTGGTCAGAACCAGTCTGATGTACGTTTGGTGAACGAATTGTTTGCTGATGATGTTCTTAGCAAGGTTTGTATCTTCAGTGGGTCTCCTGATGATCTCGGGATCGATTCATCAATCTTTACCGGCCCTCTAAGATCCTGTTTCATCGTTGTGGAAGCCAGAACCCTGAAGGATGAGCTTCAATTCAAATCACAAACAAAATCATATAAATGCATGTTGGAGTCGGCCAAAAGAAATGTAGGTAAGAACATCCTCTTAAAGTATGCATTCGTATCGGCTTCAACTGAATATAGTTCATGGTGTTGTGGTCTGGCTTTGTCATTGTTTATACAGGCCCCATTTAAACCAGCTTTGAGCTGTATTAGGCCAGCCTGTCTAGATATCGCAAATACATACATACATAACATTGCCATCAACTTCTCTCTGGTAAAACTTAACCCCTGCTGCGCGGAGACTTCATGAACTATGGAAGAAGAAAAGGTGCATACAAACTAAAATATGTAACACCCATAATTAAAAACACTTCATAACTGTTAAACATTAGATGGCGACTAACTGAAAATTGGGATTTACAGTTCTACGAACGTTTTTTATATGGTTTGCTGGACAAACTAATGCCTATGCAGCAGTCATTCTAACCATCAACACTGGGTTTTACAGCGTTTGCCTGGTTATTGGGATATTTTTTTAGGTGCTGTTGTGACAATTTGTTCAATTTTGATTTCAGACGGAAAAATTGTCGTAATTATCAGTGGCCGTAACAGTAACATGTCACTAAATGAGGAGAATTTTATTACATCAAGAATCGTGGAACTTCTTGACGATAAAGGTGTTATTTTTTGGTGGAAGGGGAACAAACCGCAAAAACAAACTCCAAAACGTTCGTGGTCATTTGGACGGAAAAGAGCTCAAAAAGATAATGATGGTGCAGCAGTCACTGTAGCGGAAAGTAAGGCATGTCATCTATGCTCCGATGACTTTACCCTCCTTTTTAAGGCCCGCCTGCACTATGGTGAGATTTCTCTTCAAGATGAAAATGAGAAGTGCGATGAAGATGAACTTCCCCCAGAGATCAAGGAAAGTTTGAGGAAAAAATGGCAATCGACTGCCGATGCAGAATTGCATGTTTTCCGAGAAAAAACAACTGGTGACTATCGAACTATTGTTAATCCCATTGCAACATCCCCAGCAAGTAAGGTGTATGAGATTTTCTTCACAACTTGAATAAATACCTTTCGTTGGCTGTAAGAAATAAACCTGAAAATGATATGGATCATGCGATATGAGTGTATTTAGAGAATGTGTAAAAGAGTAGCATCCACTGGTGTCAGCCATTAAGTCTTAAGGTGGAATGTTATCATTGGTACAGCTTAACTAGTTCAGTTTTCATTTCCCTTTAATTCGTTAATTCTTCGGGAATCTCCACCCAGTTCATTTAAAAATTCTTAAATGGGAGCCATCTGTGATTACCTCGTGCCACCTACTGCAGTGCAGAGCCATTTTCCAAAAGTTATATATCTAACCTTTTGGAATTCATTGAAAACTACATAATTACATTGTAAGTTGGTTTTGAAGGTCAACATGAAGCGTAAATGTACGTAGGATACCACATAGAAAAAAAGCAATATAATTGAAACAAGATGTCTCCCCTTTAGAGGCGAATCTGTTATTTATCAGTAAGTTCAGACTTGAACAATAAACTGTTACGAACATATAATAAAACTGAAATGTAAGCCAATAAGACCATTATGGCTTGGTTGATCTCATTTCATCTGTTTTTTTTCTTCGATGTTACCGGATAATTTAGGCGGTTGACGTGAAGAAATGAACCATTTGCCGAATGTTCTGATTTCCTACCTACTTTTTATTTTAAGGAAAAATTATTCATACTTCAGTATTTGTACATCTTTAATGATATCTTCTATAGCAGTACCGTCAAAATTGAAAAAAACCCATAATTGATATGAAATTTCTTGAAAACTCAAGCTCAATGGCAAATGCCATTTGAATAGGTAAAAAATTTTATGACTTAGAAGTTGTAAAAGAACATTATCATTCCCCCTGAGTATTCACTCGTTATTGGTTATGACGAACTCAACCAGGTGAAAAGTCTTACCTCAGTCAAATTATCCCTTCGTTTCATAACCGCAGCATCAAAGATAAACGTTTAAGTAACGGGTCAGTAATGCATTCAAAGATAGTTTTTGTAAGTGACTGTATAATTGAGGTGCAATATAACGCAACTGTACAATATCATATAAGCTTTTTTCTTCGTAGAAATAACCAATTTGGACTCTTTGGTAGCACTGCAGAAATTGCGTGACCTTTTTAATAATGACGTGTATTCTAGGAATCCAAACAAAACCGCAAGGTCATTTCTAAGAACGCATCCAACAAACTCGAAGACAAACAAACGAGTCGGAAAGCAACTCAGTTCATCCAGTAATCTAAAATTTCGCCACGAAAAATAAGCAATGTCCGAGAAGAAGCGCGTGCATCTTTTCAACTGCGATAACACTTACGATCTTACCGTCGTTAACGCTTGGATTCTAGCAGTCCAAGAGAAAATACCTTTCACTTTTACGGTATCGACACATTATTTCAGTCTCCGTGACATGTCTAAATTATGCGAAAACACCATTTCTAAACTTCACATTGATTTCGCTTTTCTTGTGGTTAATGCCAAAGAATCTCGTCTATTATTCAACGATAGTAAAGAAGAAAGCGGTTACACCAAAGTTTACAGAGCACTGCTCGACGCTACTGGTAAGTCTTCTCCACCGCCATGGCGGAAGTAATATTTTGTTGATATTTTCTTGCTGACATCTTTATTCATGTTTTAGGGAGTTTGTTCCAGTAAGCCTACCTGTGCGATCGAAAATTGGCGTCATCGCCCCAAAAAATGGTTTAGCAGGCTGATTTTAACGTTCATTTACAATAAAAGCAAACCGAGCAAACTGTTCGCTTTCGTACTCCGATTTCTTGGCTTGAAGATCTACAAACACTCAAAACCAGAATGAAATTTTTAGTGCAATTGTCTTCGCCATCTAGGGACAAGCTTTCGTTTGTGATCAGGGTAATACGAAAGACATGGCCATTGTGAATTAGACGTTGTGAAACACTGTACATAAATTATAAGTCCAACCTGGTTGAGTAATCATTGTTATCTTTGAATACATTATATGAGTCAAGCTAAAAACACCCTGAAAGTAAGTTCACGCGTCGTCCATTCTACTTGCCACAAGTTTCTTTAAAAACAAACGCTAAACATCATTTATTGAGCAACTTGCACGAAAAGTTATATTTCATTACTTGGAGGATAATTGAGTGCGCTCCAATTACATAGTATACGGAATTATATTTTCTTCTGATTCGATTCAGTTTTCAGCGCAATCAAATCTATTGTCGAGGCATTTAATCGGAGGCTGGATCTTTATATTTCTGAGGAGACATGGGCAACTTACAATTTCCAGACGATAAACACTTAATGTGAGCAAGAGATAAATCGAGGTAGGCCGCGTCTAACCTCGAGATCGGAGGGATAAGGTTGTTCGGAGAAGAAAGCAATAATTTCAATAGTGTAGTGTATTTATGATGAGCCCTGAAAACATCATAAGACGTTTACGAGTGGATTAAAGGTTTGGTTTCTGATAATTTTTAAGGTGAGAAAGTAAGTGTGGTTATTGGTGGAGATGACCATTACAAAAACCAAGAAGAGGAGTATCAAAATGTGTTATCACGCTGGGCACATCGGATTGTCATCTCACAGCTCAAGGAAGAGCTTCGTGATGGGAGAAAAAGCTTCGTATTTTCTTGGAATGAAAAACACCGAGCAATCCACGAGCAGGCACTGCTGCATTTCCTTGATCCGAAGAAAGCAGGAGTCAAATTTGGTTGTCAATCAGAGATGCTCGCTAAACCAGATGCAGCTGGTGTTGTTGAGAAGGTACACACATAGTTCATGCGCAGTATATATAAGCAGCTTCAGTTTCGGGAGAGAGCCAAAACCTAGGACTGACCTACTAAGCAGAGTCCTATTAGTAAACTTCAGAAAGACTAATGTAGAAAGTCAGATGTAGCTAAGATGTTGTTTTACAAAGTTCCATGGCACGACCAAATGTACAAATCAAACTAGGAAAGAAAGTTTTGAATTGTACTTCCCTGGAAATTGAGCAGTAAGCCTCGACTCGATGCAAACAACCCAGTTTTCCTACCACAGGTCTAAATCTGTCGAATGGGAGACGGCACTGTATGAAAGTAACAAATGTCTACTCTGATTAAGAGTTTCCAAGGTATACCGGCCAGCAAAAATAGGTTGGGTCATACGATGGTCAAAAAATTCTTGGTAAAACGAATCAAAAAAGTTGACGAAAAAGAAGCGGGTTTTTAAAACACTTAACGATAAAAAAATGCGATAAAACATTTCGTAAAAGCATATTAAAATTATGTTGATGACGTTTGGACGTTCCGCTAACGTCATTATCGAGTCAAAGAGTGAAAGATAAAAAATGTTTAATTACTAAAATCTTTGCAATCGCAATCTTTGTCTCAACAAGCAGACTGATTCTATTCGCGCAAAACTCTTTGTTTAAAGGAACAATCCATTACCTATTGTCTTTTTTAACATTTAAACATTTTTTATCTTCCACTCTTTGACTTGATAATGACATCAGCCAAACGTCGAAACGTCGTCAACATTTTTTTAATATGCTTTTACGAAATGTTTAATCGTATTTTATTATCGTTAAATGTTTAAAAAAAGTTGACATTGGCAAAAAAATATGTATTGTTGTGGACGTTTCGGCTGCTAGTGTCACCGTCTTCAGCAGAGATACAAATGCAAATGTTTAATGGCGTCCTGCTTGATATATATCCACAATGTGTGATAAAACTTAATCTCGAAAGAATTTTTTAAGTGTAACAATAGTCTCTAGAGTGTTTTTTATTGGCTCTAAAAATTCTTAATTTTATTGTATATGTTTGGTAGCATTATGTGTTCGCTTATAGCGTTTCTATCTCGCGTGGAATGCCAAGCTTCAAGAATTACTCTTTGTCGCCACGCCGATGACCTGTCAACAATTGTAACACTCTCCAAATCTATTTGGTGACTGTGAAGCATATGGTGTTTGGCCAACAAAGAGATTTCATTCAATGTTGCTATGGCTTTTGTGTTTTCTTCCACGCGTGTTTTTAGAACGCGTGAAGGCGACAGTGTTAGCCAAAACGTCCAGAACAATATATATTTTAGCCAATGTCACCTTTTTTTATTCTTCTTACCAAAAATTTTTAATATGCCTGGCTACACACCGAATATTTTCAACTTCACATGATGGTGAAAGGATTGTCTAAAACTAAGACACTGAAAATTCTATCATTTCAGTGGCCTCAGGCAAGAAAATTAGATTGAACACTGTGTGCGTCCTCTTTTCATTTGCATGGCGTAAGTCAAGGGAAAGTTAGAGGCTGGCTTGCTTTTAGTATAATTAAGGACACTAATTTTTTTCTTTGGCAGTCAATTTCCGCACTTAATATAGGAACTTGCGGCGTTGTGGATTCCTCGACCAAGGAAAACGGAAAAGGTATAATTGCCCTAACTGTCAGTTAGTGAACGTGACTACTATCACAAGAAAGGGCAGCTGGGCCAGGTTGTTCGAAAGGGGGTTAACGTTAATCTACGATTAAAAGTTAACCTTGGCTCTTATTTCTCGTGTTGAAGAGCACTTATAAGAGCTAGGGTTTTGTTGCCGATTTTATCTCAATATGACTTGAAACTGTTTGGAAAAAAATACAAAAGAAAAATTCATTTACAAAGCTATTAAATTCAGTTGAAAATTATACTAATCCCGTGATAGGTTAGTCGTGCTTTGAACAACCCGGCCCTGCTAATGAGTTGGATGCCAGGAGTAGATTCAGATCTTATGATCAGTCAGTCTGAAATTGACATTGCACTGTTAGCTCTGCTTGGGTGATTCATATCTTCACTACTGGCCTTTTCTTAGGATTGAGTATTTTATCTTTTAAAAATTGTTTCTTTTTTTGGGGAGCAGGACCGTCAAGTTCAAGAAATATTCCCAAACAACTTCAGCAACAAGAAGCAGGACAAAAGAATCAGTTATTTAACAGGCATAAAACACAATGTTAACATGTTTTGATAATGTTTGATAAACATGTTTGTTTGTTTGATAAACATTTCATAGGCATTAACTAGTGAGTTGACAAGCGAATCATGCCTTAGGTATAGGTGAAATGAATTAGATATTAAACGACTGACAGCAAAGAAGTCACTAGTGCTTTGGCATTTTTTTTCTTTTTAATTAGTAATATGTGCATGATTTTCGGGGGCGAAATGCACATGAAATTACATTTCATCCTGGACTTCAATCACATGTCCACTATATGTCCAATATCGAATATTTGTCTTCTTCTCAGGCGTGGTGGAATTCCTGGTTCTCTGTGGTGACCAATCAGCCGTGACAGTTATTAGCAACATGTACCCCTCAAGCATGCTTACTCCTTCTGACATACATGTTGGCAACCCCAAAGAGCTGAAATCTCATCTGTCGAAGGGTGCCTCTGTGTCGTTGTGTGCCATTGGGCTCCAGGCGAGTGATTTAAAAGAAATTGCATTCTCAAAAGAATGGGAGAAATCTGACTTTGGAGAACTGTTGAGGACTGTTAAAAAAGCAGCTGGTAAGAAAAGTCACAGAAAATGTAAACGACCCACTATGGGGTCAAAATGGGGTGATGACTTTTATGGCTATCGGCTGAAATTTTGATCAATTTACGGCTAACGGTTAATATCTTTCCAACGTGGTCACCAGAAAAATTTTCACGGTTAATATTTGTTACGACTTACGTTTAAAATTTGTCGATTTTTACGCGGCCTTATGGCCGTTTTAAGACTAACGGTTAACCCCATTGAGACTCTCTTGCATGGTAGAGTGAATACCTAATAGGAGTCCTTCCAGATCTTCTCCAGCCTGTTAGACCTCTGTTACAGGCTCAATTTTATAAACTGAAGATGTAGCTGTTAGCTTTGGTCTTCTAAATACCCAGTAAGACTCATCCTGATTTTTTAAGGGAGGGTTTTAGTTCAATTTCAGTTTGATAACCAACGACGATGGCCGGATGATCGATTTTTCCTCTTAACTATTAATAAACAATATCTTCACCAGGCCACTAGAGGGCTCTGTTTAAATAAAATCTACTTTGCAATATCATTTTATGTGATTTAAATTATGAATTTAGATCGACGGAACATTTAAAATCTCCTATCTTAAAAGATACGGGAATATTGAAGAATGATAGTTTTCTGTAAAGTTACGTTTATTGAATGTTATAATAGCAGGTCTCTCTTTGACGTATTTTTATCTTCTCTATATCCAGACAAAGTGGTAGTCGTGGTAATGTACTCAGACATTACTGCGGAGACGTTGCCACTATCACAGAGTGAAGAAGTCCAAGTAACTGGAAAAGTGGAGTTGCTACTTGGCGAGAAAGGCATTGTCCTTTGGTGGAGAGGACGCCCTCGCCAGACTACAGGCTGGCAGTGAAAAACGTCATAGGCCATCAGAACTGAGACGAAAATCAGAAGAACCAAGTAATTTACAATCTTAAACCGAGGTTTTGTTTTCAAGTGTGCTGAAAGTTTCTTTTTTTTATTTACTTTGCGGTTACTTTGCTCTATTATCAAGGACACGATTTTTTTCCAGAGCCGAAAAAATCAATTAGGAACTATTTGTGATTTACTAAACATGACAAAGCTAACCTAAGTTTTTCAAGAAGGAGAAGTTACGAAATCCGATTTCATTTGACATCACTTTTTGATCGAAAAATGTATACTCACATTATATTGGAATACAGAAACAGTCGATTAAGTGTTGAGCAACACTTCAGAAGTCAATTTCCTGACGGAAACTTAACAGTCGCAAGAGAGTGTTTTTGCATGAGCGACTTATGTAAATTTCAAGTAGAAAGAAAGCTGATTAATTAAAAGTCCATTTTTCGTCTCCTTATTGGATTCTGGTCTTGATAGCTATGAAAAGCTTTCTATAAGCTGTGAGGCCATAAAATCAAATAGTACACCTGGAGTATCACAGCTCTATTTTGTAGCCCCTAAAAGTTATAAATAATGTATAGATTTGGCCAAGCCTAAAAGCGGAGCTCTTGTTAGTTTATTTTCCAGCCCTTCGTAATACTTAATAAAAACTGTAATAAAACTCTTCAGCTTGGAGTTTCTTCAAGACGGATTTAGAGACCAGTTGGGGGGGGTGAGGATTTAGGAAAAGTTGACGAGGTCTGGAACCTGGGGACGATGCTCTCACAACTTACAAAGCGATCAACAGGCATACTACTTAGCGGTATCTTCAAACAACTTAGGACCGTCGTCGTTCTCAATGTCTTGAGAAAATTTTAGAAGATATAGGGGATGTTTTCTTCTTCAGATGAAGAGTATGATATCAGCATCAGCTGAAATTATATTCCATTGAGCGTGACTTATAATTTCGACTTGGGAAAATGAGCAAAAATTTAAAGAAACGACGGTAAACTACTTTGCGTTAAGATATCACTGGTCGATTGAAGTGTATACACGTGAGCACATTGATTCAGTTAAACAAACGCAAAAATCCTTTGTGCTTCTCTCATATCTTCTCTTGAAGTTTCCAGGTATGACTGCTTGCCCCACCGTTTTTCCCTAACGTTTCAACCTCCTCTGTTTAGCGTAGAAAATTAAAAAGAAAAGTAATTTTCAACTCGTGTCTGAACCTGTAATTTTTGTAAAACTTTTTTCGCTTTTGGCTGTTCTTGTTTCATGATTGTCCTCTGGCTGGAAATACACGACGTTTTTTGTAACTGTATAAAAAGTGGATGTCTTTAAGAAAACTTGATTTAACCTGGATTTCATTTTTACATAACAGAAATCAATTTTAAACATCAATCAAGTTTTCTCTTTAGTTTAAAAGTTGAGTTGATGTTGTTATTGGCTATATTAAATAAGTTGAAAGCTTTAGATGGTATTTTTTCATATTTGCAAACAATTGAATTTACTGGAAATGTTGAGTTGTTGCAACATGTTAACATGAAACGCAACAATACATTTTATTGATATGTAAAAAGTTTGCAATTGACTATTTACTGGCAAGTCTTTATATTACATTTCAACCCAACCATTTTCCACAACTTTTATTACAAAATAATTAGTTAGGGAAATGGTATATACACCATGTTTGAAATGCCATGTCCATAATAAGCTAACAGGATTGAGGATGGTACATGTGGGAATAGGCTCTCTTGTCTGTATCACTAATTTGCTAATCGCTCCTGTTCGCAATGTTTTGATGAGAATGAGCTGTCAGGGCAAAGGAACTGAGGATTTTAGTAGGCAGTGCTTTCTTTCAAACATGGAAACATCGTGAAAGCCATACTTATGGCTAATAACTCATTCTTATTCTGATAATCTAGTTTTAAGAAGGGTACAATATTTTATTACATAAATTTAATGCATAGGCTGTGCACAAAACTTAAATTTGACTATAATTTTATAGCCAATACCAGTCTCTTCACATGATAAAATGATAGGAGGATCAGAGGAAAAAATAATGTGCCATACATCTGCAAGATTTCATGTAATTATTACGTGAACATTAACTGATACTAGGAGATCTAAGAATATTCAAAAGAAGGTAAAATTTGATTGAAAAATTAGAATTCAGCACAGGCTGGATAAACAAGATTCTTATAAAAAGAAATGGGTACCGATGAAAAAGCTAAGCAAACTTTTTTGAAACACCTGCCTGTACCTGTGCAACATGTAGTAAAGTCTTATGAAGTAGTCGTAATCCCGGTTTCATATGTTGAAAACCCATGCACGTGCAGATTTCTTATAAACCTGGGCCGGGTTGTTCAAAGCTGGGTTAGGATAACCCAGGGTTGTTATAAAATTTGATTTAAGATCTGAAAGCTTGAAAAAAAATTCAGCTTAAATCTTTTTGTCTTCAATTTGTTGATTGAATGCTCTAAAAATAAATGAAAAAAAATTACCCTCAAACAGCTTTTGAACAGAGAAATATAGAAACCTAGATTGAAATTTAACCCTGGGTTAGCGCTAATCGGCCTTCGAACAACTGGGCCCTGTAGTTTAAGTCTTTGATGATTTCGCAATTTTGATGTACACCTCAAAAGGAGAACAAATAAATTTCAAGTCTCTATTTATTCAGTTTAAGTTAGTGAGGTAAAATTGAGTCAAACATTCAAGACATACAACAACAGGTTCAAGAAATTTTCACCACTGATTTTTGAGGTTAGCCTGCCTGGGCCAATCACCTTCATGTACAAATTAGACCAGATTTGTACTGATGATGTCCAAAAGAACTATCTGTGGTAAGAGGGCAGGCTTTCTTTTCTTCATTTAAAAAAATACTGCCGTTATCATCTTTCCACAAGTTCATTGGAAAGTATGAGTGAATGAGACTGATAGTGACTGTTATTTGAATGAATATCCAGAGGAGGATATAAAGTAAGATATGGTCTGCACAACTCTCTTATTTTATTTTTTAACCTATAAAACTAAGGCATATATATTCCTGCTTTGTGCATTATGTGGAGGTGAATTAATTTAACTTTCATGCATCAAAATACAAAAATGTTCTCTTCATTTATGTGCCCTAAACATTACAGGGGAGGTGGCAGGTCAAAGAAAAAACATGAATTAAAATAGGAGGACCCCATTGATTTCAGTCCTAATTAAAGGAGGATCCTTGTTTTTTCAGATTCCCACCCTTTAAAACTCGCATATCGCGTGACCAATTCCTTATATCAAAGTTTAGTTTGAGTAAGAAACACCATGCATTAATGAAAGCTCGAGCAAGGGTATTTAATGCAATCTAAATAGTAACATTACATGTTACAATGTGGTAACTTACACAGCAAAATTATATAATCACACAATTCCAAACAAAGGAAGTCAGGTTATTGACTCACCTGCTTCAACTTTTGAGAGCTTAAGGTACCGAGAAATAGATATGGTAAACAGTAAAAATTTATACAAAGTTGAAAGTTTGAAAGCTAAAAGATAAACATTGAAATCATCAGACCCTATGCATCCTAGCAAAAAAAGGGTCAATTGCCACCATTACTTATCCCAAACGTTCATGCTTGCAGGAAATCATTAATTTTGACACTAGGTGGTACTGCACTTTGAATAGTTCTACCGACACAAATGCATTTTTCTAAAGTTATCTCATGGCATATGACTGTACAGGTCATGTGGTAGGTTCCTGCACGAGAACTAACATTTCAATCACCTCAGTAAACTGTAATCATAAGAATTGCAAGCCAAGGTGTATTTACCAAGAGCTCAAATTTCTAAACCTAATTGTTAAAATGGATTTCACTCCTTTTTGAGGCTATCTTTAGCTTGCTCATTCTGTTACATGTGAAAACATTAAATGTTACTCACATATTCAAATAATTACCTGAATCAAAAGTTATTTTTTTAATAACCTGCTTCCTTTAATTGTGCTCCAGAAATAGTAAATGATTTTGAAGAGAAAGGAAGAAAGTTCTTGAAACACACTATGTTAAATGAAACTCTGTTATGAATTTTAATTACGACGGCAACAAAAACATCAGTGAAGCTATAATAGCAATTACCTTTGCAGGTGAACAAACCACAACGAAGCATGATATGAATAAATTTAATCTCACCCAGTTTTAATGTAGAATCCAAAATCTAATTAACTTACAGGTGAATAGGAAAAAGCTCAATGTGTTTTTCCTGCCTCTGTCATTCTAAATATCACAAATCAATCATGCCACCACCTCAGTGGGATTTTTTTGATGATGTTTATTTTTTCTTGTCGACATCCATTTTTAGTATCTATCTTTTACCAGCTGACATCTGAGAAGAATCAAGTCCACATTGGTGATTTGACACTTTGTAGGCAAACACTACCACTGATTAAATTTTATTTGATCAAAAACGTGAAGGGCAATAGAGGAAATTAGCCAGCACAATTCAAGTTTCCTTTCCTAAGTATTCTGTGATTTTGTGTTGTGTTTTGCAAATATTGTGTTGTGCGCAGCAATGAAATTTAGTTTGCGCATGTGACTGAAGAAAATTGCTACTATATGAAGTGGTCTACCTGTAGAGCCCAGTCTTCAAATACGTCATGTGTCTTTCATGACACAAAGTTGCAAAATTGCGCAATAATTCTGTCATGCAATGTGCAAAATTGTTTCGCAAGGTTGATTCTTTCGTCATTTGTATCTTCGTTTGTGCAGCATGGATTCTGTTGGCACAAGGCCTTCTGTAGTCCGTTCTTTCTTTTTCTTGGGATGTTGAAACTTCTCAGGCAGATTCAAACTACTTATCAAAGTATACTCCGTTTGCGGTAGACTTACGCTTGAAGGAACTGAGCTACTCGCTCTCCCCTCCTCTCCCCCCTCCCCCATTCCCCCCTCCCCGCCCCAACCCTTAACACGGCAATCTCTATCCTTACGTTTTCCTCTTTTTTTACTAAGTAAAAACAAATTTAAAGAACCTTTAAAAAGACAAGGAGAATTATTCCCAAAAGGCGTGATTTGGGGCTCATCGCGTCTATAAATATGATCATGCTCGAGACATGCTATTAGAAGCTTCATTGGTTTCTCCTAGGGCATCATTTGAAATAACCCCACGCCGATCCATTTCGAAACTTGACTTCATATCCAAATGAAACCGCTAGTTTTTCCCCCCACTAAAATCCTGCAGCACTTTGGTTGACATTACAGGTGGCTCAGTTTCGCTGTACGGTGTGACCTGCCAATTCGAATGGTTCGTTGTACGTTTGTTAGGTGGAAACGACACGGACAGTTGTGCGGCGCTGTTGTCAGCTGAAGGTCTCAAAAAGTGTTGGTCACTTGTGCATAGTGAGGACCACACTCATCAAGACGACTTCTCTTCCTAACTGGAGTTAATGATGCATCTTATTTTCAGTGGAACCATATTGCTGCTGTCTGCTTCATTTCCCTGAGAATATATTAAATTCCATGTGTGCGAAACCACACTCCAAAACTTGCTGCTACACTGCATGTACGAGTCCATTACAATTATCAATTTATGAAACGAAGCTTATATCCCTACATATTTCCCAGAGATTTTTAAAGACGAAATGTTGCCCACAACAAGATTACTTCTCTCAGAGGGTAAAATTCCAAGCAAATGCCATCATTGTTACTTACTTTGCGTGCTGCGTTGGAAACTCGTGAGATTGAACTGGCTCTAACGACCTCCTACGTGCAGATATAGTTTGCAGGAAGTATTCGCATACGGGGAGAATAAGAGCGATCTCTCTAAAATAAGTTAACAGCACAATATAATAAAACACTCCAAAAAGTCTATTTGTAGCAAGCTATAACGACCAGTCCTCTTCATTGAAAATATGCAAGATATACCTTTAAAAGCATTCTTCACAGAGGCGAAAAATAGATATTTTGGTATCGCGAAGATTTACCAAGCCTTCATTTGCTTTTGAACGAAAGCCGCTATAATCTAAGGCAAGCCTTTCTTCAGTCAATCAGGAATGCAACTACTGAAACGTAGATGTTGATCAAATGTCTGTCGAAAGCTTCATTTATCGCCTCAAAAAACAGAACTTGGAGTGGATCAAATACTCTACGAGGCAGCCAATAAAACATTCTCCATTTCCAAGCTGCTTCACCGCTTAGTTGAAATACATATACTGGATTGCTTTCCTCAAGAAAAGGTGGAACTATATGTATGAGAACAGGGTTGATGGGGGGTTCTATGAGCTCTGAAAAGAGCTCCCGATCACGGTCATTTTTTCTTCGATCATTCATTATCGCGTGGACTATTTCCATAAGGCATCTTTTGCCCTAAGATAATTTTTAAAACTCTCGGTAAATCGTCTATTTTACAAATGAGTGGTTTTCTGGAAGAGGCCACTGTTTTTTAGTTTTGACAGCCATTGTTATTCAATCGTGGGCTGAAAACAACGGTGTCGAACTCGAAACGCGCCATTTTCGAAAGGAACTTCGACTTGAAATTTTAAAACTGTGAGTAATACTGGCTCTCGTTCACCAATGTTTAAAGTTAAAATGGATTCTGTCCCACTAGAGATTCATATTCCATTTCCCGTTCTTAGATTTTTGAAGCCGGTTTGAGTCTTTTGAAATCACCCCTCATGCTAAAACTGTCCTTTTTTCGTTTATACTTTCTCAAACTTTCTCTTTTTAAGCCTTAATCAAAGATAAATCCCTCAGTTCTTCTTTTGAAACCCGTTCGTGGGTTTCTAACCTATTGCTCCTGGAAATAGGGAAAGCGAATTTTATCAATGCCGCTGCACTAGTTTCTGCCCTTTTTCCTCTTATTCTGGGCTTTCAAGGCGCGGTCGCATTTAAATTTTCCCGCTTTAGTGTTCATAATTAACTAATGATGTTCAGGTATTCTGCGTCATGGAAGTCATCCAGATTTTTCAAATGTCATTAATGATGATTACGCCAAGAAACATCGTTTGATCCTAAAATTTTTTAAGTGATTCGTGGGATATTCCATGGTTTACTACTCGAAAGCGTTCTATGACAAGAGCATATCTTTCATAATATTCCGTATCGATCATTGTTTCTATCAGAATCCTGCTTTAGAATTATTCCTAGAGTAATTTTTTTCTCAAGTATTCCATATCATTATAAAACTCTAATGAGGCCACCAGAAAATTTTTCGTATATTGAAAATGAAAAAATTCCGAAGCCCCTTCTGCTAAATTAAAATATACCATCCCTTAATTAACCCTTGAACTGCGTTCTATGATTAAAATTTTAGTGAGCTATGAGGGATACACAGAAGATCATGGCCGCGCATGTCTTTTTGGTCAAGTCAAAAAAGAACAAATTAAATTGAAGTGATAATTCAAGATGGCGTCCTACCGTGCTCGGCCAGGGCCATGGAACATAAGTTACTACAAAGACTTTAATGTTTTAGGAAACCATTCGCATCGAAGTCTCAAAGAATTCAAACTGAACAATACCTACTGTTCTTTTCGTGGCGTCTTAGCCTCATTAATTCTTTTCAAATACCTGGTCCCCAGTTTAAGCTTATTCAAAGATAACATCGCTGACGTATTTATCCAGAGAACCGAATTCCGCGTATTTTGCATATCAGCACGGAGTCATCTAAAGAACATGGCCTAAACGAATTGACCTAGCCTTAGAATCCTTCGTCATTCTTTATAGGAGTTAAACTAATAACAGAATAAACAGCAGATTGTGGCTCAACCACACTCGCTTTCGACAAACGGACACAGACGTGCCTGAGCGTTTCATTTGAAAAAGTAAAACCGATAACAATAAAATCAGACACGATTATGATTAATTTGATGTCGGACAACTTACCCCCGTGTTGATGGTTATGATCTGCCAAGTCTTCTTCGCGGCAGACTAAAGTTTTTGTTTGTAACAGACAGGAACAGATAACCATAAATTCCGCCAGAGTTATACAGCTCACAACGATAGATAGCGTTATTCCTGATCAGGTGATCTCGGGATAATTAGTAACGCCCAACTGACACATGGACCAAGGCAGTCACTTCTCGCCAAACTTTGAGCTCCTTGAAATCCCGGATGTAAGACCCTCCTTTTACTTCTCAAGGGGTTATTCATCAACAAAATAACAGTTTGATATGCTGTAGCGGGAAAATGTCCAACGCTGTATTCAAAGGTAGCTAGCAGGGCCGTTTACTATCAGAAAAACAGACGATCGAAAATTTGATTCAACGGAAGAGACTGGTGCCGAAGAAGTTTTGTTCTCGGAATAAAAAAGGTCACGTAATTTCGGGGAAATCACACTTCCGCTTTTGTCGAAGGAGATAGTGTTGAAGAAGCGGCGATTCTTTTGAGGCGTGAGACTACAGAAGAAAATTGTTTTACAATGGGTGGAAATGAATCTAAAATTGTAAGTATAGATGCACTTTATAACTTTTACGTTCACCAAATCAACTTTGACCAACATTGCAAGCGTGCTTCGCTCTTCCCTTCGTTTGCAAATGAACTGGTTCTCTGGCGCGTCAAATCTCAGGAATAACTGGTTACATATTCGTAAAAAATACAATCAAAGCGATCAGGCTTAGTCATAAATTAAAAAAAAGCAACACAGAGATTAAAATACTATTAGTTCTGTAGAGTCATTTCTATTAGAGATCAACTTCACTCTCAGAACATGGCAAACTTAGCAATTCACAGTACAGACGATAATTCCCTCGTTTGAAAGCAGCGAAAACGAAAGACGTGAATATTTCAATTTCGAAAGATAATCGATCAAGAATTGCCTGCGTTATCACTCTGAACAGAAGAAAATAGAGCTAGTGAATGTTATTTAGCGCCTACCTTTATTAAGAAAACGGAAACAAATGAAAAAGGGGCAGCAGAATAAAGAAGTAACTGATGGTCTAAAGCGAAAGTAAATTTAGCAGCTTCCTTTGACTTCTGGGTAACTCGTGTTCCGGTATGGCAAATTCTTGGAACCAGTAAAATTACGCATCAATGTATTTGGATTATTTAATATTTCGATAAAATAGCTGGTAGGTTTTGATACTGAAAACATAAATTTGCACATTTTCCCTCGAAAGTTCTTAAATCTGCCTAACCTTGTTTGTGCGCCGTCCTCAGAATATTTTTACAATTCTCTAGTCACGCAATTTTGTTAAAGAAAGTCACGCGGTCGCTGATTGTTTGCCTCGCTTCCCTTGGAAAAAAACAGTCAATTCTGTGCTCAATGGAACAATTTTACAAACTACATTCGTAAAGATTTTGGTTGAACAAGCTTATCATTGGTCAATAATACGTGTACTTTTGAAGAACCTCATTGGTAAATAAAATGATACGATCGTGGTAATGCATATCGTCCTGTGATGTTTTTATTATTCATAAGATCTAAAATCTGTCGAAAAGTTTCATTTTTTGGGTTTCAAGATGTTGGAAGAAGAAATTAGAGGATACAATTGTGATTGTTTTAGCAACACTTCATTTGACTTTTTGTAACTGCCTTTTCTCCAAAAGTCAAAGTTAAGTCAATCCGGTGCGTGAAGCGCACTGTACTAAATATTTGATGGATGATAACCCTGGGCGTGACATATTCATTACTGTTGTCAGAGAATTTGTGTTTGGTGCTAAGTAAGCTGGTTTTTTTCTTTTTCTTTTTTTTTTTCGATAAAGAACTATGAAACAGTGGACAGAACAGATCCCAGCGCGCGTGCGCAAGGCGAGAAGAGGGCTCAAGAGGAAAATGAGGAGAGATTGAGCGAATTGCGTGACAAGATGGAAAAAGACCGTGCGCTGGCGTTACGCGAAGCGAAGGGACGTGCCTTGAACGAAGACGGGGCAGAGAGGATGCGTTTAGAAAAACAACGACGTGAAAGAGAAGAAAATGCAAGAAGATTTAAAGAGGAAGAGGCGTTCCGTGAACTCAAACGTGAACTGATGATGTACGACTTTCATAGTCGCCCAAGGATCAGGAAAGAATCTTTCACAGGTCTGCAGGTGGACGACGTTGATCTGATTCGCATTGCTTTGATCGGGCCTACGGGTTCTGGGAAAACTAGTTTTATAGGTAAGTACAAATTTTACCTCTTTGAATCAACCATCAACTGCTTCCAAATACTATCATCAAGGATGGCCAATATCATTGGGCTTGTTAAAACTCTAGTTGGCTTTTACCATCATTGAGGTTTGGAGACAAAGAACAAGATTTTAACAACTCTAATACAGTCGACTCCTTCGGGGACACCCTCGGAGGGAAATTTGATGTCCGTAATGGCAAAAGTCCGGCGGGGTATGAGAGAAAAAAATTGTTTTGTCTCTCAACATCTGAAATAGTATGTAACAACGCAAACGTAAAGTTTCTCAAGTGGCCTCATGATCCAGCCGCAGGCAGGAAATTCTCATGTTCACACCCAGTTGGAGAATGGTTTCTTTATTTTCCTTTATAGTAATGTCGCTTTATATTTTGTGAGTAACGATTTTGGAAGAAGTATCCGCTATAGTGAGAGAAAAAAACAAGTGAAATGTCGCGCTGGGGAGCATGAAAGTGCCCGCATTTCCGTAATAGCGAGAGTCCGTAACGACGGGAGTTTATTTTAGTCATTTCTTTATGCGTTTCGCCGGGGGGCTGGCTTTTGTCCGCTATGGCGGGGTGTCCGTAATAGCGAGGTGTCGGTCGGGCGACATTCGTCTTTATTTCATAATCTTAAAGAGACACGACGATCGTCTTACAAAGAAACTATATTGGCGCGGCGAATCGAGTGAAGGCAAGTGTACGCACATCCTGAAATATTTTTTAAATTTATTTCTAAGGTACTTTACAGCGAGCCCTCGGAGATGCCGAACAGAGTGCCTTTGAACAAGGCACGGGAAGTGAAGGAACTATTTTGCTCGAGGAATACTATGTGCACAAGAAGATTCGGATGATTGACACCAGAGGGTTTTTTGAGAGTGACGAAAAACTCCTGGATGAGTGTCTGAGGATCATGTCGGGAAGGTGAGAGTTCAATAATGATAATAACCTTGACGATATTAACAATAACATTGACATTAGCGATTACGATAACGATAACAATCATCATAATAAAAATGATAGAAGTAATAAAAATAATAATAATAATATGTCTTTCTTTTCTTATTTCAACTTCCTTCAGGGTAGAAAAAAAGGATGCAATTTTTCAACCTCAACTTCGACTTTTATTTCTATTTTAGGAGATCAGGCAAAGCCACGTATAGCCATAGGGGGAAATGAGCATGGAGCATCCTCTCTTGCTTAACATCAGTGTTTTATTTGAGGTTAATGAACTGAGAGACACCTTCATATTCAAGATGGGTATATGTAGGGTCTATGAGTAGGGCTTCTGGCGGGAACATCCCTTTGCAAAACTGTGTTAACTAGCCCTTCCATGCGCTCTCTATCCAGCGTACAAGGAAGGGGGGATTCCCCTTTCCCCTGTTCCCCTGTAATGGCCCCGTTCGCCGCCTCTCACGCTTTCCAATCTGAATAACAACAAATGCTCAATCGCTTGTTCCGTTTTTATCCTTATCTAGAATCCGTCTAGGAGAAGAAGTTGTGCGAAATTCTGACAAATCCAACGCAGCAGCCAATCAAGAGCCTACCGATCCGGTGAGACGTGGACAACTTCTTTCAAGATGCCCACATGCTGTTGTCTTTGTTGTAAAAGCCAACGACCCGCGTTTGAAAGACGGCAATTACAAGGAAGTTCTGAAGAAAATCAGAGAGCATTTCAGAGAAGATGGTAAGTAGAGATAAAACTTTGAAGATCATTCCCATGAATGCACATTCCCCAGTGAAATCAGAGGCAGATGATACTCTTTTCACTCTGCTTAAATCTTTCTTGCGAGAGTCATTACGGTACATTTAAGCCTAGCGATCGAAAATTAAGCGAGTGGGTTAAGACAGACTCGCAGTTAAGCAAGGTGAGAGCGCAGCTTTGGGAATGAGAGTATGAGGGGGAGGCAGGTTTCTTTGGCGCCCAAACTAAAGACGTGGTTGAGCATGCTTTTGAAAATGTTCCTGTCATGGATTTATCTCTTGTAACACTGATAAGTCTGAAAACTCTCAGCTCACTTTACAAACTGTGCTCTAGGGTTTAATAGACTTCCACTTTGTGGGGACCCCCGAAAGGAGTGACTGAGCGATGTTGTGGACCTCCCCACCCACCCCACACCTACTCCCCCGAGCCTTTTTTTACGCCTCCGCCTTTTCTCTCATTCATCTCCATCAATCGAGCGCCTGACACAGGCTAGCTGCTGGTGTTATGGTACAAAATATAATTATATTTACCGTAACCTTTCAGGTTATGCTCCTGTGACTGTAATCACCTACCTGGACAAGCTTAACGATAAGGAGGACAAGGATGAAGCTTTTGACCAGGCCTCCTGGGCGACCGGTAGCTCCAGTGAGAAGACCTATTTCATTGCAAATTACACGCACGCTAAAGATAAGAAGTCTGATGCTGTAGATCGAGCCGCCCTTGACATCTTGGATTCTGTTCTGTTGTCTGCCGAGAGGTTTATCAGAATCCGTAAACAGCGAGAGAAAAATAAGATGGAGAGAGATGTGGTGGCAGGAGGTAACAGATTTTATCTTAGCTTTTGGTAAATGTGAGAAAACGAAATGGATGCTTAATGTATGTTACTCCTAATCCGAGCAGTATATGTAGAACAATTTTTTTCGATAGGTCTCGTGTATGGCCCAAGCCACCAACGAGTTTTCTGTAGCTAAGCGATGGAGCATTCCGCAGGGAGGAATCGAAGGTTCCAATACGCTTCGAAGACCTTTTTTATTTTTTACACTCGACAAATATGTTGAACATATGTCTTCCTGGCACCGAAAAAAAACCCCAATAGTATTGGTAACGTGGTGGGCATGGGAGATGAAAGCAAATCAGGATACAGATAGAGAGTTGATGTTTTTAGAATCTTCAGGCTTTTAGAATTCATATTATGATAATAACCGACAAAAATACTTAATGTAACTCAAGAGAGGTTACTGGTTGGCAAGCTAAGCAGAACGTTTTACATCAATATTCAACGACAAAAATGAAATCTAGATTTTCTCACTTACTCCAATCCTTGAAGTGCACCCAAAAAACAGTTGTCTTCCACTAAAGATTCAAAGATTTTAACTTTAGTGTACAAACGGCTAAACACAGACGGCGAGTGTGCCTTTGTTGTTAATGTCCTCCTCAACTGCTCCTCAGTGCCCACCTTATTTTTTCCGTCGTCAGGACCATCCCTTAGTGGGGAAACCATTGAGCAGTTCTTGGCTCGTCTGCAGCATAAACACCACTGGTCTGACCAGGGTAAGATGAAAACTTTGAAGGAACACCTGAAGAAAGAAGAGATCAACACCCTAGCGGTGCTGAAGGAAATGTGGGAAGATATCAAGTCGAGTCTGCCATTGTCCATTGGAATGAAGATAGTCTTGGAGGAGGAGATGCAGAGCCTGTGAAAGGCACTATGCACATACAAAAAATGGTTTTATTAGGAAAAAGGGATTGATTGATTTAGTTTAGGTCAGTTGAAAAATGGTCGAAAAATATATAATTAGACTGGGTAGATTTCTGATTGCAGTTCTTTACAATTTTTATTTTAGAAAATCTGCTGCTACACTACATGTACGAGTCCATTACTACTATCAATCTATAAAACGAATCATTCCTTGAGTAATTCATTTCTCAAGTATTCCATATCATTATAAAACTGTAATGAGGCCACCAGAAAATCTTTCGTATATTGAAAATGAAAAAGTTCCCAAGCCCCTTCTGCCAAATTAAAATGTACCATCCCTTAATTAACCCTTGAATTGCGTTCTATGATTAAAATTTTAGTGAGCTATGAGGGATACGCAGAAGATCATGGCCGCAACGTCTTTTTGGTCAATTCAAAAAAGAACAAATTAAATTAAAGTGACAATTCAAGATGGCGTCCTACCGTGCTCGGCTTTATAGAAAATAAAAACCATTCGCCATCATCAAAACCATTTAGAAAACCATTTGCACCGAAGTCTAAAGAATTCAAACTAAACAATGCCAACCGTTCTTTTCGTGGTGGAGTTCTTGGCGTCTTAGCCTCATCATTTCTTTTCAAATACCTGATCCCTGTTTAACCTTATTCAAAGATAACATCGCTGACGTGTTTACCCAGAGAATTGAATTCTGCGTATTTATATACATAAGCAGGGAGTCATCTACAAAATATAGCCTAAACGAATTGACCTAGCCTTAGAATCCTTCGTCACTCTAATAGGAGTTAAACTAATAATAGAATAAACAGCAGATTGTGGCTCAACCACACTCGCTTTCGCCGAACGGACACAGGCGTGCCTGAGCGTTTCATTTGAAAAAGTAAAACCGATAATAATAAAATCAGACACGATTATGATTAATTTGATGTCGGACAACTTGCCCCCGTGCTGATGGTTATGATTCGCCAAGTCTTCTTCGCGGCAGACTACAGTTCAGAGGCGAATAGCTTTTCTAGTTTGTAACAGACAGAAATAGATAATCATGAATTCCGCTGTTAAAACAGCATTCAGCTTACAACGATAGAAAGCGCTATTCCCGATCAGGTGATCTCGGGATGATTAGTAATGCACAGCTTACACATGGACCAAGGCAGTCACTTCTCGCAAAACTTTGAGCTCCTTGAAATCCGGGATGTAAGCCTCTCCTCTTACTTCTCAAGGGGTCATTCATCAGCAAAATAACAGTTTGATATGCCGTAGCGGGAAAATGTCCAACGCTGTATTCAAAGGTAGCTAGCAGGGCCGTTTACCATCAGAAAACAGACGATCGGAAATTTGATTCAACGGAAGAGACTGGTGCCGAAGAAGTTTTGTTCTCGGAATAATAAAGGTCACGTAATTTCGGGGAAATCACACTTCCGCTTTTGTCGAAGGAGATAGTGTTGAAGAAGCGGCGATTCTTTTGAGGTGTGAGACTACAGAAGAAAATTGTTTTACAATGGGAGAAAATGAATCTAAAATTGTAAGTATAGATGCACTTTATAACTTTTACGTTCACCAAATCAACTTTGACCAACATTGCAAGCGTGCTTCGCTCTTCCCTTCGTTTGCAAATGAACTGGTTCTCTGGCGCGTCAAATTTCAGATGACAGTAGAGCCAGTGAATGTTATTCAGGCCCGATCTTTATAAAGACAACGGAAAAAAATCGAAAAACAGGCCAGCGAAATGAAGAAAACTTAGCAGTTCACGGTACAGACGATAATTCCCTCAATTGAAAACAGCGAAAGCGAAAGACGTGAATATTTCAATTTCGAAAGATAATCGATCAAGAATTGCCTGCGTTATCATTATGGACAGAAGAAAATAGAGCTAGTGAATGTCATTTAGCCCCGACCTTTATTGAGAAAACGGTAAAAAACGAAAAAACAGGCCAGCGAAATAAAGAAATTACTGATGGTCTAAAGCGAAAGTAAATTTGCCAGCTTTCTTTGACTTCTGGGTAACTCGTTTCCGGTATGGCAAATTCTTGGAACCAGTAAAATTGCGTATCAATATATTTGAATTATTTAATATTTCGATAAAATAACTGGTAGCTTTTGGTACTAAAAATATGAATTTAAACATTTTCTTTCGAAAGTTCTTAAATGTGCCTGGCCTTGTGTGTGCGCTGTCCTCAGAATATTTCCACAATTCTCCAGTCACGCGGTGCCTGTTTATTTGCCTCGCTTCCCTTGGCAAAAAAAATGTCAATTCTGTGCTCAAAGGAATGATTTTATAAAATGCATTCGTAAAAGATTTTGGTTGAAAAAGCTTGTCATTGGTCAGTAATACGTGTACTTTTGTAGAATCTCATTGGTTATTAAATTGATACGATCGTAGTAATGCATATCGTCCTGTGATGTTTTTATTATTCATAAGATCTAAAATCTGCGAAAGAGTTTCATTTTTAGGATCTCAAGATGTTGGAAGACGAATTCAGTGGATACAATTAAGTTGTTATAGTAGCACTTCATTTGACCATTTCTAAATGATAATTGCCTTTCTCCAAAAGTAAAAGTTAAATCAATTCGGTGCGTGAAACGCATTGTACTAAATTTGATGAACAGTAACCTTAGGCGTGACATATTCATTACCGTTGTCATAGAATTTGTGTTTGGTGCTAAGTAAGCTGATATTTATTTATTTTATCATTATTATTTTTTTAATAAAGAACTACGAAACAGTTGACAGAACAGATCCCAGCGCGCGTGCACAAGGCCAGAGGAGGGCTCAAGAGGAAAACGATGAAAGAATGAGAGAGTTGCGTGACAAGATGGAAAAAGACCGCGAGCAAGCATTACGCGAGGCGAAGGAACGTGCCTTGTGCGAAGACGAGGCTCAGAGGATGTGGTTAGATAAAAAACGACGTGAAAGAGAAGAAAATGCAAGGAGATGGAAAGAGGAAAAGGCGTTCCTTCAACTCAAACACGATCTTATGATTTACGACTTTCAGATTTGCCCAAGGATCAAGAAAGAATCTTTCACAGGTCTGCCGGTGGACGACGTTGATCTGATTCGCATTGCTTTGATCGGGCCTTCGGGTTCTGGGAAAACTAGTTTTATAGGTAAGAACAAATTTTACCTCTTTGAATCAACCATCAACTGCTTCCAAATGCTATTATCGAGGATGGCCAATATCACTGGGTGTGTTTAAACTCTAGTTGGCTTTTGCGATCATTGAAGTTTGGATACAAAGAACAAGATTTTAACTACTCAGATACAGTCGGCTCCCTCGGGGACACCCTCGGAGGGAAATTTAGTATCCGTAAAGCCAAAAGTTCGGCGGGGTATGAGAGAGAAAAAAAATTGTTTTGTCTCTCAACATCTGAAATAGTATGTAACTACGCAAACGTAAAATTTGTAAAGTGGCCTCACGAACCAGCTGCAAACAGGAAATTCTCATGTTCGCAGTCGGAGAATGGTTTTTTTTTATTTTTCTTTATCGTAATGTCGCTTTATATTATGTGAGTCACGATTTTGGACGAAGTGTCCGCTATAGCGAGACAAAAAAACAAGGGAAATGTCGCGCTGGGGGGCATGAAAGTGTCCGCATTTCGGTAATAGCAAGAGTCCGCGATGACGGGAGTTTATTTCAGTCATTTCTTTATGCGTTTCGCCGGGGAGGCTGGCTTTTGTCCGCTGTGGCGGAGTGTCCGTAATAGCAAAGTGTCCGCAAGGCGACATCCGACTGTATTTCGCAATCTTAAAGAGACATATCGATCGTCTTACAGAGAAAATATGTTGGCGTGGCGAATCGAATGAAGGCAAGCGAGCGCACATACAGAAGTTTTAGAAATAAATAAAAAAAACTGATGCGAGATAAATAAAAATAAACTGCGCATTTTATTAGAGTTTTGCGCAAATCCTTAAACATTTTAAAATTTATTTCAAAGGTACTTTGCAGCGAGCCCTCGGAGATGCCGAACAGAGTGCCTTTGAACAAAGCACGGGAAGTGAAGGAACTATTTTGCTTGAGGAATACTTAGTGCACAAGAAGATTCGGATGATTGACACCAGAGGGTTTTTTGAGAGTGACGAAAAACTCCTGGATGAGTGTCTGAGGATCATGTCGGGAAGGTGAGAGTTCAATAATGATAATAACCTTGATGATAATAACAATAACATTGACATTAGCGATTACGATAACGATCATCATAATAAAAATGCTACTAGTAATAAAAATAATAGTAAAAGTAATAATAATAATAATAATAATAATAATGATAACATGTCTTTCTATTCTTGTTAAAACATCCTTCAGGGTAGGAAAAAAGGATGCAATTTTTCAACTTCAACTTTTATTTCTATTTTAAGAGATCAGGCAAAGCCACGTATAGCCATAGGGGGAAATGAGCATGGAGCATCCTCTCTTGCTTAACATCAGTGTTTTATTTGAGGTTAATGGACTGAGAGCAGAGAGGCACCTTTATATTCAAGATAGGTATATGAGAGGCCAATGAGTAGGACTTCTGGCGGGAACATCCCTTTGCAAAACTGTGTTAACTAGCCCTTACCTGTGCTTTCCATCCAGCGTAAAACGAAAGGGGGGGGGGTGGGGAGACTGTGGGTAGAGATTCCCCTTTCCCCCTGTTCCCCTAAAATAACCCCTGTTAGCTGCCTCTCAATAACAACGAAGTCGCTTGTTCCTTTTTTATCTTTATCTTTATCTAGAATCCGTCTAGGAGAATTAATTTTGCGAAATTGTGACGGAGCCAATGCAGCAGCCAATCAAGAGCCCACCGGTCCAGTGAGAGGTGCACAACATCTTTCAAAATGCCTACATGCTGTTGTGTTTGTTGTTAAAGCAAACGATCCGCGTTTGAAAGACGGCAAATACAAGGAAACTCTGAAGAAAATCAGAGAGCATTTCAGAGAAGATGGTAGGTAGAGATAAAACTTTGAAGATTATTCCCATGGACGCAAATTCCCAAGTGAAATCAAAGACAGGTGATATCCCTTTTACTCTGCCTTAGCGTAGCAATAGAAAATCAGGCGAGTGAGTTACCACAGACTTGCAGTGAAGCGAGGTGAGAACGCAGCACTAGGGCTTTGGGAGTGGGGTAGGGAGGTGTCGTCGGCGCCGAAACTAAAGACGTAGTTGAACATACTTTTGAAAATATACATGTTATGGATTGATCTCCTGTAATACTAATAAGTCTGATAACTTTCATTTCACTTCACAGTGCTCTACTGTTTTGCAGACTTTCACTTCGTGGGGACCCCCGAAAGGAGTAGCTGAGCGATGTTGCGGATGTTCCAACCGCGCCCCACCTCACACTTACTCCCCTTAGCCTTTTTCTAGGCGTCCGCCTTTTCTCTCATTCATCTCCATCAATCGAGCGCCTGACACAGGCTAGCTACTGGTGTTATGGTACAAAATATAATTATATTTACCGCAACCTTTCAGGTTATGCTCCTGTGACTGTAATCACCTACCTGGACAAGCTTAACGATAAGGAGGACAAGGATGAAGCTTTTGACCAGGCCTCCTGGGCGACCGGTAGCTCCAGTGAGAAGACCTATTTCATTGCAAATTACACGCACGCTAAAGATAAGAAGTCTGATGCTGTAGATCGAGCCGCCCTTGACATCTTGGATTCTGTTTTGTTGTCTGCCGAGAGGTTTATCAGAATCCGTAAACAGCGAGAGAAAAATAAGATGGAGAGAGATGTGATGGCAGGAGGTAACAGATTTTATCTTAGCTTTTGGTAAATGTGAGAAAATGAAATGGATGCTTAATGTATGTTACTCCTAATCCGAGCAGTATATGCAGAACAATTTTTTACGATAAGTCCCGTATATGGCCCAAGCCACCAACGAGTTTTCTGTAGCTAAGCGATAGAGCATTCCGCAAGGAGGAATCGAAGGTTCCAATACGCTTCGAAGACACTTTTTTTTTTTCACACTCGACAAATTTGTTGAACATATGTCTTCCTGACACCGAAAAAAAAAACGCCAATAGTATTGGTAACGTGGTGGGCATGGGAGATGAAAGCAAATCAGGATACAGATAGAGAGTTGATGTTTTTAGAATCTTCAGGCTTTTAGAATTCATATTATGATAATAACCGACAAAAATGCTTAATGTAACTCAAGAGAGATTACTGGTTGGCAAGCTATGCGCAACGTTTTACATCAATATTCAACGACAAAAATGAAATCTAGATTTTCTCACTTACTCCAATCCTTGAAGTGTAGCAAAAAAACAGTTGTCTTCTACTAAAGATTCAAAGATTTTAACTTTAGTTTACAAACGGCTAAACACAAACGGCGAGTGTGCCTTTGTTGTTAATGTCCTCCTCAACTGCTCCTCAGTGCCCCCTTATTTTTTCCGTCGTCAGGACCATCCCTTAGTGGGGAAACCATTGAGCAGTTCTTGGCCCGTCTGCAGCATAAACACCACTGGTCTGACCAGGGTAAGATGAAAACTTTGAGGGAACACCTGAAGAAAGAAGAGATCAACACTCTAGCGGTGCTGAAGGAAATGTGGGAAGATATCAAGTCGAGTCTGCCATTGTCCATTGGAATGAAGATAGTCTTGGAGGAGGAGATGCAGAGCTTGTGAAAGGCATTGATTGGGATTGAAAGGGATTGATTGATTTAGTTTAGGTCATTTAAAAAATGGTCGAAGACTTGCGCAAAAAAAAAATATGTAACCAGATTGGGTAGATTTCTGATTGCATTTTTTTAAAAATTTTTTTTTTGGAAAATCTGCGGCACAAGGGTTTCTTTGCCCACGAAAAAGTCCTAGGTCTTAAGCAAAGTGAGCTGGGGAGAGGTCTGTTAGGGATTTGGCACTAACTGGTCCTTAGTATCAGAGAAAGATTCCCAGCAGGGTCTAACTGAGCTAAATTGAGCTATATTCATCGAGGTCCAGCTCGCTCCGCGGAAGAAAAAACGTTTGTGCCACAGTCCTAATGAAAAGGGCCTGCTATCAGAACATAGTTTGCTTTTTCCATGTTTTCTGGGAACTATATTTCATATATTAGTGTTGTTTATGTATTGTGTTCTTCAAAAGCCATTCGATAAGAAAGATGGCCAGAAAACGAATGTCGCTAGGTGAAAACGAAGGAATCTTTGTTTTCAACATATCAACTGCGATAAACTGCAAGGGCCTGTTATTTAAACAAAGTTTAGCCGTTGTTTAACAAAACTGCGCTCTAAGTCATCTTGAATTTAGCCAAACCTTTTATATGAACTTTTGTTTTTTTGAGAACAGCGTCAAAGGGGCGGAAAGCTTATAGTGGAAGCACTTTTAATTCAATGAATCAACCCTATTAAAGGGAATCTCAGAGGCCCAGTGCTGGCGTGAAACCACGGTTTGGGTCAGACCCCGTGGAAATAGCCGGCCCTGACAGCTTTGTTCAACAGAAAATAAAAAAAAAAGTTGTATGCTTCGTTAAACGCCATTAAAAAGAGATGAACTACCTTTCTGTGGATGTCGTCATTTTAAACGAGGTATTTCATTTACAATGACAGGGGTCTGGGGGTGAATAAAGGTACTGTTAGAATATTAATTAATAACGAAGAAGATTGCAAGAGAAAGGTTGAAAAAGTAAGAAGCGTTCCTTGAACTCCAAAAGAAACTGATGGACTACCATTTTCAGACTTGCCCATGGATCAAGTAAGAATCTTTCACAGGTCTGCCTGTGGACGACATTGATGCGATTCGCATTGCCTTGATCGGCCCTACGGGTTCAGAGAAAACTAGTTTTATAGGCAAGAACAAAAGTTTACATTTTGTCTCCACTACACAACAAATAACAAAGTAGTGTACACCAAATAAGTTTATTTAGGAAGCCTGCCGAGAACCAACCCGAGGCATATATAGCCCGGGGCATGCATACATACATATATTCGCAACTGATATACCATATACAATCCTGATATACAGTCAATTCCTTACACATTAAAAAAAAAAAAGGTATACATTACTAACATGCAAACTTCACCAAATCTGGATTAACAGAGATGGGCAACCGCTTACAAGGACATAACTACGGTTATACGGAGGCCAGAAAAAACCTGCCAGAAAAAACCCCTTTGGGGAAAAAACATGACAGGAAATCTGGGTAGGAACCATGGCCCAAACTCAGAGCAGTTGGCAGCCCATCCTACGAGGCTTCACAGCTAAAGAAAATATGTTTTCAAACTAAAATAAATTTGTCATCAGCCAGAGGTGAACGGTTGGTTCTGAGGCCTAGATGGACACCACGTGCTATACTTTCCCTTATATACCACTGCATCATTACCCATGATGCTCGGGCCTAAGGCCCAGGCCTTGTCGTATCTCGTGCCGACAAAATATTTATTTCTGCCTTATTCGCTTAATTATAACTCATATATCGACTCATTCGTCAGAAATACCATTTTTTGAATCAATATCTGGTGCTTATATCACTGTTGTGATTAAGAAATAAATACGAGTTTTTCCAAAGGAGTATTTATAAAATTAAACAAGGGCCAAGAATGATAATTGGTCCTTGTAAATTCGCTATTTTACGAATTTTAGGCCTCACGGAAAGATACCCCACCCATGGAAACCGTAACCCCCTGAAATCTCAGACATGCGTAGATTAAATTACTTTGTAACACTGCCTGATAAAAGGAACGCGGGCTCATGCCGAGGGTTGTTTACATCAGAGTTGCAGATTTGTGTTAATTAATTGCCGGCCAACTCGCTGACGAGAACTCCTGATGGCTCGTAAAAGACCTCACGGCAGCCAGTTTTCTAGTAAAAATCAGCCACCAGCCAAAAAGAAGCCGAGAAAACATGAAGATTATTTTGAAAAAGTTGAGAAAAAAAGCGTTGCGGTGCAAGTTTGCAACTTTTTAAGTGAAGAAAAAATCGATCGACTCAAAAGAGAGTGCAAGAGTTTGAGGTCTGAAAACGCCAATCTAAAAGGAACAGTCAAAACCTTACGACGCAGTATAGGTAAGTGATATTATTTCAGGAGGGAATGGAAATGCAGACTTGCAAATGTCTAAGAATAATACTGCAGATTGCCTGAACCACGAACTACGGTGAATGATTTTCATTCCCATTCTGAATTTTCGGCGGTTGCAACTTACGCGATCGCTAATGACACTACTTTAAGAGGATTTTAATCATAAACCGATAATACTCCCACCGAACAGAAGCCAAAAAAAAACTCGAAAATAAAGACGAAGTAGTAGATATGGCTGCATGGTCAGTATTTTCAGGCTTTTTCTTACTTAACTATTTGGAGCGGCGATTAACGCAAGGGAGGTAGTACGCGCACTCAAAAGCGAAAAAATTAAACTGCGGACTAGATTCCCTCTAAAGGTTCGTACCTAAGAAAAGAAATGTACAGAGAAGTTAATTTTTTCGGTCAGCAGATCATAAGGACGCGTATCTTTGAGTGTCACACAGTATCGAGAGTTTTACGAGTGAAGTTTTGAGGCTTGTGTTAGAAGTTTTTATCAACATGAACAAAATTATCTGCGTACGGACCACCGTGGAAACACAATAGTTTCAATTATTCAACCTTGCAATTGTGATAACAATGTTTTTGCCAAATTTAAACAACACATTCTAAATATACCTGGTCGATAAGATTTCTGGTGGGACATTTTAACTTTGTATTCTGTTTCAATACTCTATCATGTGAAATCAGTTACATTTAACTAATTTTTATTGTGTCACCTTTTCATAATTTCAGTATTTGTAAAAGGAAGGAACATCCAATTGAAAAAGGACGTGTTGAGGCTTCAAACTCAACTTAAAAAGTGTCAAAAAAAATCTGACGTCTACTGAAAAAAAGGAAAAACAAGTCAGACACAAGCTAAGGGGGACAAGATCTGCTTCCTCAAAGCTAAAACATAAATTACAGGGCAACAGTGAAATTGCCAAAAAGGGGTATTCCCTTGTGGAGACATTTGCTCATGGTCACAATGGACACAACCAAAGGACCTTGATGTTTATGGCTTGTGTCAGATACATGCAACATGCATCTTTGTTATCATATCAAAAGACACCTGTAGCATTACGTCTGATTTTCAATATTTTGTTCAATTGTAGCCCCCCAACAAACTTCATTGTCTCCCCAACTACACTTTCTGACTGGAATGTTCTCCTAGGTGAAGCGGACAAACTAATTTTACGCAAGCGCTTTTCAAATTCCAAGTATGATTTTCATCTCTGGAGTGATGACTCCCACAAAGGAGGAGAGGAGAGGCACATAGTGGGTGTTCACACCTGGTCCCTAGAGAGCAAGCCACGAGCTTATGTCCTTGCAAACAGCCTAACAACAAGCGGGTCTGGAAAACACCAGTCTGATGTAGATTACCACGTTGTAAAAAATGAATATGATATTACCAATGTTTCAGGGTTGGTTGGGGACAATGCCTCTACCCAAAAGGGAAAAGTAAACGGTCTTTTAACTAACAATGCCAGAATTTTTGGAAAAGAGATGTTTTTTGTAGGATGCTACCCACATGTACTAAACATTATGCTGAGAAGAATGTGCCAGGCTGGGTTTGGGGCCAAGGGTGACATGAGCAACCCCCATGTTTCACAATTACTCTATAAAATATCTTGGCTTCATCATGAGCGTCCAAGCCAATATAAAGTTATGTATGTTTCTCTTGGTATTCTAAGTAAAGAGCCACCCCTTCCCCAGACATTCATAGACACAAGGTGGACATATTATCATGAAACTCTCCAGTGGTATCTTAAGTATGGAAAAGCTTGTTTACAGCTCGCTGAGTGTCTCCTTGAAAGATTGCCAAAATCAGATAGCCACCAGACTATTTGGCAAGATGTCATTAAGCTGAGCTCCAGTCATATGATTCAAGTTGAAATCAAGTTTTTGTTTGAATTCCTCGATAAGGTTATCATCCCATCTCTGAATACATCCCAAGCTAGTGATGCAGAACTTGGATTCTCCAGTGGTTACCTAGCAAGGTTATGACCAGCAACTGTTCTGAAGCACCATGAAACTTTAAGTAAAATGTTGATGTCTCCTGCAGAATATTTTCCTTTAACATCACAACAGGTGAAGATGTCATTGAAGGACCCAGCAGCTATCAACCATTTTCACAAACAAGTGCAGAGGCCAATGTTACAAGAAGCAATTAAAGTAATCAAACATCATGGAGCAGAGTGGTTAACTTTTCCCAAGTTATTTGGAATGGGAGCTGATCAGAGATACCAAAGTCCTTTCTGGCATTCAGTTTTAAAGCTTCTTGAAATTCCAGTCAGATCTGAAAATCAACAACAAAAGGCAGTGAACAATTTCTTTCATGTACATGGACAGAACATTCTAACATTGGTGTCTAAGGATAGAGTTGGATTGATTAAATGGGCCACTCTTTGGAAATTGATGGAACCACAACTGCTCAGTGAGATCAAAGAAATTGCTTCATCACCACACAGCTCACTCATAAGTAAAGAAGCCACTCCAAACCTGTTTGAGTTCTATGCCAAGCACATTTTCAGTCTTCCAGCTAACAATGTTCTTGCTGAAAGACAGTTCAACCTCTCTCAACTGTATCTTAATGATAACATGTCAGAGTTATCAAAACAGGCCTCAATCACATTTGTTGAAAATATTCTGCATAGTGGAAAAACCAACACCAGGACCACAGAAGCAGCACATGAAGTTCACGAAGAAAGAATGAAAGAATATACCCAAATGCTCACCACAGACGTTTTGCAAGAGGCAAGAAAGAACCTAAACAAGATTAGAGAAAACTGCACACATGGGCCACTTACTGCAAAGGATGTTTACCCTAGAGCTTGGGTAGAAAAGAAAGTAAACAATAACTTACCAGAAACAATTCAGTCACCAAAAGCAGATGGTTGCAAACTTAAACTTCAATGGAAGGCTTCTGCCAAGGGAACATCTGCACTGGAGGGACAGAGGTCATTCAACCCAACAGTAATTGAGGGAGTTACCTGTACACCTGATGGACAAGTTCCAAGACTCATGCAGTTAGCGGCACTAAAGGTGTGGAACTATGGGGAGGAGCTACCAATTTATGATCTACCAAGAGAATGCCAGTTGAGTCTACAAAATCTTCCAAATGTCTTCCAGCCTCCAACTACTCATCTTTCCACATCCCACATGTCTGAACATGTTACGCTGTTGCCTGCACATGAAGAATAGAGTAGTCATGAGGGGTGGCTCACTAATTTTTAAATGTTTTAGATTTGTATATATAAGAATTGATTTCACCGACCACACTGCATGAAATAAATATATCTCAGCATGTATGCATTTTTACACACAGAGACGCATCTAATAATTGATTAATGTTTCAACACAACATGTTAGAATTAACCTGGTAAAAGCACGTTGTACATGCCATGTTAGTAAAGTGAATATAGCTTAATATCTTAGTATATGTACATGTAGCATGTTAGCTTTTTGGTTTACAATATTGCAACTGGTTTTACAGGGTAAAAGTGAAGTGCATGGTGCCAAAGTTGAGACATGCATGTACAATCATGTTGTATTGGATCTTGAATTAAATGAATTGATTACATTCAAAATGAACAGTAGGTATATGAAGCTGTGATGTATCTGATTTTAAATTGTTATGTATGACTGTAGCTTTGTAGAATATTGAACAAACACTCAATTGCTGTCACTAAATTTCGGCAGTTTAAGAACATAATAAATGTAATATATAACTACGTGTAGATTATATCATTATACTGTTGCAAATGTGTAACTTAACATATCACTTGCAGTATGTAACTTTTAATGTGATAAGAACATGACTCATGTATAAGTGTTCTTGTTCAATAGGCATAATATTTTGCACAGGAAGGGCAAATCAAAGTGATGCAGCCAATGTTATGTTGCACATAGTTAGTGTACAATGATTAACAGTAATAAATTAGAGTGGAACACTCTAATTAAAAAAAATTGGGCCAAGTTTATTATCCTGTCTTTCCTTATTCTGTGTAAAAGATAAGTAATACCATTTTGACCCATCATTAATCCTCTCTCCCCTTATTCTGAAGACTTGTACCACAACTGGTCGCAACAGGTACATACGTATTCTGGGCCACATTTAATGTTTTTGTGAAACAAATTTATTAAAGAAATAACACTGCTTTCATCCTTCCCTGTTTGTAACAACTGATCATCATTAGTTGATACATGTGATGACTTTTGAGCATTTTCAAATTGATTTTCATTGGCTGGTATAGCCATATTTAAATAATTTGATAGTTTGAATTTAGTAGTTCTCCTGACTTAAGCATTTCTGTTTACTTGCTAACTGTGTTCTGGGTTATCTGCTTTCCGTTTCCTAAAACTCTGTTTATCAACTTCTTTTCTGTGTTCTGGGTTATCTGCTTTCCATTTCCTAAAACTCTGTTTATCAACTTCTTTTCTATGTTCTGGATTTTTTGCCTTCCGTTTCCTAAAACTCTGTTTATCAACTTCTTTTCTATGTTCTGGGTTATCTGCTTTCCGTTTCCTAAAACTCTGCTTATCAACTTCTTTTCTATGTTCTGGATTTTTTGCCTTCCATTTCCTAAAACTCTGTTTATCAACTTCTTTTCTATGTTCTGGATTTTTTGCTTTCCGTTTCCTAAAACTCTGTGTATCAACTTCTTTTCTATGTTCTGGATTTTTTGCTTTCCGTTTCCTAAAACTCTGTTTATCAACTTCTTTTCTATGTTCTGGATTCTTTTCTTTATGTTTTCTGAAGGACTTTCTGTCAATTTCTCCGACCTGTTCTGAATTCTCAACTTTTTGTCTTCTTGATGACATTTTTGCAATTTCCTTTACGTGATCTGGGTTCTCTGCTTTCTGTTTCCTTTTAGACCTTTTGTCAATTTCTCTTACGCGTTCTGGGTTGGTCATTTTCCTTTTTGTGACAGTTTGGTTCTTTTTCTCCCTAATTGTTTCAGTATTGTTGTACCTTTGCACAGAATGTTGATTGTCTCTTTACCTAAAATCTGCATTAGCTCTTCTCTTTTTCATGTATTCTTTCAAGTAACTTCGATCAGCTCTGCGCTTTTCATGTTTATCAATTTTTTTTTTCCAACTATACTTTGATCACACATTTTATTGTTCGGAACCCGACAGTTTCTCTTTTCTACTGTAGAAACATAATGAGTTTCACTTATATGTCCAATGTAAATGTTTGTGTATTCCCCTGTCACATTCACTGCTTGAACAACAGTAACAGGAGCAAAAGTTTCAAATGATTCGGCAACATGAATTGACAGATTTAGTCAATTGGCCACTGCTTGAATTATAATTGCATCAGCCCATGTTCCCTGACATGACATAAGGCTCAAATAGTCTTGCCAAGAATGATCAGTGTTACTCTCTATGAATTGTTCAGGGTTCTGCAGTAAATACTGGACACCAAGGCTACATATATGAGAATGGTTATTAGGATTGCCATAAAGCTGATGTGAAACAGCTCGAAAAAAGCAGTCACCACCTCCCCCAAGTTGAACATGAACTGCAGTTCTATTTAATTCAGACAACCTAGTTTCCAATAATGAAACTGAATTAGCCATTGAGGAACGATATGCTGCTAAATTACAAGTATTGGTTGCACTGCATTGATTTGATGGCCCTGGATTCTCTTCAACATCGCCACTCAGAGAGATGACTCTGTGAGATACACAGTAAGTTTCAAACGGAATGTGTTTTAATTTCTTAACGTTCTCCCGTCAACACGCATGCAAAATAAGGGCAACTTTTTATGCTTTAATGTTCTCAATCGCACAACAGATAGGTACACATTTTGGCTGAGAGAGAACTTTTTTGAGGGTTATACAAATTTAGATCTGACTAACCGTTCACTAAAATAACTACGATTACGCTCAGACAGCAAAAGTTTTAGTTTAGATGAACTCGGAATGCTTTTTTTAAGGTATGATTTAGCTGCTTTTCGAAAAACTTTTGTTTTTCTGAACAGTTTGATGACTCCTATATGGAATTCTGGAGGGTTCTCTTTCACGTTTCCTTCCACAATGCAACCTCCGTGTACATGTACAAACGTCAACCGTGGTCCTTGACATTCTGCTTTTCATAATTTCATGACTTAGTGAATCACGATATTCAACTGAATTATCAGTTGGCATTTTCAGCAGAGTTTCCTGGTCGTTAAATTTGGTTTTATCTTTGGCATGCTGGTCAGTTACCGCTGAAGTGTTGCACTCACATGTCTAGTTGGCAGATCTGGAGATTTGTTCAAATTTGGCATTTACCTGCTCATATTTGGCTTTTATTTGCTCGTACTTGGCTTTGATTTGCTTGTACTTTGCTTTGATTTGTTTGTATTTGGCTTTTTTAGAAAAAAATAAACCATGATCGAGGATATCCATGAAAAACCTTTTATCGTTTAACCTAAAAACTGTAAGTGCTTACCTGGACAAAATGGCACGAAGGCTTTCCTCACAACAATGAACGACTCCAGTCCAGAAACATTCACTAAGCCATTCGTGGGCTCCAACTTTATGAATCACTTTCCAAGATCGATACAGCTCCAGGAATAGCAAACACAGCCACCACCAACTCACTTAACGAGCAGTTGGCCGCGAGCGACACTTCAATATCGGATTCTCGGCGAGCAGCTCGACGCGATTATTTTGAGCCCGCTGTGGAAGTAACCGAAATGTCAGCGTTTACGTGCAACACTTTTTAATACGTAAAGTATTCCGCAATTATATAGTTGTACCCTTGGTAGTCTAGTGGTAACGCCGCCATCAGAGGATCTTTTCTTAATATGACAATGTAGATGGATCAAATCCTTCGTGTCCCACTTATTTTTTGCGTTTTGCTTAACTTCCTTTCTATGTTTTCTTTGTTTTCTTTTTCGGACATAATTATCATTTTCCTGCACATATACATTGAAAAATAGAAGCATTGACGCCATAAATGAAATATACGCTGCGAGAGACAAAAGTGTATTCGGAGATTAGGCAAGCTTTAATTCACGGATGAAAAACGTACAGTTTTAAACTCTTTTAAGATTATCATTGTAAAAAAGTAACAAGAACAGCAAATTAATTTTTTTAAACAATTTTGGCGAATCAGTGGTATAGAACTTAGTAAATATATTAGCAGAGCATCTAAAAAACTGTGGCCAAGCTTGAAAGAGTAATAGAGAATGGCATTGGAATATCTATCTATCACTGAGCAGAAATGCAAGCTTATAGCTACGAGACAAACTGTTTTAAAGGCGAAAGTATTTTGTGTTGTAAGGTCCGTTTTTGTCGATTGTTGGAAGCAGCTGTATTTCTGTGAGTGAATAGATTTATAGGACACGTTAAAGGTTTTTAGTGTTCCAATCAGTAAATATTGTGTTGGGATTGCGTGACTCATCTCGATCAAATGAGTGACAGGCTTTCTCGGAAACATTACACAAGCAGTCGTCTTCCTCCCTGGGTGATTTTGAAAATTCATGCGTTTTCTTCCAGGATTATAGAACAGCTACGTTCAAAGCGACAGAAAAGCCATAGATAGAAGATGTCGCAATTGAAAAAGCGAGTTCACCTTTTCAACTGTGATAATACGTACAAACTAGAGCCTGTCGAGAAGTTGCTTGACCAATTCCGCATCCATGTTGAGCATGTAGAGAAGCACCCGTTCAGACTTTCTAAAATGTCTGAAATGGTAGACAAGATTCCAACTTTAGAGATGGATATGGCCTTTTTCGTGGTTCATGCGCATGAATCTCGGCTCTCGATCAACGAAGACAACGCGGGCATTGGTTACGCCAAGATATACAGAGCTTTACTGCAAGCAACGGGTAAGGAGCGAAAGTATTTTCACTCCTTTTTTTATTGTATCAAACATATTTTAATCCTCCTTAATTAAGCGCGTTTCGGCAAGTAAGGTTCTGTTTAGGGAGGGCAGTGGTTCTTTAGTCAAATCTGCTGCAAAACTGTTTTATATCTGACACAACAAAGACACGTCAGATATCGTGGTTGATAGCGAAAGTAAATATACTTGCATACTTAGATTAATATCTTGTTTAGATCAAGTTCGACAGTTGCTCTATGGCCGGTGACAAATATCGACTAAGTGTTTCATGCGGCTGCGTCGGAGTAATACTCGAAGCAAGTTTTCAGTCCGATGTTTCTGTTCCTCAGTTATCGACTCTCATGAGTGGGAGTACTCACATAGAGGGGAAGTGATACTAAGCTTTTTTACATGAGTGAAACTATAATGTTCGAGGTCTACAGAGGGTGTTGCTGAACTGTCGATCAGCAGACCGCGTAACCAACGGAACGTCTGGATCCACGGGATGAATAGGTCGATTATGTTGCCTAAAAGGTAACTTAAAGGCTAACATAAGAAACATTTAACTCATCTTTAAGAGATGTACGAAAGTTCTGAAACGAACGTTTGACTTAGCTTTCAAGAGTCAATTAAGGTCCTTTATGAACCATTTTATCAACACTTCAAGATCACAAGAAAGCGAACCTAAATAACCAATTAGTGGATTTTAAGAATTCTCCTAAATCTCGTAAACTCTTCTTTAGTTGACCAAAACTTCTACTTCTAAAGGCGTCTTGAGGGTTTCTTTAATCTTTTGTTTCCCTTTAAGTACTGCCTAAAGTTGCAGGTTTTGTTGTAAATCAACTTTAGTTGTGCTTTCAGGTTTTCTTAAATTTCAAGTTTTGTTAACAGTCATCTTCAAGTGACCTTTTGGCGTTTCTTAAAGCTTCACCTTCAATTAACTTTTGATTTGCCTTATTAAAACGATACTCATATGTATTTATTCAATTTATATTTTGAGCAACCTTGAAATTGTTAGGAAAAAAGATGCTTGCAAGTGATCACAAAATGTTTGAAATTGCATTGATGAAATAATTTTGTACAAAATTCAATTGGTTCCCTAAGATAAAGCAAACCCACAATGAGGCTCAGGATATCTGGACTTGTCCCATTTGAGAGTGATACGAAATTACAAAAGAGCAGTCCAAATGTTATAAATTACAGCTAATTGTCATACTTTGTTAAAATTGTTTCTGTTTCGTCAGTATATAATTGATATAATTTCAATCGTGTAATATGTAATATAATCTTTATCACAAAAATATGCAAAGACTATAACTAGCCATATTGATACACTACACAAAAAGCTATTAATTCACATACTGGACTCTCAAATCCAGTGACTGAGAAACATGACTTGAACTGATACTATAAAAAATATAGGTTTAACCTATCATCTAAAAAAATCAGGATATTTTTTGTAATCAGTCTAAATTTGTAATAACTGTATCAACTGTAAATATTTTATTTCATATATAGTACTTATTAAATATAATAGCATACCCTATTTACTTCTAGCAAAGTGCTAATATAAAATCGTTTTCTAATTCTAAATACAGTTTTAAACATAGAAATGATGTGTACAACTATGTATATTATGTGGAAGAAATCAAATGTAAAATTGAAGAATTCACAATTACTCATTATGCAATAGAACCATAAAAATTGCCAAATAACATGTTTACTGAATGAGAAGCCTAATGCAGGCATGTGAAAGAATCCCCTTCTAAACTTGGCTGATGAATGCTTTTTTCTCTGACTTGCCTAGATCAGGGCAAAGTGTGAGTAAAGGGTTTGAATTGGCTTTGTTAATTTTTGCTGTTGTTTTTCTTGCTATATAATAATCTAGATAGATTGTACATTTTTAAGCTGATTAATTACTAAAACAATAAGAGTTTTTATTGCATTGTTACCCACTCTGGAATATTTTCAGCAGATGGGCAACTCAGGGAAGGTTCCCCCATCAACCCTGGACAGGATTCTCTCTTTTAGCTCTGGTGGTCAGTTTTGTTAGTGTAAACTGTATTAAGTTGTTTAGTTATTTTTTTTATTTGCCTGCTATTCCATTGAATCCTACCTACAAAGGCAACTCTTAAGTAGCTCTTAAGTAGCTTCCATCCTCATCACCTTCAAAGCAGCTTTCTTCAATGCTCATTACCTCCATCATAAGTAATTCGGTTGCTCCCCCCTTCTTATGCTGGTCAGCTCAATTAACCACCTCAAAGGCTGTAGTTTGTCTCATTGACTTCTAAAAAATAAAACAATACGTCAAGCATGAGAAGGATGTTATAAGACTTTAAAAGGAAAATATGATGCAAATCATTAATTTCTCTTGAACTATGTGAGTACACAGAGTAATTGAACCAGCGGAACCTGCAGAACCATTAACGTTTTGTCAAAAAGTGATAATGATATAAAATGAAAACTAAAAACACCTTAACACTGTTTGAGATCTCGTTTTCGGGTATAAAGAAGATAACCTGAAAAGAGAAATATGTGTTTTTTTAATCTACCATGACTTCCAACCACAGGAACCCCAAGCTCTCACAATAAGTATCTGTGAATATGCAAATATGTTCACGTTGCGCAAGGAGTGAAATATAAGGATTTGGATGGCAATTAACTGTCGCTTTCTCAACTTTAAAAAGTTCTGGACTATTCTTGAATAAGAACAAATTTACCTCGCTCAAACAGTTGTTCTTCTGCATCTGTGAATTTTTTGGGCTGATTTAGGTCAATTTAGTTAGGTTTTAGTTCATTTGCCTTGCCCTCTACATAGTCCTTTGCATGATACGTCTGTGATTAACGCCAACCGAATGAATTTACTGGAAGCAAAACGCTGAAAATTCGCTCCAGACACCCTGATCTAGCACCACGGGCGATAATTTTACTTTATGCTCGTGTTCCTCATTCCAGGAGTGTTGTACAATGAATTCCTGCCAAAGGGTTTGCTGAGATCCTTCAGATTAGGCGTTATTCGGATATCGTGGTACCCAAACCGTTAGAGGTCAGGGTCGGTGACTGCTGAATGTTCCTAATGACGTTACGCACTCTTGTACTGGTACCGTGAATGTCGCCACAATTAAAGTTGGAAGTCAAGGACAATTAAAACATATTTTTCTTGTGCAGTATTCTTCTTTAAACCCGTAAACGAAATTTAGAAAGTGATCAGGTCTTTTTTTAGTTTTTATTTTATTTGATCACTTTTCTTTTACCCAAAAATAAGGGTTGCGGAGGTTCTGTGGTCTGCTGATCCACAGTTTAGTAACACTCGTCTGGAGGGACTCAAATCGCACATGTCGGGTCTATCACAGGTTTCTAAATCGCAGTATTTGAGGATTCCTAATAAACATGCAAATATACCGTTTAACTTGGTGGAACGGACCAGCAAATAACCGTTCAGTTAGTTTTAACGAGGTGAGCAGCTAACAAAAAGTCAAAAGAAATGAAAACTCATCAGAGAATAATGTATCAGCGTGCAGATATACGGTCAACTCGATATCTAACTTGTTCGCTGCCCTCACACGTGCGATGTTGAGTTAAACACGAGGAGAGAAATTTCTACATCTTCAAATAATCATGAATGTTTAGTTTTTTGTTATAATAACACCATAGGCAGTTACTGACATGTTACACGACATGGTCACTGGAATTTCGGTTGGGTACGTTTGACACCGGAACAACTATCGTACGGTTATGTTTTTAGGATGGTCAGCAACTAGTTTGTCTGACAAAAACGGCTACAGACCTGCTAACGAACAGGAAAACATTGGAAAGTGCATTTGATATTTAATAGATAATTACTGCGTCCTCGGCTGCCTGCATTATATCCAGTATTGCTGGGAGCCTCTGTAATTATCTATCAGATCTTAGTTACATTTAAATCTGCTTTATCCAAAGGAGGAGATGTCATCATCGTTATCGGGGGAGATGACAACTACAAAGGTGACGACGAAGAGAACCGAGAGGTTATTTCACGTTGGGCGAAGAGGAAAGTTTCCTCACAGTTCGGCGAAGAGTATCTTGATGGTAGAAAGAGCTTCATATTTTCTTGGAACAAACAACATCGAGTGATTCACGAACAAGCTCTGCGGCATCAGTTTGACCCAAACAAGAAAGGACAAAAGTTCGATTATCAGCGGCAATTTCCAAACCAAGAATCAAAACCTAGACCTGAATTGCGAGCAACATTAACTGAGTTAGGAATTCCGCAGAGACCAAAAACCCAAAAGTCCCCTACATGCACACTCAAAAGTTCCTCGCGTCGCGATGAAGCCACCTCAGCGGTAGAAGCGGTAAAAGGAAGGCATACTGGTACTTACGGTATTGGCGTCAACAGTACTGAGTGAAGTGGCAGACACAGGAGGTTGGTAGAACCTTCACTCAATAATCAGAGTAATTGTGCTGGAGAAACCCTGCCGTCAGTTTTTGGAGGAATCAAAGGTTAGAACTAACGTCATTAACCGTGTACAGGGGGAGATTTTTTCATTTAAGGCAAAGATCACGAAAAAACACATCTGTGGTTAACACATTTACGAGAGAAATATACTTAAGATTACGCGATGCTATTAATCAAATAACTTAAGTCTCACAATCGTGCAACACTCATTTTTAAAGTTCACATAGAACAACTATTCTCGCCATCGTAGATAGATGCAAACTATACTAGTACTGAGCTAAAGTGTGACGTTTTCTGAAATTCTGTTTGCTCAGTTCGTGTCCAACGTATTGACCGTTTGGAAACCGTACCTCGCATAGTTAAGAAACTGTTAAAATATGTGGTCCGCTCCTTAGATTTGGCAATTCTTGGCTGTAATGTGTCACGTGAGTCCTTAGAAGATGCGAAAAAAGTTTTTAACAAACTTCGTCCCAGCCTTCACTTGTCAGAAGAACCTTTTGTTGACAACTTTCAAAGTACGAAAGTCGAAGTATTTCTGAGGGACAATCACTTCATATTCTCTGTGCTGGTCATGGACGGTTCTACAACGAGTGATTCTTATGACAAACAAAGATGGATGGAATGTCAACGACTTGTAGAAAATATAAAGGATAAAGTTGGTATGTTATCTAAGTGCCTGCAGTGATTATGTGTAGTCCTTTGTCACAATCGTTATATCATCAAATACTTAAAACCTCTTGCTTTATTATTTTCCTACTTTCTCCTGCTGTAATCGTTTTTTCGTCAAGCCAGATCACCTCAATTTATTTGGTGAGCTTTTTAGTATCAAAAATGCTGTGGAAACAAAAATTTAAAAGCTCTGAACCCTTTCTATAGACTATAGAATTTGAAGAATTCTTCGAAACACGACTAATACGAATCCTGTGTCAGCTGTCTACGCGGCTTGCCAATCCTTTTCATGCATATTCGAACCACTAAAACTAAATTCTTTAGAAAGCAGTACGTTTGGTATTGAATCAGTTTTGACTAAATTGGCGGGAGAGAATGAGCTTTTAACATTCTCTAAACTAAAGTGAAATATACCGTAGCGATCCTTTCCCACTCTCTTTTTTTCACAGCCCTGAGAGTCATCCTCTTGATTTGCTATCGCAACCCTTTTAATTCATCCGTGAAAGGCGACAGTACATACAACGATTTCATCGCACGAATCAGCAGAATAGAAAAGGCGTTTGTTGCGGAGGTGAACAATGGAGAGCTGGCCGTCGATGAAGATATCATGGTCGAACTATTGACGCCTTCAGTGACAGCATCCATAACAAATAAACAGATGGTCCGGTCAAGAGGCTCTCTAGAAATGGAGGAAAACGCTGCACATACGTCAAGAGAAGTGTCTCTAAAAAGATATTCTTCAGAAAGGAAAAGCATCCATGAAAAAGTCACTCAAAATCCCCCGCAGCTGGTATGGGCGTCACAATTCTCAGTTAAATCCCCTTCCGTTGTTTTACTGAGAGGTTTCGCTCGTTATGGAAAGATACCTGATAGGTATCAGATAGGTGACCTTCAAATATGGGATCCCGAATTTAAAATTCCCGCTCACATACAAGAGAAGCTGCTTGGAAACCTCCGCGACACACCTTTGATTGGAGTGCTGGTCATTAAGCACAGTGATGGCACAATTGAGTGTTTCACTGATCCAAACTTAAAAGAATTATCGTTGGACGGGGAAATACAGCTTGCCGCCGATGAACAACTGATATTGAAAACTCGTGTTTGCAATGGAGAGGTGTCTTTTGAAGACGTTGCTGTACAGTTTAAGTATGGAAACAAGTGTATTCCGCAACACATAATCAGTGGTTTCAAAGCTCAGGATAAAAAGCCGAGTGGTGACCTGTACATTATTTCAGATAACTCAGGCAATTTTCGATGTGTAGTGATAAGTCCAAATAATTTTAAAAAAGTAGCAAGAACGGCAAAGGAAGATTTTCAACCACTGTTGACGAATAAATGGTATAGAATTGTTTAGATATTTTTCTGTTTTTGAGGGGGAACAAAAGTAGACTAAAAGTTGAATTGCTCGTTCGCCTCAAGACATAGCTTTAGGTGTCAGCAATCAATCTGATTTGTTTGTAGTGAGATTGATGTTTGAATTAGATGTAACGTTATGTGACATTGAATCGGTCGATGTTTTCGAAGTTCTATGCTTTTTAATTCATTTTCCTTCCAAAATGGTTATCAAATTCAATCAGCCTTTTTGGATGAAAATTGCACATAAATGTTTTCAAGGCATTCTGCTTTGCGTACAGAATTGTTTGTATATAAGTAGACGTGCCTATGAATCATGCGGGTAGTTTCGACTTCCTCAACAAGTACTTGCCGTTTCGTAAATGGTTACCCAAGGTTTTTTAAGAATAGTGTTTTTAAAAAGTTATAAACTATTTCAGGGACACAGGGTACCAAAACCTCCCGGCTTTTTGATTAATTGATTACCGAAAAAAAAAGCTGTCGCAGTAGTTATGTGATCTAACCGCTGAGCAGCGCCATCGCTACAAAATGGAATGTTTAGAAACAGAAAGCAAAATTTTAAGGTGCTGCTGATGATTTGTTAATAATCAAGACCTTCTTTAGTTGGTGATCATTTCCTTTATCCGTGTGACCTAAATGTTTGATTAAGAGGTGATATTGTAGGGGGTAATTAGATACTAATCACTCTTAGGGGTTACAGGGTAAGGAAAATCCTGTATAAAACTTTCAGGGCAGTAGATAGAAATGTAAATGTAAAGGCTGAAATAAAATGTAAGGTGAGCCTCTGGTCAATGCTTCGAAAAAAAAAATCTTATTTTGTGTTGTGGTAAAAGAAGAGATAATGACCAAGTGATTATCACAGTTACAACTACCAGATGTAAATTGAGGAATATTCTGTTTGATATGTCCCATGAGAACAAGTTCATTTTTCCTCATAAAATTTTGAAGTATGTAGAATAGGCCAGTTTTGACAAGGTTTGGAAAGTGGAAGAAAGGACTGAAAGTGCAACATGAGCAGATAAGACAGTCATAACAAAATGGTAAGTATTGATACCTTGTGTATGAAAAAGCCATGAGATTGCAATAAAGACATCATACATCAAGCGCCTGCTACAAAATATTTAGACACCACCAAAGGTTTATTCATCGTTATACATGCATTTTCTGTTTACATTCCCCTAAGATTAATGTTATTTTCAATCCATTGGTTTCATTTTTTTCAGGATGTCATTTATTTTTTTTCTACAAAATAACATTTGATTGTTGATGTTTTAAAATCAATCTATATTTCCAATGAGAGGCAAAGAACGAGCCAACAACAGGAAAATGGAGATATACAGGAAGTCACACATACAACACAAGCCAAATAAATAATAAACAAGTCTTTGGCAATAACCAATATACAAAACGACCAAAATGTGAATACAATCGAAACACAACCATCAGTGATTACAAATTTACGACACAAGCCAGTACACCCATGCATACACTTGGTTCATCACCGTTCAATACAGTTCGATGAAGTCACAAATTGAACCTTAAAGGGATTGATGAGCAAAATCACAGAATAGTGAAGAGTTTACCTCAGTACTAAATATGTAAAGCCTTAGTACCGCTGACCGGCTCAGCAAAGGACCATTGGATTTTGAAAGTTGGCCTGTTATGTATTTCCAGTCTGTTGCGTGATATTTTTGCATGATATAGGTCAATCAAGAATAGTGTCAGGTTTTCTCGGAAATATTACGCAGTTGAATTTCCTCCTTCCAATTTCAGCGAATTGCACCAGGTTTTATCAACGACTACATTAAAAAAAGCTAAGATGTCTCAGTTGAAAAAGCGAATTCATCTTTTCAACTGTGATAACACATACAAGCTAGAGCCTGTTGAAAAATTGCTGGAGAAATTTGGTATCCATGTTGAGCGTGTTGAGAAGCACTATTTCAGACTTCCTAAAATGTCTGAAATGGTCGACAAAATTCCCACCCTAGAGATGGATATGGCCTTCTTCGTAGTTCATGCACATGAATGTGTACTCTCGATAAACGAGGACGACGTGGGAATTGGCTACGCCAAAATATACAGATCTTTACTACAAGCAACAGGTAAGGAGCAAAAACATTTTCAGTTTTTTTTATTATTATTTATCATTATTAAATGTGTTTGCCTCAAACACATTTAATTTTGCTTAATGATACATTATTCAGTAGGCAGCGATTTCTTTGACAAAAGCAGCGGCAAGTTTTTCAAATTTACTGCGGAACTGTTGTACATTTTCCCTAACAAAGGCCCATTAGACATATGAGTCGAAAGCGAAAGTAAATTAGCATAGATGTACATGGAGGTTGGAAGTTCTCGGCACTTGCTCCGGAAATTGGTAAACTGCGACTAGTTGTTTCATGCGTCGTCGAGGATCTGTTACAAGCAAGGAAATCGAAACCCGGCTTCGAATTCTCGGTACAGAAATACGATTTCACTTTCTTTGAGATACCTGCGCTGAGCAAAAAAGCATTGCACTCGAAAGCCTCTTTATAATAACTTGGAACAAGAGTACACAATGGTTTATTGAAGGCAAGAGATAATCGGCTTGTGACTGTTTTTTTCTTGTCTCTTTTTATTCAGTTGTAAACCCGTTTGTATTTGCTGCCGAGCAAGGAGAAGAAAAAATCTCTGCCTTTTATCATTAAATTTGCTGCTAAGAAAAGTTATCGACCATATGAAACTAACGCGATGTGATTCTGTGAATGAGGCGGCGGACAATTTTAGCGGAAGCGACTAAAATCCTTTTGCGATAATATGTTGGATCAATATCAGATAATGATATTGATCCGATATGTTTTCCTTCTTTTGTTGGCGATCAAAATTTTTTAGGCAATGTAAGGCTATGTGTTTGCATTTTTAATTGATTTCTGAATTTTGATTTTATTTTCCCTTCCCTAAATCGAGACAGAAGCAAATTTCTGGCGAATGCTTATGATAGGACAGATTAGACAAAGGAACAGCAGTTTCTAAGAATCTTGTGACAATTTCAATTTGTTTTTCAATGTTAAACATAATTTGTGTGTGCCTGTGTGTTTCCTTGAATACGTGGTTTAATGTTGACCTTAAGATTCATGTCATGCGTCATTCAGACCACTAAGATAGAAGATTTCTATGACCCCTCACTCGTCACTGAATTTTGAAAGTTGTTAATACTTGTTCTGAAAGATATTGAAAACGCGCAGACTCTGGGAATACTGTAATATTTTGTAATCATTAGCATGCCACTCGTTCAAGTTAGGTTCAAGTAGACCGATATCAACTACATGCAATTGCCATCGAATCCGCCAGGGACTGTCAGGATATGAATAAAAGTGAAAGCGAATTTATATTCAAAAGTCATTTTGCTTCAATAAGTAACGGCTGAAGAAATATCGAATAAACCCTTCACAGTGATGAATGCTAAACAAATCAGAGGTGCCTCTCTTCGGCCACAGGTTTTAAGCGGCCAAGACATATATCTACGGAGAATTTGTATGTTATGATAAAACAGTTTACCAATGAAACCGAATTGGAAAAGTAAGCATTTTTCTGCAATCAACAGTTATCTATACCACTGAAATGGCACAGGACGAAATCCCACGTTTCCGAATTTCTTAAATGTGACTGAAACATAGAGTTTCATGTTTCCGCTACATTTATGATTTGCGGAAACGTGTTATACCAAGTCTTGGCGATTCTATCAAGTTTCCGTCATGTTTCCGTCATATTTAGGTCAGTGCGTTTCCGCTGTTGTTCGTTTCTGTTATAGTTCTGCAACGGATTTTTAATATCCTTGTTGAATCTTTGCAGTGAAAACAGGCCGACTATGGTTTTGTGCACGGTTTTTACTATTTTGACGAAATTGAAACGTTAGGAAATTGCACTTATATATCAATGAAATTCTAAATATGGATTTTCGAACAACTATCGTACGTTTGAATATGAATTAGTAACTCCGGCTGCTGATACGGCTTGCAAAGTAATAAAATTAATATTATAACGCAACATGAAATCGCCACTTTACTCTTCTTCATTTCCTGCGTAAAAAACAAATTCCGTGTTCCGTAAGCATGCGTTGACGCAGAGACTGCGCAAAGACTCTGTAATCGATATTAAAGGCGCGTGAAGGGTGTAGACGGGGATGGTTATAGTTCACGGATCATTATTGAAACAACTACCAAAATGTGTGAAATAAATGTGTCTGACCGGCGATCAGCGAATTACCGAGTGATTTGCAATTGGATGTTTCTTCCTAAACTCATTAAGTTTCTTTAGGAATATTTGCGCACTGTACTTGACGGACCTTTAACGCTCTTTACGCGCAGCTAGCTAGTCTTTATGCGTCTTTAATTCTCTTTACGAATCTTTACGCACTGTTCTTTACAGACTTTAGATGGTTCTCATATTTACCCACTGTTATATACGGACCTCTAGCTCTCTTAACTAACCCACAGTTAGGCCGAACCATCATCGCTCTCTACTCATAGCTATTCTTTGTCAGCTGATTGGGTAATATCTGACTGTTGGTTCACTGAAATCAATTTGGTCATTTGAGGCAGTTGGGTCATTCGAGATAATTGGATCGCTGGAACAGTCTGGGTCAATGTGGGTCGACATTTGAGGCCGTCGAGTCAATTGAAACATTGGATCACTGGAACCGATCCGCGATTAAATTATGATCATTATTTTAAGGTTGCTGGCCCATCCACCGGGTTGTGCTATTTGCATGAGCTGGGCAGTTTCTGTCATTTAAGCCAATTGGGTTACTTAAGGCAGTCGTGCCACTGGAACCCCTTGGATCTTCCTAGATTATCTGCCCATATGCCTATAGGGTGTGCCTGGTAAGAACCAACCTAACAATGCGTATTTACTGTATATGAACCGCAGATATACAATAACTCACTGTACTAAAATATTCTCATGCTTTCGAGATGACAAGAAAATATAGGAAATTTAAGGTAGCTTGGACAGCTTGGCCAATTCAGTCATTTGAGGCAGTTGGTTGTCTTGAGGCAACTGGATAACTGGAACTGATTGGGTCATTTGCACTGGTTGGGTTATTTTGAGGTTATTTGGTCATACAAGCTGGTTGAGCCATTTGAGCCAATTGAGTCATTAGAGGTGGTTGAGTCATTAGAGGTGGTTGAGTCATTAGAGGTGGTTGAGTCATTAGAGATAATTGAGTTACTAGAACAGACTGGTTCATTTGAGGCACTCATGACTCATTGGGTCACTGGAACAGATTGGTTCAAAATGCTTTTTCAAGGCACATCAGATTAATTTGAATAATCATTCGAATTAAGTAAGGAAATCTTGTTGATAAGAAGAAACAAACCTTTAATTACCATAATTGAACCACCAAACATGACGTTATTCAGATGATATGTTAAATTTTCTTTGCCCTTTCTTAGAAACGTGATATTTTGCTATATTTCCACGAGCGCAAATAAATGTACAGAAATAATAAACAAATGAGATTCCGAAGACGTCTCAAGGGCCTTTGCATAAACACTTCGTTGCTTAAATAGCATATGTCAGATCCCTTTCGTGCAATACGGATTATACATATATCAATCAATTTATAATTAATGTTAATGCGTGGGATAAGGTTGCCCGGTGTATCCGAGCCAGAGGCTCATGTATAAGATATATGACAGTAAGCAAAATACAAATAAAAAAAAACAGAAACAAAACAAAAAATTATGATAACAATAAAAAATAAAAAACTAAACGTACAAAAATAATTACTACAATTAAAAATATCAGCACGCTGGTAACACTGTGTAATCAGTCAAAGAGGCGCATTGTTCCGTATTTTACTTCTGGTCATTAGAAAGGAATTTGATTAAGTTTGTCTGACGTTGGAAATTGTATATCATGTGTGGAAATAAGTACCGTTACGACTTTACATTTGAATCTGTTTTATTATCAGGTGGAGATGTCATCATCATTATCGGGGGAGATAACAAATACAAGGGCGAAGACGAAGAGGAACGTGAGGTTATTTCACGTTGGGCGAAGAGGAAAGTTTCCTCACAGTTTGGCGAAGAGTGTCTTGATGGTAGAAAGAGCTTCATATTTTCTTGGAACAAACAACATCGAGTGATTCACGAACAAGCTCTGCGGCATCACTTTGACCCAAACAAGAAAGGACAAAAGTTCCATTATCAGCGGCAATTTCCACACCAAGAATCAAAACCTGGACCTGAATTGCGAGCAACATTAACTGAGTTAGGAATCCCGCAGGGACCAAAAACCCAAAAGTCCCCTACATGCACACTCAAAAGTTCCTCGCGTCGAGATGAAGCCACCTCAGCGATAGAAGCGGTAAAAGGAAGGCAGACTGGTACCTACGGTATTGGCGTCAACAATACTGAGTGCGGTGGCAGACACAGGAGGTTGGTAGAACCTTCACTCAATAATCAGAGTAATTGTGCTGGAGAAACCCTGCCGTCAGTTTCTGGAGGAATCAAAGGTTAGAACTAACGTCATTAACCGTGCACAGGGGGAGATTTTTTCATTAAGGCAAAGATCACGAAAAAACACATCTGTGGTTAACACATTTACGAGAGAAATATACTTAAGATTACACGATGCCATTAATCAAATAACTTAAGTCTCACAATCGTGCAACACTCGTTTTTTAAAATTCACATAGAACAACTATTCTCGCTATCGTAGATAGATGCAAACTATACTAGTACTTAGCTAAAGTGTGACGTTTTCTATAAGTCATTGACCAATGAAATTCTGTTTGCTCAGTTCGTGTCCAACGTATTGACCGTTTGGAAACCGTACCTCGCATAGTTAAGAAACTGTTAAAATATGTGGTCCGCTCCTTAGATTTGGCAATTCTTGGCTGTAATGTGTCACGTGAGTCCTTAGAAGATGCGAAAAAAGTTTTTAACAAACTTCGTCCCAGCCTTCACTTCTCAGAAGTACCTTTTGTTGACAACCTTCAAAGTACGAAAGTCGAAGTATTTCTGAGGGACAATCACTTCATACTCTCTGTGCTGGTCATGGACGGTTCTACAACGAGTGATTCTTATGACAAACAAAGATGGATGGAATGTCAACGACTTGTAGAAAATATAAAGGATAAAGTTGGTATGTAATCTAAGTGCCTGCAGTGATTATGTGTAGTCCTTTGTCACAATCGTTATATCATCAAATACTTAAAACCTCTTGTTTTATTATTTTCCTACTTTCTCCTGCTGTAATCGTTTTTTCGTCGAGCCAGATCACCTCAATTTATTTGGTGAGCTTTTCAGTATCAAAAATGCTGTGGAAACAAAAATTTAAAAGCCCTGAGCCCTTTCTATAGACTTTAGAATTTGAAGAAATTCTTCGAAACACGACTAATACGAATCCTGTGTCAGCTGTCTACGCGGCTTGTCAGTGCTTTTCATGCATATTCGAACCACTAAAAACTAAATTCTTTACAAAGCAGTACGTTTGGTATTGAATCAGTTTTGACTAAATTGGCGGGAGAGAATGAGCTTTTAACATTCTCTAAACTAAAGTGAAATATACCGTAGCGATTGTAATGCGAACTTAAATCCTTTCCCACTCTCTTTTTTCACAGCCCTGAGGGTCATCCTCTTGATTTGCTATCGCAACCCTTTTAATTCATCCGTGAAAGGCGACAGTACATACAATGATTTCATCGCACGAATCAGCAGAATAGAAAAGGCTTTTGTTGCGGAGGTGAACAATGGAGAGCTGGCCGTCGATGAAGATATCATGGTCGAACTATTGACGCCTTCAGTGACAGCATCCATAACAAATATACAGATGGTTCGGTCAAGAGGCTCTCTAGAAATGGAGGCAAACGCTGCACATACGTCAAGAGAAGTGTCTCTAAAAAGATATTCTTCAGAAAGGAAAAGCATCCATGAAAAAGTCGCTCAAAATCCCCCGCAGCTGGTATGGGCGTCACAATTCTCAGTTAAATCCCCTCCCGTTGTTTTACTGAGAGGTTTCGCTCGTTATGGAAAGATACCTGATAGGTATCAGATAGGTGACCTTCAAATATGGGATCCCGAATTTAAAATTCCCGCTCACATGCAAGAGAAGCTGCTTGCAAACCTCCGCAACACACCTTTGATTGGAGTGCTTGTCATTAAGCACAGTGATGGCACAATTGAGTGTTTCACTGATCCAAACTTAAGAGAATTTTCGTTGGACGGGGAAATACAGCTAGCTGCCGATGAACAACTGATATTGAAAACTCGTGTTTGCAACGGAGAGGTGTCTTTTGAAGAGGCTGATGTACAGTTTAAGTATGGAAACAAATGTATCCCTCAACACATTATCAGTGATTTTAAAGCTCTAGATAAAAAGCGTAATGGTGACCTGTACATTATTTCAGATAACTCAGGCAATTTTCGATGTGTAGTGAAAAGTCCAAATAATTTAAAAAAAGTAGCAAGAACGGCAAAGGAAGGTTTTCAACCACTGTCGACGAATAAATGGTATATAATTGTTTAAACATTATTTCTGTTTTTGAGATGAAACAAGAGTTGAATTGGGCACTCGAAGACTTATAGCGAGAGCCAATATGCCTCAAGACATAGCTTTAAGTGTCAGTATTCAATCTAATTTGTTTGTAGTAAGATTTATCTTTTAATTAGATGCAACGTGATGTGACATCGAATCGGTCGCTTTTCCGTTCATTTTCCTTTTGAAATGTGCATCGTAATCAATCAGCCTATTCGGATGTAATTTCTCACATAAATGGTTTCAAAGCATCCTGCTTTTCTCTCAGAATTGTTTGTATGTAGGCGTGCTTATGAATCATGGTTGTTTAGACTTCCTCAACAACTACTTGCCGTGTCGTAATTGGCCACCCCGAGGATTTAAGAATGGTGTTTAGAAACCGAGAGCGAATTTTTTTTTTTATAACTTTCCTTTTAGTCGTCTTTCGGGAACAACCGAATAACTATATCTCTTTTTCGAAGACGATTTAAGGACTTAAATAAATATTTTTGTAGATAAGTTAGTGCTGAAATTAAATTGCTGCCCTGGAATGAGTGGCAGCCGAAGTTCGACTGTAGCTGTTACCGACAAATCTGATTTTCACATTTATTGTGATGTTCATACCTGTAGATGTAACATAGCATAAACATGTATTTACCTTCTTAAATTTATAAATTTGTAACACCTGAGATCAAGGAACAGAAGAGTTGTCAGCTTACACGCACTATAGACTGTCTGGGACCTGATTGCTGCAACCCTTCTGTAGGTTAAGTTTCCCCCCCGAGTAATTTTGAAATATGAAATTAAAAATAAAATCTCCAAATTTCTTTTCACAGTCTCTTTCAAGTTTGCCAACACCTCGATACATTTTGAAGAGTCTTAAAGGTCAGATAAATTTGACCAGCCCCTACGCTGCGTTGGATGCCAACAGATTTCTTTGTTAGCCGCCTCTCCGTTAGTTGTCGAGGGAGGGTCTCAATAAGATAAGGTGTATACCGTCAAAAATGCAAGACTTTAACCTTCAGTTGTCAGCAAAGCCCGCTAACGTCAACCCCCAAAATTTTTTTTATGTATCAGTCCTCTTGTTCACATTATTTTACATTTAAAAAGCAGTAAATAACATCAAATAACATCATTCACCGGAAATACTTCTGGTGAATGATGTTATTTGATAATCATAAGCCTTCTCAAATGAAAAGTAATGTAATTAAAAATAGTTATTTTTGTACGTTTGCGGTAAAAATCTGACCTCACCGAGCAGTACTGCAAAATTGTAGGTATGAAAGGAAATGTTTATATACCTAGAACTAATTACTGACTCTTCAGTGGTTTTTCATGTTCAAGTCCGTTTTTGAAGATGCCGTATCCGTATCCTTTATGGTCTATTACATTTCGATGGAACTCGAGTTGGACGGGTCTGTAAGGTACATTTTATCTTCCAAATATGGCCTTCGATAAATGTCTGCAAACGCTCTGTGATTTTTCCGTTGTCATCGAAGAAAATTTATCTGCGTATCTGGTGACGACGTCTAGTCGGGAAGTAGGAGATGATGTTTTCTCTCTATTTCACCCACACAATCGCGTACAACTTTCGAGGAATGCGTAAATCGTATGTTTGTAAAGAAGTACTCGATAGTTTACGCGTGATGTTTTTGAACGAGAGGCGGTGAACGGACGAAGATGTTTCTTTGATAACTTTCGAATGACGCATTTTAGGGCCTGTTTACATGGAGGTTGGGGACCACATTTAGGTGAGGTAACCCACCTAATCGTGGTCGAAAATAGCTCGCGTTTATGTGTAATCTTAGAACCCCGAGATACCAGTGTGAAGTTACGAAAGGTTATTGCATTGTCGCAAAGCATGTAAACAGACAAAATGGCGGGCAAACGACGCATCTTGGCTGTCAATGCACTTTTCTTTTCACTAGGTGCTCTTGCTGCCACTTTTCAATTCTGTGGCTTTTTATTGTCACTTTTGAATGATGCAAAGCCTCCGCCAAAGGCAATTAACTGTTTAGGCAACGCCGCTATTGCACGACTTCGACACATACAAGAATTAACCGTCGTCGAGGTAGAATGTGAAGAAATTCGAGAAGGACAGAACAGTGGTGGCTTAACTTGTTTAATAGAATTTTGCCGGAAAGCTATGGCAAAGCCTCCGCCAAAGGCAATTAACTGTTCAGGCAACACCGCTGTTGCACGACTTCGACACATGAACAAGAATTAACCGTCGTCGGGGTAGAATGTGAAGAAATTCGAGAAGGACAGAACCGTGGTGGCTTAACTTGTTTAATAGAATTTTGCCGGAAAGAGAGTGAAAGAAGAACTTGAGAATGGACCGTGCAGTTTTCATGTCTGTAGTAGACAAATTACGACCCTTTCTTCAACCTGGTAGGAGTCCAAGGGGACTTGATGTGTTGTCTATTGAAAAACAATTGGCCATGACCCTATACTTTTTTAAGCATCAAGGCTCTCTTAAATAAATATAATCATGAATAATTACTGCAAACTAAATTTTACAATAGGAAAAGAAAGGTACTTGTAGGTTAACATTGTGGATTGAAAGGTTGAAACGAATATATAACTTGATAGTACATATCTTCGCGCCTTCCATAATATATTTGGGAGCTGATTTCTGTACCCACAGTATTTCCATCAATGCCAGAGGAAAGGGATGTAGTAGCTGGTGACTCACCCCATATTTCTGTCAACAACACGAAATTGTCTTGAACGATCCTCCCACTACCGCTTCTTGTTGACTGCTGCCCGAAAATCTTGCCTCACATTTCTTATCTTTTCTTTAACTCTATCTTACCCTTTCCTGATACAACTTTTCACATCATCTCGCTTTTTCTTGAAGGCCTTGTATTCCGTCTCATTCATTTCTTTCAGAGATTTAACAGGCTCAGTAACAACCTCGGGACCAAATTCTTCAGTAAAATCAACAGCTAAACACCAACTCCACTCTCAGTACATTCTTGGCTTTCTTCGTTTTGTTCCAAATTACATAGATATAACCGGCGAAAAAGCTCGCCGGGTTTGTAAGCGCGGATGGCCATAATGTTGTAGTTCAAATTTGGCGCGCTTGCAGATGTAACATGATCGCGACCCCGGCTGGGTGGGTTACCCCACCTTGAGACGTTTAGATGGCAAATTATCACCCCGGCTGACAGGGTTATCCTACCTGGCAGACTGGGCAACCCGCCTTGGCGGGTTACTCCATCTTTCATGTAAACGTGATCAAGATAAAATGAGAGATTATATGGAAAGGCGGGTTACCCCACCTAGGCAGGTTATCTCACCTACCTGGGGTCCCCCACCTCCATGTAAACAGGCCCGTAGAAATATTGTCAATAAATTTGGCAATCCGCAATCCTTGGTGGCACGATTGATGGTCATACATCATGTTTGTTTGGAGGTTACCATGTAGGACGTGTCGAACATTACATCTTTCAAAACGTTGGCCTGTTTGGCATCGAAAAGCACGTTAAAGGGGTGATGTACACCGATTTAAGGATTGTCTGGATGCTTTGGGACACAAAAAATGTCCTTCGTGAGACCAATAATCTCCCTTGTGAGACAAATAACTTCCTTCAGGAGATAAAGAACTTCCTTGGGGAGACAAAGATCCTCCTTCGGGAGACGATGCACACTAATTTCACATATGACAAAGTCATTAATGACCACATAGTTAAAGTGTGAAAAGCAATCTCCATTTCAGATCACGTTTA